AACCGTGTTGTTATTCCGATGACGATGGTCATGGCCACGACCAATGGATACAGTAGTAAGGTGAAAACAGTGATGGTGGTGATAGCGAGGTTGCATTATTGACGGTGGCAATGCCGACTATCATGACAGCTACCTTCGTGACCATGTTTCTGGCGAAAGTGTCCAGCATCCTCATCATCGTCGTCATCATCACCGTCATCACCATCATGCCCAGCATGACCGTCAGCGTCCTCATCGCAATTACCGTCGCCATCGGCACTGTTATTAGCATAAGATGTGTACTACTATTTAGTATTAGTATAAGAAACCGTACAAGCGTTGGTAGAACTAGTATTCGTATGAGCGCTAGCATCTGTATCCGTATCGTATGAGTATCGGTATAAAAATTACTCTGCTGACTTGGTTTGTAGTTGTCAATTACTATTACATTTGCTGCTATTGCCACTATCAGCATGATTGCTATTATCATCATCATCATCATTATCATCATCATCATGGCCATCAAAATCTCATCCCCATCCCGATCGCGATCGCCGACATCATGATCATGATCGTCATCATCATCACCATCCTAGTAATCCGTATCATCGTCATCGCGGTCGCCATCAGCATCACTGACACAATTTTGTTCTTCGCCATCTTCTTCGTCATCCCCTTCCCCATCCCCATTACCACCACCACCACCATCATCACCACCAGGACCACCAGCACCACCGGCGGCAGCAGCAGCATGATCAACAAAACGATCGTGTCGATTATCGTGGTGATGGTATGACTATCAGTGTAGCCAGTATAGCGCCTGCTCTGTCGCTATGATGATGTCGATGGTGACGATGACGAGGAGTTGGGAAACGGGATGGAACGAAGGGACTAACAAGTAGGAGGAGCAGGAGCAGGAGGAAGAAAAGAGGCCTGTCACCACACCCCATGGGCTAGCGTTTTTACCACGGCCAGAACGCTGTTTTACTTGCACACTTTGAGCGGGGGATTCGGCTCAGTTGGCAACGCCGAGGTTGCAGAATCTGCAGCAAAGTGACGACGGTTGCCATCGCCACTCCCCCCACAAGCACGACGTGGATGAGCTCCTGTGAACCAGCGAGGGGCACTTGCTGTCTTGCTTGACACAGCTTTCTTGGAGGTTGATCTTACTCAACAGTTGGTACCAGCAGCTTCCGATGCCACGTCATCGCTGATGGACAGAGTAAAGGGCCGAACTAATTCGTAGCTCAAGTTACGTCAAACTCAACTTATCGCCCCAACTTCAGCGAGTGTCACACTGGACCGCGATGTTTGATGCGGCGGCTAAGAAGCGCTCACTTCCCCTAGGGGTCCATGTGCCCAAATAGTATTTATTTACAAAAACGAAACCACGAACCCGTGTCATTACGTCTGCGCGCGTGGTCGCCAGATCATTTCTATGAACTTCTCGGGAATTTTCATAGGCTTTTGCTCCATTTCTTTTCATATACGGCCCTGGAGGCATTTCTATGAAATTCTCCGAGAATTTCATAATTTGTTTTATGGAATTATCTGGAAAGTTCATAGAACCAGCGTCTATGAAATTCCCTGGGAATTTCATAAAAACGGTCTGCAATGTTTTATGAAATGCTCAGGGAAATTCATAAAAATGGTCCCGACTACCCGATTCATAAGGACACCAGTAGATAAACGGTCTGTGCTACCCAATTCATACGGAAATCAGAAGCGTACCGCCTCTCGGTTTCTCTCTCTCTGTCTCTCTCGTTCTGCCTCTCTCTCTCTCTCTCTCTCTCTGTCTCTCTCTCTGTCTCTCTCTGTCTCTCTCTGTCTCTCTTGTCTCTCTCTCTGTCTCTCTCTCTCTCTCTCTCTCTGTCTCTCTCTGTCTCTCTCTCTTGTGTCTTTCTCTGTCTCTCTCTCTCTCTGTCTCTCTCGTTCTGCCTCTCTCTCTCTCTCTGTCTCTCTCTCTGTCTCTCTCTGTCTCTCTTGTCTCTCTCTCTGTCCCTCTCTCTCTCTTTCTCTGTCTCTCTCTGTCTCTCTCTCTCTCTTGTGTCTTTCTCTGTCTCTCTCTCTGTCTCTCTCGTTCTGTCTCTCTCTCTCTCTCTCTCGCTCTCTCTGTCTTTCTCTCTGTCTCTCGTGTGTCTTTCTCTGTCTCTCTCTCTGTCTCTCGCCGGGCAGGGATGGCTGGATGATGTATTATACACTCACAATGTCGTGTATCCCGATTATCCCGAAGCCTTGCGACAGTAAGTCACATCGTTTCATGCTGCCGCACTGTAGCAAAAAAACTTTGTCTTTCCTGGCTCCTTGCCGTGTTCCATGACTATATATAGCACTCAGATAGGGAATGTTAACTCACGGGTTTGCTACACGACCGCTGCTGGAAGCAGCCCAATGTACCTGTATAGGAACTGCCTTGAGGCCACTGTATGTGCTATTTTGGCACATGGACCGCTAGGGTTCACTACAATCTCAGAAATCCGACCCGGAAGCTCAAACCCTAAACCTTAAGTCCCCAGTCTAGTTTAGGGGCCTTGACCACTAGAATAGAGTTTTGAGGTATATGATACTATAATATGCGATAATTATAAGGAGGACCCCGCGAAATAGTACAGGAAATTTTTCAAGCCCCTGTACTACAACACTTCGCGTTGCATCGACTGGGGCGTGGTCGAAAGCGGAGTGGATGAAATGGGGCAACGTGGAAGACGAGGAAACTGCGGATGTATGTTGGCTCCTTCTAGAAACTTCATGCCCGCATCAGAGAATGTGTGTTCAGCCACATCGCACTGTAGACTAGATCTGAGAAACAAGCATCTGTGGCTACAATAAGGAGCCCTGCGAATTAAATTCAGTCATTTGCTTCCGGATTTGTTGGGCTTCCATAGTACCACGGGCTCGTTCTGGTTGCCTGAGGCCTTGGCAAGATCACCGAAGAGCGGCTTCCTCATACTCCTGAGCTTGGCTTGGACTGTTCAGAAGCAACAGGGTAATAAGGGGTTGGCGTCCAGGGCTTCGGGCTTCAGGTTTTTATATCTGAACATGCAAGACGGTAGCCGTTCATGGGTGTTGGGCCCTTACTTTCCCTACCTTCGGGGTCCAGGTACGACTTTAGGGCTACTTGGAGGATCATGGGACTTAGCAAGTAAGGTTATAAGTACCTTAATTGGGGTTGGTAGTAGTTATAAGCAGAGTTACCTTAATTATGACCCTAGTTACTAGGTCCCATGAAACTTCAAGTAGGGCTCGGGATTTGGGGATCCATGTGGACCGATGTCCGGGCAGTGAGGCCTTGCGTGACCCTCCAGGTGGATCCCAAACGTAGCTTCCGAAGTCCGCTCTATTTATACCACCTCTACCGCCTCCATAGAAGGTCCTTTTTGGGGTTGATATTTAGAAATATAGAAGGTAATCCCAAAACGGAACTACTATGGAGCTTATGGGTATCCTAGATTTGACCCGAACCTCGTTTACTGCTTCTTCGACTCGCCGGGCTTTCAGCGTCCCTGTTCAGGGTTGGATTATGGTTCCCAGGGGGTCCATATATACTACTATTAGGTCCCAAAAGAGCATCCGTAGTATGGTTTTGGGGACCTAATTCCATAGTTGTAACGTATATGGATCCTCTGAGGTGCTGAGTTTGAGGATTGAGGCTTCAGAGTTTCAGGGCTTTGTGAAAACGTCGGTGGGCTCTTCGAGTGCAGAGGGCATGCAGAAGCCTAGGTCCTGAGTCTGCGCCCACGAACCCAATGCCTCCCCCATGAAGTCGGGGTGCGTGATTCTTCCGCCCTTGTGCTTTGAACGACGAGAATACTCGAAGCTACGTTTCTCTTTACACGCATGTCCTTTCAGAGTATCTGAAATCTATCTGAATTCAAAATCGACATGGGCATTTAGTCTTACTCGTAGCAGTAGCCGCAGTGGTAGCAGCAGTCGTAGTAGTACTGGTACTAGTACCAATAGTGCGAGTACCCTTGTTCCTATTTTTCGGATTTAATAAGCGGGCCCTAAAGCGAAAGAAAAAAGGGTACTACCCAGGAACATGTACTAGTACTAGAGTAAGGGTACTAGTACTAGTACAAGTGCTAGTACTAGTAGTAGAAGTGTATTATTGTTGTTATTATTATTAGTAGTAGCACTAGCACCAGCACCAGCACCAGCACCAGCAACAGCACCAGCACCACACCAGCACCAGCACCAGCACCAGCACCAGCGCGAGCACGAGCAGCAGCAGCAGTAGCAATAGCAGCAGGAGCAGGAGCAGGAGCAGGAGCAGAAGCAGGAGCAGAAGCAGGAGCAGCAGGAGCCGTAGCCGTAGCGGTCGCGGCAGTGGCAGTAGCAGTAGCCGCCGCAGTCGTGATCTTTGTCGTAGTCGTAGTAGTCGTAGTAGTCGTAGTAGTCGTAGTAGTCGTAGTAGTCGTAGTAGTAGTAGTAGTAGTAGTAGTAGTAGTAGTAGTAGTAGTAGCAGTACTTATCAGTAGTTTGTAGTAGTAGCAGTAGCAGTGGCAGTAGCAGCAGTAGTGGTTATAGCAGGCTGGCAGGGCAGCGGGATGTGCACTTCAGTCTTGTGGTGCTTTCGTGCAGCACTCGCCAAGGACTGGTGCAAAGCTCCACCAACAAGATGAGTTTAATGAGAATCACACACCATATACCAGCCTCAATGCTTGAACACGGTCGTGCAGCATCTCACTGTTAAAAATTGTTACAAAGTTCTAAAGATCACATGTAGAAAGGTTTCCCTCGCTGTTGAGGCCTCGTATATTGATGGTGAGACCCGGCGCCACATCAACACCTTCACAGGGCAGCTGCCCTTCTCTCTGTGAGCCGGTGAAGCAAACGTATGGTTTTAAACCTCAACTCCGACGCATCAAGTCGGGACGATTTGTCCTAGCTCATAGGGTGTTCCACTGAGAACGACGGCTGGAGAGAAGTATTCCACACAGTCAATGGCTGTTTTGAGGCTCAGTTCGAATTTGAAACAGATTTAGCAGCACATGAGTGCTGCTGCGCTGCAAGAAAGCTGATCAACACTGAAACTTCACAAGCCCTCTTCTCGCAGCATTTGGGTTCAAGCCGGTCATGATACGGAACGAGTAGCCGATGTATGACTTCATGTCTGGCAGTCCCTTCGTCTTTGCATATTTTCGCATCGCCTGAAACACAACAGTTCGGTCCGCGGCCAAATCGCACAGAAAGCCTTCCTTGCAAAGGTGATCGCGCAAGGCGACATCTTTAGGTGCCATGTGCCACCGACCGGAGCTGGCGTCAGACAGGAACACATCTCTGAGTGCTTGTTGCACGGCAAATGCTTGATCATGCTGAGATGGCAAAGCGTCGAGCTTGCGTAACGCGACCTTGTTGTGTGTATTGTTGACGAAAACCAAGAGTGCTTCTGCCAGATCATTGTTCAAGCTTGAATCCAAGTAGCCCAATTTGCGAAGAGCCTGTGCGACCAAGTCCTTTGAGTCCTGCAAGAGAAAAGGGCCACCTGCTTGGAAGATCGAGAAAGCAATCGCACTGCCGAATTTGCTCGCCAGGGTTTTGGTGAGCCTGCCTCTGTTAGTGCACGGCAGGAAGAAAGCTTTTCTTGCTCGAGGCGCCGTCCAAAGCTTCACAGGCAGCGGTGTGCTTTTCCTCACTAAACGGAAAGCAGCTTCTGTGGCAAGACCATATGGGAACACAGTCAAGGGTCCCAATGCATTCGTGGACCAAAAATTTGCTATCGGATGTACTAAATACCGGCTGTCCTCTTGTCCATGGCTCAGGCTGTCCTTGTCTCGATAGCCCAGCCGGTCCAAAAAATCGGCTACGGCCTCTGCCTGATGCAGTTCCCTCCTGAAGTTGTCGCAGCGGTAGCCCTCTGCTAAGAGCACATGGCCTCCTCCATTCTCATCTAAAACTGCCCTGATCTTCGGACCTTCCTCCCTTCGTTGGGGCAACCTCAAGACTCGAACTCCAATCTCCTCAAACGTGTGTATCAACCGGCACCTCGCAGCTGGACACAATGTTACCACCACCTTGTCGGAACGCATTGCTTCTTGGAGAACTGACACATAGTCGCTGTCGGAGACGAGCAGGGCAATGCATTCGATGGCAGTGGAGCGGCACAACTTGTGCACTGTAGTTATAATGGCATCGTCATTAGGTTCCCCACCATGTACAGGTGACCTGGGCACAGGATGAAAAGACACGCCTGCTTCCTGAAAAAGCTTCTGCCACTTCTTGTTCTGAGAAAAGCCAGGTGCTGCAAAAATGGTTGTATGCACCGCGCCCATCTCAAGCTTGAGCATGTCGATGCCTGATCTGATCGCATCAATGCTATGTGTGTCTGCATCCACGAGCAGCTCTGCACGTGAGCCCTTTGACTTCGATGAGTAGTTCAGCCGGCAGCTGCGTTCTCGCCTGCCATAGAGCGACATTGCCTCAACACTCAGCTTCAGGAACCACGTGTGAAAGGACATGTTGGAAGCTAGCGAAACAAGAAATCTCCCAGAAGGCTGCTTTCAAGCCATGGCACGGATACGAAGACAGTCCCGGCGAAAATATGTGCTGGTGCCAAGAAGACGGCACCCCTCTTCACAGTCACACCTTCCAGATGCATTTCCGAAACTCGCCACTTGAACTGCAAACTCCGGTTCAGCTCTATACCGCGAACCTTCAGCCCTGAAGTGTCAGTTCTCAAACGAAACCGCAATATTCGCTTGTAGGAACCTGATTAAACAACCTTGGGCCTTTATCAGGGTTCTGTATATGAATCCTACTATTTTGGGGTTATTGACCCCGGGTTTCTTAATCCGGTCCTACGTTAGCCTTCTTCAGCAGCTGACCTCGAGCCGGCTCACATCGAGTCGGAAGACTGGGATGTCTCGGCTGCAAGTCGCTTGCCAGAGCTTCCCGAGGCTGGATCTGGCGACATGGCGCGAGCATGTCTTTAAGCACCCCAAAAGGACATGAGCATAAGCATTTTATAGGGGATACCCCTACCTTATTTGGGCTTCACTATAAGGGGGTTGTATGGGATTCTGGGATATCCCTATCCTATTTTTTGCTTATGTGCTTTTTGGGGCCCTAGTCTTGGCTGCTGAGGTTCGAAGCCTGGACGGCCGAAGCTATCAACATTTGCCAGCCAAAATGAAGACGACACAAGCCAATATAGGGGCCGTAATCATTAGAATAGTGCTTTGGAGCCCATCATACTATAATTAAAATAAGGAACCCCAAAATAGTATACGTAAGAAATTTGGCCCCTATGTTATGCATCTTTGACCGAAGCTCGGTGTTAGTAGGAAAGCAGGGCCCGCGGCTCACTCGAGCCTCTACCATTCAGGGCCTAGCTAGCATGTCGAGATTAATGTAGGAACCTGACCAAGAAACCTTGAGCCTTTATTCGGGTTCCTCATATGAGCCCTACTAAAAGGTGTTATAGGCTCAGGGTTTCTTAATCAGGTTCCTACATTAATGAGGTCTCCCTGTCTCTCGAAGCTACACAAGACGGAGCCATCAACCCGAAACCTTTGACTTGGAAACAATCCCATACAGATCCGCTCACGCGAGGACACCACGGCCCCGTACCCCGAAGAAAGTGGCGAATAGTATAGGTAGTTGTGATGGCCCCTGAGTTAAGTTTGGGGATCATGGTTCAGGATTTAGGGACCCAGGCTTGGGGCAGATACGGTTACTCCTACCCTTAGGCTTCAAGGAACATGGGCGGAGGGAGCTAAGAACCTCAGTGCAGGCTTCAAGTTCGAGTTTGGGGTCAAGGGCTTGCGGTTCCGGGTTTAGGGGTTTTGGCTTGGATTCGGCATCTGCAGATATATTCGAGTCGTACCCCTAAACCCTGAACCCCTAAACCCTAAACCCTCTAAGCAAGGACTCCGAAGTTTGATGACACCAGGGTTTACGCGCTTCAGTCGGAGACTGCGCGACTCTGTCGAATGATAAAGCCATCCTGGCAAACTGCAAGACCCAAAGCCCCAAACCTCGCAACCGTAAACCCTAAACCCCTAAACCCTGAACTCTAAACCCCTAAACCCTAAACCCCAAAAACCATAAACCCTAATCCCTAAACCCTGAACCCTAAACCCCCAAACCTCGCAACTAAACAGCCCGTGCGCGGCAAACCGACGGAGGAGGCGAGGATCCACACCTAAGGCTCCAGGTACCCGAAGGGATCCCTTAAGGGCTCCTTGAAGGGCTCCTTTATACGGGATCCTTTCAAGGCTCCCTGATAGTATGGTATATCCTTATTTAAACGGTTCCTATATAGATACTTCATAAGTACTTTAAGGCTCCAGGTACCCATGGCCCATATAGGGGGTTTCCGAAAATGGGGGACCCTACTATAGTACTTTATATAGTATACCATGAATCCTTATTATAAGGACCCCAAATTGTTTTCGAGTTTGTTGCTCGTAACGGGGGTTACTGTAAGCACCTGAGATGCGGGGTCGGTGTAGAATTTTGTGCTGTATGCGCTTACAGTGACAGGTTTCTAAGCTGCGGGGGTCGTCCTGAGCGTTTACTTCGGATCCCAATAGAATGAATTTCTTGCTATTCCCATACAAGCAGCCATAATCCAACAACGAGCAAAAAGCCAAAGAGTACTTGAGAGCCGTACTTATATCCAAATATGTACGTTGCTTTCCTGGTATGATGCAGAAACTCTTAGGACGACCCCCAAGCCTGGAAACTTGTGCAAAAGGTCAGAGAGTACCTAAGACATACACCCTGCAGGATTTCTGATCAGATTCGGCACCTGCCAGATGCCCCTGGGACGCGTATGGAATTCCGACAGTCAGGGGCGCCTGGGATCGGCTTGATACCATGCCTGAGGATCGCTCCGGGCTATTATCGACTAATCCCTTAAAGGGACCACATACCTACACAGGGAGTACTTTAACAACAAGTATATACTTACTGTTTGGGTACATGGACCCATATACCCTAAACCCTATAGAACCCTTGTAGAACCCTTAAAGAGCAACCCTTACAAGGCACCCTTTAAAGGGACCCCCTTTGGGGGTCTTTGTACCAAACGCGAACAGCCCGACAGCCGAGAGGCAGCACGAACGAGGGTTGCAGCGGCCCAGATGCGCTGCTTCCGAAGGGGCAGCAGGGGCATAAACCTCCCGTCGCAAAATTACCAATGTCATTCCTTAGGGTTCCTAATTGTAACTATAATGTAAAATGTAATTGGCCCCAAAACCCTCAGAGGCATAAACCTCCCGTCGCATGGTTTACTTGTCGTGTCTTTTATGGTGGAATAGTGTTCCCACCACAGTCTTAGACACATGTCAAGCTTATTCGGAGGTTAAGACACAAAACGCTCCATGATGTTGGATTGTTGGTAAACGTGAGTCTGTTAGCACCATTTCGGGCAACAAACAAACTGTAGCCAGTTGGAGGTTGGAGGCCAGGAGCTCCAGGGTATTTCCGCGGTTTTTCGGCTTGAAGACGGTCGTTTCCAGCGGGGCCAGACTGTCTCTAGGGCACAGGTGCTCTTGAGATCGTGCGCAGCTCTTAGTCGCAAGATGCTCAAGTATGACGGGCACATGTCTTGTCACACGCTCAGTTCTTTCAGTTGGGTGTTCGTCTTCAGTTAGGTCTTCTCACACGCTCAGTGCCTACAGTCTGCATTGTAATTCCATTGTTGCGGATACCTTTCGGTTCCTACATTCCTACATTCAAAACTCGCCAAACCCCAAAAAAAACGGAGACAAAGGGTAGCATCCATCGTTACGGGCTCAGAGATGTTCGGCAAGAACGGCCCCTGTGTCCGAGCAGCAACAGCCCCTTAGGCTCCTTGTCCCCTTATAGTATATATATATATATATATATATATATATATAGTATATTATACTTAGGCCTTAAAGTCCCTATATAGGGACCCCTTTAAGGCTTAAGTTATCGACTATGAAGGTACATGGAGCCTTTGGGAGCAGGAGGTCGTAGGGTAGTTTTCTTAATCGAAACCTCATCCGCAGCAGGTCCCGGCAGCAGCAACAGCAGTAGGTAGTGTTTATGGTTGAGGGGTTTAGGGTTCAGGGCTTTAGCGGTTTAGGGTTGAGGGTTTAGGGTTTAGGGTTGTGACAGTCTGTGATGAGAATCATGGTGCGGATGACGCCGATGATGATAATCATAATGCTGGCGGTGGCGAGTGGATAGTTGTGCGAGTCTGTGCTGGGAATGATGGTGAGGATGATGACGACGAAGATGGCGATGATAATGACGATGCTGACGGTGGCCAAGTGGACGTTATCAGACCCCCCTCCTCAAACCCGAAGGCCCTGAAAGCACGGAGAGCGCACGACAGAAATCCATGTGCTAGCATAAACCTCAGCATCGTAGGGGGGGGGCGGATGGGGTTCGTGATACAGGATTTGTGATTCACATCTTGAGCTGCGTAATGGGTCTCGACGGTGAAAGGTTTGCGTTCCTGCGAAAGGTATTCTTTGCAGGTCTGAGATTGGGGGCTTGGGGCGCGAAGGGTGCTATATAGGAGCCTTAATGCTAGAATAGATGTTTGGGGGCCATCTTGCTATGTTTTTCAAAAGGAGCCACCCCAATCAATCTTAATAAACACCCGAAACTCTAAACCCTGAGGGTCTATGGCTCTTCCTGCTGCCAGGCTGCTCAGTCGGTGGAGAGGCAAAGAGCAGAATACTCACTGCTGCCTGCATTTGAATATCGGATTTGTTGATGTAGACTACGAGGAGACAATAGTAGAGGGAACTCCAGAAAGTTGGAATATGGTTTCAGGGTACGATACCTGATAATTTACCATAAAGGGCGTAGGATAATCATATTCCAACTTTCTGGCTTCTACTGTAGAGCTTCTGAGTTGTGCTTTAAACCCTATGAAAATTATTTATGACTAGGTTCCCTTATAAGGAAATAAGGGAAATTAAAAATTATCCCAAAGCACAACCCAGGCTTGTAACGTTTTGTCTCTGCTTATCCTGTTGATATAACTACTATGACCGCTGTGCTTTATCTTGTTATTATTGTGACCACAGCCAACAAAGCTTCCTTCTAGTACCAAGTATCAGTCAGTTCTGCTGTTCCACTACCCGAAACTGCCTGTGACTTTGAGGGTTGTAAGGCCTCAGTGTGTTCAAAGCTGCCAACAGCTGGACTGAGGATCTTAGGAGTGTACCATTGGCAGGCCCCAAAGAGATTCAATTGAGTGTGCGGAGGTATGAACCATAAGATTTTGTGGGAGGTTTATGCGATGATAGATGCCTAGAGTCTCCGTTGTTGTTCTTTTGGGGGATCACGCTATAGGATCCTACATATAGAGTTGGTTGAACCAAAAAAGGAGCTGCAACGGAGACTACAGGTAGTCTAAACCCCAAGCCCCCAACCATCCTAAACCCTAATACGATGTAGGCTTGCCAGCCCGAAAGCGTCCTTTGTTGTAAGCGGCTCCTCAGCAGAATTGAAGGAGCATGCCTTTTTCAGGTAAAGCCCTTATGGTACCCTGAAAGTCTTAAAGGAACCCTATTTGGGCACAAGGACCCCTATGGGGGGAGAGTCGAGCACCCCAAAACTTGAAGCATATTGAGGCGACTTCAGAGCACTTGAAACTCCCTGCTTCTTAGTAGGGAATGGGGTTCCTTTAAGGGTTACTATAAGGGTCATGCTACAGGGGTTTAGGGTTCCTAGTAGGCTGTCTGCTGCTTAATCGGAAATGGGGGAATGGATTATTGGGGACTATTATTGGGGATTATATAGGGGCTACTATAGGGATCCATTCCCCCATACCCTACTGGGCACCAGGAGAAGCTGTGCTCCAGTAAGGCTTAGGGTTTGTTTGGTGGTTTAGGGATCAGGGGTTTAGAGGTTAGAGTTTTTAGGTTTGCGGGGTTCAGGAGCTGAGGGTTTTGTGCGCCATAAGGGGGCATCAGGTGGATGGAACTTGCTCGAGTTTCATGGCATGGGCGTCTAAAGAGCCCTACACCCAACATCAAAGGCTTCTGGAACAGGCGCAACAAGTCTCAGGCGAATGCACTTCCGACAACAACTCCATCTTAAAACCCGCAACTCTAAACTACATCACTGTGGCCGTAGAACTACCCACAGGCTCTCCCAAACGCCACAAAAAACGGGTGTGCCTTGTGCAAGAAAGCCCTCAAGCCACGCTTGGGCAGTGCAGGTCGCAGTGTGGGCATTGGAGGGGGCGCCAGGATCGCTGGAAGAAGGCCGCAGGAGAACCTTGGAGCAGTTTGTTGAGCTTTTGGGTTTCGGTGAGGGTTGGGGGGTTTAGGGTTCAGGTCTTTTGGGCGAAGTTCATTGGGGGTCGGGGGCTTTTGAGAGTCCGTAGGGTTGATGAAAGGTTTGGCATTCAGCGAAGCTTCGAAATGCATTCGTGCTAGGACGCCCTGTATATGGTGTACCCATAGGCCCCGTAGTAGTTCCTTTTGGGGGTTCATATTTAGATATTCCATAAGGTAATCCCAAAAAGGAACTACTATGGGGCCTATGGGTAAAGGCCTACTTAGTACAGTAGCACCTCGGATTCGAGTTATGCAAGCCTTGGCTGTGCTTGATCAGATCGGAAGGCACTGCGCCACTACTAGTCACCGCTACTACTACTACTACTACTACTACTACTACTACTACTACTACTACTACTACTAGACTACTACTACTGCTGCTGCTGCTGCTGCTGCTGCTGCTGTACTACTACTACTACTACTACTACTACTACTACTACTACTACTACTACTACTACTACTACTACTACTACTACTACTACTACTACTACTACTACTACTACTACTACTACTACTACTACTACTACTACTACTACTACTACTACTACTACGTACTACTACTACTACTACTACTACTACTACTACTACTACTACTACTACTACTACTACTACTACTACTACTACTACTACTACTACTACTACTATTACTATTACTACTACTACTACTACTACTACTACTACTACTACTACTACTACTACTACTACTACTACTACTACTGAAGATGATGATATCATTCAGAATAGTAAACATAATAGAATCGTAAAACTAAGCCCCTCCCCTAATGCTAAATGTTGTTGTGGGTGAAAAGGATTGCTTCGTGTCAAGGGGTGAACACTTTGAATGTTCCCATTGCTGGATGCCTGTTTGAAAACCCTTCCTTTGGCAACCCGCAGACCCTGCGAGGCTATGTTCTTGCCGTTGCTGCAGCCTGCAGTTCCCGAACAGTGCCTGCAGTCCTACGTTCCGGGCTGCAGTGCATACTGTCCTAAAGCATCAAGACCCCAAAATCTTAATAGAAGGAAATCAATCACTCACACACTCTAGGACACATTCGCTCTGGCAATGGTAAGGTTTCGGATAGTGGGGCAATCCCTGTCTTGACCTCGCGAGACAGAGAAAGAGGACAAACAGAGAGAGAGAGAGAGAGAGAGAGAGAGAGAGAGAGAGAGAGAGAGAGAGAGAGAGAGAGATAGAGAGAGAGAGAGAGAGAGAGCGAGAGACCATAAGGGCACCCCGAATCAACCCTATTTGTACTGTAGTCCCGGCCCTTTGCAACTCCTCATGCTCCCCAAAATAGTGGTCAATACTAGAGGGAGGCTGAACATGATATTATATTAAGACCGTCTTTACCCAGAGGCCCCTTAGTAGTTCCTTTTTGGGATTACCTTATCGGATTCTATACATAAACCCCAAAAAGGAACTAGTATGGGGCCTCTGGGTACAGCTGTGCTCTTCTAGGACAGTCATCATTGCCACAGCCAGCTCCAGGATTCGTGCAAAGTACAGACCCAAAGGGTCCTAGGTATTGTTATGGGGAATACCCCTAAGGGTCCATGTCCCTAAATAGTATATGCATTGGCCTTAAAGTACTCCCTACATGGGTACATTGGGCCCAAAGTATATACTATTTGGGTACATGGACCCTTACTTGGAGGGTCGGTGGACTTAGTAAGTAGGTAGTAAGTAGACTTATAAGTACCCTAAAAGGGACCCTAATTGGGGTTATGGTACTTATAAGTCCAAAAAATAACCAGTTACTAAGTCCCCCGACCCTCCAAGTAGGAATACTTCCCCAAATCATAATAGTAATTCCGAATATAGAAACCCTACAGTCTACCATACAGCTACTTTGGAGCCTTTGGGAGAGTAAGAGTGCCCCCTTTCTCGAAGCGACCACAAGACACTCCAGTTTTGCAGCCGACGAGGGGCCACAACCCCAAAATCCAAAAGCAGAAGTCCTTCGGCAGGAGATTTGGGGTCTACGGAGCTGCAGACGGAGAAAGTTGGGATGAGAAAGTCGGTATGCTGAGATGGCTTGGCGTGGATTTTGACGTAATCATAAAACAGCTAACTTGCCATGTGCTGGTTCCAAGATGGGTCCACTTGCCTGAGCATCGAGTTTGAGCGTTGGACTTGGTGATGTTCGCACGGAACCCTAAGGGTCCATGTACCCAAAAAGTATAATGTTGGGTCCGGATTAACAAACCCCCCCCCTCCCCCCGCTGTCAAGGTTGGCCCGGTTGAACTTGTTCATGGGTTCAAGTTTTTCCCGGCCCCCCCCTGATTATGTGGGGATGGGGTTAATTATTAAGTATAGTAGTAAGTAGATAGAGAGTACTTAGTAAAGTATTGCATTCGTACAATAGGAGTACAGTAGTATAGTTGTAGTACAGTAGTATAGTAGTAGTACAGTAGTATTACAGTAGTAAAGTAGTAGCACAGGAGTACAGTAGTACAGTAGTAGTACAGTAGTATAGTAGTATTACAGTAGTAAAGCAGTAGTACAGTAGTAGTACAGTAGTATAGTAGTATTACAGCAGGAAAAAATTAGTATAGTAGTAGTACAGTAGTATGGGGTTTAGGGTTAAGTCATAAGCCTCTAAATCCCCTAAATCCTTATTTCGGGGATTTTCGGGGATGGCCCCGTCTAATCGGGGGGGGTTTAAATGAGCTCCGGTACTATAGGGGTGGGGTCTAATGGACTTCTTCATTAAGCCCATGACATGCCCGGGACGGCCCCGTCTAATCTGGGGGGGTATCTTAATCCGTAAACAACATTATACTTTGACCCAATGTACCTATTTAGGGAGCACCTTAAGGCCAACGAATATGCTATTTGGGCACATAGACCCCTATAAACCCTAAACCCGTTAACCTTCTGAGCCCTATAAACCCTATAAACCCTAAACCCTTTATATAAGTCTTCTAAACCCTATGAACCCTATAAACCCTAAAAGCCCTTATAGAACCCTTAAAGGAACCCTTGCTGCCGGCACCCCTTAAAGGGACCATGGACCCTTAAGTGGAAGCGCAGGTTGATCCCTCATCTTCACGGCTATACCCAGAGGCCCCAAAGTAGTTCCTTCTTGGGATTACCCTATATAGATTCTATATACGAACCCCAAAAAGGAACTACTTTGGGGCCTCTACCGTCAGTCCTCGTGGTCGTAGTGGCCGCCCACGCCACCGATGACGGTGACCTTGTGGGAGCTTTGGGGTTTAGGGTTTTTAGGGTTTTTAGGGGTTTAGGGTTTTTAGGGTTTAGCGGTTTAGGGGTTTAGGGTTTATAGGGTTTAGCGGTTTAGGGGTTTAGGGTTTATAGGGTTTAGGGTTTAGGGCTGTAGGGTTTATAGGGTTTAGCGGTTTAGGGGTTTAGGGTTTAGGGTTTAGGGGTTTAGGGGGTTTGAAGTTTCCCAGGCTACCAGCTTGGCACGTCTAGTTACCGGTCAGTCAACCCTTGTGACCTTTTTCCACGGGGGACTTGGGCCATGTGCGGTCGCGTAAAGACATAGCTAAGGACCATAGGAATAGCAATGGAGGCAGGGTAAAATCTACACCCCCCTCGCCGTGCTGCTCGAGCTAAGGCGGATAGTACATGGCTCCAGGTTGCCCTGGGCTTCAACGGATTTGGGAATTTGCCAAAGCGAGCATTTATAAAGCACAACGGGGAAGCCCTGCAGGTCCGAAGCAAATCAGAATGAGGACTCAGCGCCTATGGGTGCGGTTCCATGCATCCCACTCGGCCTGAGTGTAACCTCCACGACGCTGGCGATAGTACTCGTCCCACTGGGCCTGAGTATAGCCTCTGTACATGGGCTCAGGTGCTGTCGTGCGACCACGTCCCTTTTGGGATGGGCGGTTCTGGACTGCAGCCTGGCGATTGCGCTCTGCCAGACGTTCCGTTTGGTCTGTCTGGTCCTGAGCACTACGGAGGCTATCGGTAAGGATCTGTCCGATCTCAGTTGTGATGCCTTCAATTGTGGTAGCCGACACATAGACTTCGCCGTCGAAAGTCAGGATCCTTTTCGCAGCATCGTTCACTGCTGCCACCTCAGCATAGAGTCGCGGAGGGAGGAATGCACCGAGGTAGGTCAAGCCGATGGGGACATCCGCGGTATCATCGATAAACCGCAAGTTCCTCAACGGCTCCACTTCGCAGTGGGCATAATAGACCAGCTTCGCAGGCGGGACATTGCCACCACCATAATGGGAGCCAGCACGCAAGTAGCGCTGCTCCTCACTGCGTCCTGGATCGGGAAGCACAGCGTTCGACAGGTGATCGAATTTCTGCATGTCCTCAAGGCTGCGGCCCTCTTGCATCATTCTCACGTTGAACTGCGCGTCCTTCTCGAAGCGGTCGGACACGGTGTCAAAGTTCAACTTGGCGGCCCTGATCTTTCGGTCTTTGGCGTCACGAATGGCGGCGGCCTCCGCGCTCATCTGACCACGCTTCTTTGGTCCCTCGCCCAGGCCTCGAAGGTCACTCGCGAGGAGATCATCGATGGGCTTCTGGGCTCCGGTCGCAGCGGTGGCAAGAAGGCGCTGGCGGAGTCTCGAATTCTCAAAGACTCGCTTTGTGATTTTCTTGGAGTCATCCGTCTGGGGAGCCTTGCAACGGAGGCAGAACAGCATGCCATTGGCAACGACTGCTGCGCACTCGCGGCATGGGTGAGAGCCAAGTGGGTACGGCTCATCCTCACCCGCATCCGTTGTATCGCCTTCATCGACTTCGACCTCAACCTCAACCTTGGTTTCGTCAAGGTCGAATGCACCAGCAGCATCAGCAGGCTCACCCTCGCGGGTGGCTTCATCCAAGTCCATGCTTTCGTCCTTTTCGGCGATTGCGGCGGGCTTGGGAACCACCTTCGGCATCTTCTTTGAAGCAATCGCTTTGGGAGCGATAGCCGCCTGTTTTGGGGGCGGTGCCGATGATGAGCTTGCTGCTGCGGCCTCCTCATAGTCGCGCTTTGCGCGGAAAATGCGCTCTGGCTCACCCTCGCGGGCGGCTTCTTTGTGCTCGGCGACGTAGAGCGGGAGGTTCTTTTTGCTGGTGTCGATGGCGGACAGCACGCAATCGGGAGGCACATTGTCCCGTGTGAGGACGCCGTCGGTCTCCGTGACGAAGAAAACGCATCCAGCGGCGATTGCTCGCTGCGTGTCTATCGTCAACTCGATCGGCTGGTTGGAGCGCATTCCACTCTTGTAGTGGGTGTCGTCCAACTTGTACGGGGACAGGTAGTTGTGGGACCTGTCTGACCTCGCGGAGCCGGCGATCATTCCATCGCGGAGGATACCCTTCATTCCCTTTTCATTCGTGCGGTGGAAGAGCTTTGGGGGGGTATCCTCGCGGGAGAGCACAGTGACCCCCCTGACGCTGCTCTGCAGGTCTGCCTCGTACTCGGACAATCCGCTGTAGAACCTGGTCGCAAGGAAGAAGTCCGCGTCCGGGTTATTGCCGATGAGCTTGGAGTTATGCCCTTGGGCCATCCTCACTCTGACAGGGAATAGCGGTTGACCCAGGGTGTCCTTCATTGGGACGTCAATGCCCAAAAGTCTGATCCGTCCCTTATTATCGGCTTTCGCTGCGCGTAGCAGCTGCCTCACACCCCAGCGTGCGCCTCGTGCCGTGTTGAAGACCTGGAGCAGAGTGTCAACGTCTGTCCAGCACCCACGGTCAAAGATCAATGCAGGGAAGCTGTCCATTTCATGGCCACGCAGCAGCTTGGTGAGGAACTTCAGGTCTCCGTGTTTGAATGTCACGTGCCTGTCTCCTACAATGTCCTCCGGGTTGAAGGGCTTCATCAAGTGCTTCTTGCCATTGTAGAAGTACTCATTTGGAAGCTCTGGCACAGTGGCAGCCCCTTGCGGGGCGCTTTCATCGATGAACATGAGCCTACGCATGGCATCCTCGTCTCGATCAGACTTCTTAGTCTTCTTCGGAGGCGCTGGCTCAACAACACGTCCAATCGATGAGGGGATAGGGTCGACCTGGTCGCCCTCGTCCACCAGTTCCACCGTGCCCGGGGTGTTGTAGGACACCTTGCCGTCTGCGTCCTGTGTGACGATGTCATGGACGCATTCCGCCACAGCACTAACGTCCGTGGTTGCACCGATCCTTGGCACATCCTTGCGGATGGCTTTATCCATGGGTGGCCCCTCGGAGATCTTATTGACGTCGATTGCGTCAGCGGCATCTGGGGCTTCCCACATCTTGTCCTCCTGGGTGACCGGCATTGGCTTGGCCTGTTTCGGGTTCATCAGCTGGTCCTTCTCTGCACGCCACTGCTTGAAGACATCCTCGAGCACTGGATTGTTGGCATCGGAGCCAGTCTCAAAGTGCTCATAGCGAACAAGCAAAGCCCTGACACAGGGTGCCATCTTCTGGGCCAGCCATTCGCTCCTGCTTGCATTGATAGTCGCATGCAAGTAGGTCTGGAATAACTCGCGGTTGCGAGGGTCTTCGCTGGCGTGAAAGCTGTCATACATTTCCAGCTTTTCGACCAAGGTGCTTGCGGTTTGCACTTGCAGACCGCGCTGCCTGAACTCTTCGAACATAGCGGCATTGAAGTCGTTGTAGGCTGAGTGGAGTTGGAACAAGTCCGCCTCCACCTGCCCAATCACCTTCACAAAACCAATGTCCGGCTCGCCCGCGAGGGCGGCTAAAACATCCGCTGCCCTTCTCACTTTCCGTGCGACGGTCTCCGTTGTGACATTGGGATCTCTGTAGGCGAGTCCCGGTCCTAGCCGCGTGGGGATGCAGCCCCACTGGCCGGAGATCTCGTTCCCGCACCACCAGCAGATTATGTCGATGGTGTGGTCCGGATAGTTGCTCCTGAGCTCCTTCACATGCTCCTCGACCTGCCAGACAATCCACGCCAAGGTTTTACCCCAACACATGGTATAGCGAGTCTGCGCCCATCCCAGCGTAAAGCTTGCGATGTTCACTTCCGCATCCAAGTCGGCCTTAACGAACACTCCCCGCCTGTTCTTCTTGCAAAGTGCAGTGGAGCTGTCTGACACGACTATGATGGCTCGCTTGGCCTTGGGGCTCAACCTTGCGGTTGGCTTCAACTTGGCGAGTCCCTCGTCACTGAGGTCAGCCATCTGGCGCAGAGCCACAGTGGTTGCGTCGGCATGGGTCAAGGATACCCCAGCCGCGCACTGTGTGGATACGCAGCTGTACGCCGACTCCAAGAGCTGGCTCTCATGATCGGCGCCGAGCGAAATGATATCGTTGTTGAGGGCGGCGGATTGGAGAATGGTTTTCATGGCCTTGGTAACCCCATTCCTGTCTGCTTCGGAGGTGTTGACCCTGCAGAACTCGTCGCTCACAACGATGGCTGCCATCTTGGGGATCGTAGAAGTCGCTTCGGGCAAGTCGAGAAGATCAGAACCAGCTGAAATTGCAATGGCAGGCGTGCACATAAAGAAAGCCAAGATTTCATGGTCAAGGCTTGCAGTTTGTTGTGTGTTTGTGCACTCGAGCGATGTGTGTGCAAACGAATCATTTTCGAAACGAGAACACGGTTTGTTAAGCCTACCCCCCTCATCGAGAGGGGAACCAACACACCTCAAACAAACCATTGCATTCTGAGCTGGGAGCTTCAACTGAGCCGTAGGCAAGAGGAACTGCGCTTGATGTAGGAATTGTTTTTGCTTTTTGTTGAACTTCTGGTACCCCCCTGAAGAGTAGGCGATGAAGGAATGTCGTTCGCCAGTGTAGGGTTGTACACCATGTTTTGTCGATGGATGCAACAGAGTGGGCTTGCGGTATGTGTTGCAATTGTAGCCTTTGTGGTCTTTGCCATGATCATCTGTGTATATTCCCGGTGGTCCCAACTGGCTCGCGCCCTCAATCCACAGTGTCCCCCCTGTATAGTTACCGAAGGAGAACGTCAGGTTGTACGATTCTTTCTGATTGTACTTATCCGTGTGGATGCGGGCCTTGCCATTGAAGTTGAACACGAACGAAGTCCATGTAAACCCTTTCGGAGATGATTGCTTAACAAATCCATTCACATACCTGCAAATCCATGGATAATGTTTTGTGCGGTTGGTAATACCAAAGCACCCACCATGGACCCAAGCGCCGAACACCAAGTATTTGGATAGGTTCTCAGAAGCCATCAATGCTCGCGGTTTTGCCAATGATGCCTTGAGATTGGTACGAATAAGCCCAGCTAGCTTTTCGAAGGTCTTGAAGCTGTAATCGTTAGCCTCGAACGATTGTTGAGCGAAGTCCTCGACAGCCTTTGATGCATCCGGAGCTGCTGCTACCGAAACCTTGTTGTCAACCTCGACCTTCGACTCGGGTTTGCACCCGGCTACGTTCGCGCTGGTTGTATGTCCAATAAGCTTCAAGGCATGCGTCCACTTGTTCTTTTCAGTGAAAGGCTTCGTGAACACATCCGCCACTTGTTCGGCTGTACCAACATTCAGTAACTTGAAATGCCCAACCTCATATTGCTGTTTTAGCCATGAGAAACTCACCCTCTGTGTCCGATCAGTATGTCGTAGAACACCAGCTTGCCCTAGCAACAAAAGAGTGATTGTCGCCTGGTTATCCTCCATATGTCTAACCTCGAAACTTTCAGGAAGCTGGACACAGAGGCCGTTGATGTCTGCGATTGACAACCCATCCGGTCTAGTGGACCCATAACGAATTTCGTCAAGTTCAGGGTCAATGCGTGCAACTATCGAATCCACCCTCTCAGCCCTTGGCTCGGCCTTGCGGCCGGCATCTCCACGCCATAGGAAATACCACAAGCTCAGGCAAGGTAGACCTTCGGCACGTAAACCGTGATTCGCTGCTACAACTTCGGACTCAGTAGAGCTCATTGTAATAGATGTTTGTTTCTTGCTGAAGGCATTGAGGGGAAAGTACGTGTTCGGTCCAACCAAAAACATCGCACATCCTGTAGTCGATTTTGAATCGAATTCGCCCGCAAAGTCGGAATCGCTGAACAACCACAGTCTGCAATCCATTATGCTGTCGCCTATGAAACCGCTCATAGTGACATCAAGCGAAGAGTTTATGTAGCAAACCAACCTGTGAAGTCCCAAGTCGCAATCTGGACTCCACTTGGTCACCCTCGACGCTAAAGACTGTGTTGCCCTTAGAAGGTCCCATCTGGCCATGCGAGCAGCGAACAAAATCTTCATTAGTACCTTACTAGCAATAGGTTGCAAGCGCCCTGCCTTCTCTCCTTCGGAAGCTGTTGGCAAAGCCACACGTAGCTCATGGAAGGGGGTTGCAGCTGGTTTCAGGGTCTTACGCTCTACCTTAGCAAGCTCGCAGTACCGATCAACGCAAGAGTCGAGAAAGTCCTTCATATCGTACGTGATGCGAGTGACTGGCTTGGTCATCGCGCCGGGCTTCTCTTTAACGTCTTGCGACAATGTAACAAACTTGCTCTGCTTCGCCTCCTTTTTAGCCTCAGACTTGTTACGAACCGGCTTGCCCTTGCGGGCAGCTGCAACTGCCAGCTCGAAATCAGACTGTTCCCGGCCTGCGAGGTCGAAGTAGGTTTCGCCGTCCCACCAATCCTGAAGACAGCGATCGCGCATTTGATTGCAACTGTCAACAACAACTTCCTCCGACTCACCCTTGCGGGTGGCTTTAGCCACCACAGTGTATCTCCGAGGGCCGATCCCCGGGAACATTCTAGCGTCATCCTCGTTGGGGACATAAAGTCTTTTGCGAGGATAACGGTGATGTCGGATTGCTATGAGATTCTCGGGGTCAATATCCCAATAGTCTTCTTTTCTAGCAGGAGTTGCAGCTGATGATTCGGGCTCAAACACGTGACGAAAAGGGTGTGCTTCCTTGGGCAGCTTGAGGTTGTGTTCTTCCTTGTGCATGCACCCAAAGTATCTACCAATGGCTTCCGGAAGATCCATATCAATGACGCTCGAGATCAAGTCCCATCCCTCCTTGATAGAGTTCTTAGGGCCAGCGAGTTTAAAGTCATCGACGTACACCACTAAAAGCAGCTTCTTCTTCGGGTGGTAGAATACACTCTTCCAAATGTCAGTCAATACTGCCTCGAACCCGACTTTCTTCAACTCAGCTTCGCAATGATGTTCCCAAATCCCCCCTGAATCGGGGTGTCCGTAAAGTGCCAATTTGAGTGGAACAACAGGATCTTTCATGCCCTGCCATGCCTTAGGCCAGCGATTGCGAGGCAACCGTACCCAAGTGGCAACCCCTTGGAACAAAGCTTGGGTGTATGCTTGCTTGGCGTCGGCCTGCTGGATGATGTAGCCAGGTTGTGAGCCAAAGACGTCAAGAATCTTTCCTGCTTCCATAGATGCAGGACTGCTTGACATCTCCGCAAAGAGCGCGTGATCGGCGTTTTCATCAAGTACTTTATTTCCCTGAAATACCGAACGTCCCTTATACTTACGGTTGGGGTCGCCTTCTTTCAGCTCGGCTCCCTTTAGGGTACCAATCTCGAAAACATTGCCAAAGTGAACCTTGGTTTGAGATTTCTTAGCTTCGTTGGCAACCGACTCGAACTCCCTGACTTTGCCTTGTACCCAGCAGCCCTTGTCAACCAATTTCTGCCATTCTTTGTCCATGGCAGCCTGCGCCTTAGGGTTTGTTGCAATCTCCTTAGACGACAGGACCTTGGCGACAACAGCATACATCTCATCTGCGATCTGAAAAAGCTTCTTGTCATATAGCCCTTTGAGTCGTTCCCGATGTTCCTCGCTACACCCATGTAGGACTGGCATTGCAGGTACCGCCTTTACAGCTTCACGATACAGTGCCTCATTCTCCTCATGTAGCTTCTTCTCATGTTCTGCAATTGCTGTTGCTCTTTGTCTTTTCGACATAGACTTCCATGTAGTATGATCAATAGCGTTAGGGCGGTTCTTGTTGTTCTTCTTGACCAAACATTCCCCACTCCACGTATAACCATACGGTGGTTCTTGCGCTGCTACTGCTGCGCTGGACTTCAGCTTCTGCTTCACAGAGAACGGAACATCATCAAGCAATGCTGCACGGGAATCAGACTTTGACTCACCCTTGCGGGTGGCTTCTTTCGCGTCCTTCGGCGGAGGATCTTTATCACGATCAGGACCAAATAGCTCTGGGAACATTTCATCCAGGTCTTCGCTAAGTTGCTCCTGAATTGTGGCTTCATCGTATCCCCCCCCTTCCTCCAGAGGAGGATGCGGGTTTTGCTCATCAAGGACATTGTGATGTTGTGCATCAAGGCTTGGTGGTTTATCCAAGGCAGGCTCTTGCAACAAAGGAAACTTAAAGTCACCATCTGGTAGCTCCAGTCTCTTAGTCCGAAACACACGTAGATCTTCGTTTTCCAACGCGGCTTCGATGTTGTGTAGGGGAGCAACAACGTACTCAAGCTTGAAGATAAAACCAGGTTGGATGTGATACCCAAGGAATATACCTTCAATCCCTGTACCAGAAAACTTGGATCGTTCAGGCTTGCGTTGCTTCTTCGGGGCCCAATAGAGAACTTTCGCTCCAAAGGGAATACGCATGCCATTGAACTTTTCACCATACCTGATTTCCCACGGAATCTGACCATTGTCAATCCTCGCAGTGATGTTAAGACACATAGCATGATGTTGAGATGCAAGAGGCCAATAGCGATCTGGAAGTCCTGATTGCACTAAATTGGCCCGTGTGCCTTCCAAAATTGTTCTGATTTCTCGCTCGATTACGGCCTTGTTTTCGTTCACATACTCTCTAGAAGTGTTGTGACGAGCGCGAAGCTGTCTGGCCGCAAAGTCAAACTCCAACGCATTGTCGGAATATATAACCTTTACCTCATCATCTGTACCAAGGAAGTGCAACATGTCTTCGTAGCACTGCTCACCAGACTTTGTCTTGGAAGGGTACACGTATCTAAACTTGGAATACACGTCCTTCACAACATGAGCCACGGTTTCATCTTGGAACCCGTAATCCTTGGCATCAGCGGTCACGATGTGATCTACTGTGATGTGGTCACCGAACGATTTACTGTAGATTGTAGAGGATCCACCAGATTTACGCGCCTGGGGCGCATACATCTTGGCCCTTTGGCAAATGGGACAGAACGGATTCTTTGGTCTATGGGTAAGTCGATGTTCCAAAGACACAGCCTCAGCCCTCAAGGAAGCTTCATCCTTCTTAGACTTTGGCATTGTGTATGGCTCGACATCGCTGTCGGCTTGCGCCTCAACTTCCCCTTCAGGCAAAGCAAACAATGTGATAGTCGCAATAGTCCCTTCAGGTACTTCCCCATAGATTCCGTCCAATTCGTCAATGTTGACTGAATCCTCCAACAAAGACCACACGTCATCCTTGAATCCCCAAGTAGTCCGGATTCTATACCTCGGGAACTTAGGAGCCGGTGTTCGAAACGTCTTTGGGAAATGTGCCACCTTAGCAGCGGGGCTGCCGTTGATGACAGTCCAACCTGCCTTTAGCAGTTGCCTCGTTTCCACCCCAGGAATGGGGGGAATGCAATTCGCCATCTTTTCGATGGGATCTTCTGCCGCGCCAGCTGGACCTTCAGGTTCGTGTTCGTGCTCTCCCCTAGCTGGTGCGGCGTGCCCTTGCGGGCAGCTGTTTACCGAAAACCCGAACCAGACTTGACAGAGGTCGGTGCAACCTTGCTGCCATCAGATTCTGAGGACTTTGCTGCTAAGCATGCCATCAATGGTCCTCGGTCGCCAAATACGGGGACATTGCCTCGGAGTTGGCAAATCATCTTCTGACCGTCTGGGCAAATGAAATATGGCGCCTCACCCGCTGGCCAGTGGAAAGAGAACCCCTGTTCCATGCACTTCTTTCCTACAGAGCAAACTGCAGGTGTGTTGGGGAGCTCAACGAACTGCAATGGGTTCCTCAATGACTCAATGTAGACTTCATGCTTGGTATCAGCGTCTACTGGTCCGTTAGCAGTGATCAAACTCACTGGGTTGGAAGCAACCTTCTTAGCCTTGCCCTTGAAATGGGCCTCCAAATCAGAGTGACTAATCAGATCTTCCTCGCTACCGGTGTCTGCGATGATTTCGAGGTTCTCACCTGTCACCGCCGCTGCAGCAAGTTGGGGCAGGGGAATTGCTTCTTTGCAATGGATGCAGAATCCTTCTCTACCCCGACACCTGTAGTTACACTTGACCCGAACCTTAAGCTTCATCCCGTTCACTGCTGATTCCAAGTGACGGGCATTCTGCAAAGCTTCTTCGGTGTCTTCTGGAATTGATGGTGGGCATAGCTCCGCAGACTTGTACCTGAATTCGAACTTGTGCTTGTCTGGTACGAAGCTCCAGCCTTCACCCTCAGGCGGGATGTCAATGATTTCTGGCCTTAGGAACTGGACTTTCCTGCTTCGGGGCTTTCCGGCAGGGCCCTTGCGGGCTGCTACTGCGTAGGCCTTCACAGCATCGGCCGGTGGCTCACCCGTGAGGGTGGCTGTGAGGGAAAGACAGCAAGCGGCTGGCTTGTCCTCACTCTTTGGCCTTTTCTTACTGGGTCGCCTGCGCTTGCCGGAAGGCGATCTCTTCCCGTCCTTGCCAGCCTTATCGCCTTTGGCCGGGACAGAGGGAGCGGCATCCTTGTGCATGAATGGGCAATTCTTACCGTTCTTGCAGGTGCCTTTGGGGTAAAAGATGCAAGGAATCTTAGAGGTATCCTTCTTCTCCCCACCTTTACCGCCTTTACCTCCACCTTTTCTCGAAGGGGTACGTGGAGGCGTTCTGCCCCTTGTCTGTTCAGGAGTAGGCTTCACATGCTTGTATGGGCACTTATCACCTCGTGGGCACTTCCCACGCTGGAAAGCGTAGCAGGGCTTGTCCTGGCTTCGGCCGCGAGGGGTGTTCGGGGTATCGGAAGGAGCAGGGGCACCAAATCTGGCGCCATGAGCTTTGGCGATTGCTGTGCGGTTTTTGCGAGTCCTATCTCTAGCCAATAGCTCTTTCACGCATTTGACCAAGTAGTCGTAAGTGCGTTGCTCTGTTCCTTCCTTAGCCCTGTCGTAGACCTCCAGATCAAACTTGAGCTTGCTAGCATTGCGAAGCTGACGAAGTAGAATATCTCTCAGCGTAGTCTCCTCGGGTTGGTGATTCAACCCTGCGATGACCGACTCCCAGTTGTGAATGAAAGTGCTAAGGTCATCACCATTCAACTGCACCTTGAGTAGATCTTCTACAGAGTAGAGGGAGCCTGCTTCTTCGTTGGTCTTAAAGTAGTGTTCGAACATCAGTAGAACCTGTCTACCACGAACGGCCCTACCAGCAGCTGCCTCAGACTCCTTGTAGTTAATGATCTGTCGTCCAAGATCACCCCTAGCAACCCTCGAGAGCGCCGAAAGGATCTTCGTGTCCAAAGTGAGGAATTTACCCGTGTCCCTCAACTTCTCCGCATCGGCGTCCCTGGAGTAAACCTCTTGAACCCATTTGAATGCCTCATCGGGTCTGTCCGATGCTGCCCGAACGGCCTCCCTAACTGTGATCTTCCAGCTCCTATAAGTCTCCGGGTTAGGGAAGTCGGGTAGCTTCACCGTTTCAGCTTCCTTAGCCTTGGGTTTGTCATCATCAGGCTTCTGGATAACCGACTTGAGTGCTTCAGCGAGAAGTACGCTAGGTTCTTTGTTTTCAGTAGATTCTGCCGGTTCTTTGTTATCACTCTGTTCAGCAGCAGATACCGCTACATTGTGGGCCTTGGTATCCTCAGGCTCTCCAATGTCATACCGTTGGGTCCTTCCCAAAACCGTCCGAAGCGACACAGGAATCTCCCTGGGGTTCGGAAGAGTCGGAATCCATGAATGGCTAGGACCCTGAACAAGCGGCGCTGCGGCACCACCTTGCGGTGGGCTTGGTTGAAGTTTGGAGCTCTCACTGGGATCGACTTTCACCGGCACGGCACCACCTTGCGGTGGGCTACTCTCCGCTGTCGACAAGACAGTCCTGAGTGAGTCGACCTCAGCTATAAGCTCCGCGTTCCTGTCCTGCAGGTCATCAACCAAGCTATCGTACTGCTGTGCCTCAGAGGTTAGCCTATGGTAGTACTCGTTTTCTTCCCATTGAAGCTTTTCCTCAAACTCAGACCCTAAAAAGGCAATCATCTCACTGTGGTTTTCTTCGATACTCGAGCGCAATTCCGCGAAACGGCGTTCATGCTGTCTGTTTTCCGCAGTGAGCGTGCGCGCTGCTGCTTCCAGCTCGGACCGATGTGCATCAAACTGCATGGCCATAGACCTTTCATCATGACTTTCCCTTTGTGCGCGTGCCAGCTGTGCCTGCAGCTCATTGGCTGATTGTCGTTCTGATCGGGCGATTGTCTCTAGCACTCGTACTTCATTGTGTAGCTGTCCCACCAACAGGTGCGTGGATTGGCTAACAAATGCTAGCTGTTGACGATGATTCGCATCCGCTGTTGCCTCTAGGTGTGCAATGTATGCGTTGGCTTCGGCGTACACGTTGTCCAATGCAAATCGATGTCGTTGTTCCGCGCGAAGCTCCAAGGCACTTTGAATGCGGGGGTCATTCAGGAACAAGTTCACCTGAGTATTCTCCTGCAACAAATGCAAGAAGTACTGGTTCGCTTCCTGCTCCTGTCTACCACCAATACCACCGTCACCGTTGTTGCCCGCGGCCGTTGAGAACGGCACGATGTCCATTACGGAGCTAACTACGGCTGATAACCTGAAGTTTCCCAGGCTACCAGCTTGGCACGTCTAGTTACCGGTCAGTCAACCCTTGTGACCTTTTTCCACGGGGGACTTGGGCCATGTGCGGTCGCGTAAAGACATAGCTAAGGACCATAGGAATAGCAATGGAGGCAGGGTAAAATCTACAGGGTTTAGGGGCTTCGGGTTTAGGGGTTTAGGGGTTTAGGCTTTAGGGTTTAGGGGTTTAGGGGGTTTCGGGTTTCGGGTTTAGGCGTTTAGGGTTTAGAGTCGCTTTCGGGTTTAGGGGTGTAGAGGTAGCCACTACGCGTGCTGCCTTCATCGCTTGCAAACAGCTCGGGATTCCATGCACAAGCCGTCTTCGCGTAGGGCTGTTCAGGGGCCCATTGCTCGTACCCAAAGGGTCCATGTACCCAAATAGTATATACTTTGGGCCCAATGTACCCATATAGGGAGTATATTAAGGCCAATGTATATACTATTTAGGTACATGGACCCTTAGGGGTATATTCTGGACGAATGCGGTTAGTTCGGGAAGTTTGCAACACTGCTCGACGGGTCATGCATGCTGCATCGAGCATGCCGCCTATGCACTAAGACTAAGCCCCCGATAGCAAAGGCTGTGGAACCAAACTTGAGTGTTGGGAGGCAAGGCCGGGCATCATGTCCAAAGGTGAACAAGAACCCTAAACCCTAAATCCTAAATCCGGCTGTGCGCCGTCTCAGGTGAAATTCCGCTTATCTCGTGCAGAGGCAATTGCGGGAGGACTTTTGATCGGGGCTGTGACGAACTGCGATGGTACGTTGTACCCTAAGGGTCCATGTACCTAAATAGGGGTCTGCTTTACGGGGTGTACCTTTAAGGGTGCCTTTAAAGGGATCTGTAAGGGATCTATAAGGGTGTAGGGTATAAGGGTCCATGTACCTAAATAGCATATACATTGGCCTTAGAGTACTCCCTAGAGGGTTCATTGGGCCCAAAGTATATACTATTTGGGGTACATGGACCCTTAGGGAAATCTGGTTTCAGGCTATGGCCTGCATCAGGTTTATAGGGAGTAGAGCGTTTACGGCACGTGCTCTGCTTGCAGACGGTTCGCGACAGTCAAGGTGTCCACGGCGTGGAGGAGATAGGTATGCAAGCCTTGGGACAAATAGTACCAATCAGGACAGCGTGGTCTCCAGAGATGTCCCAAGCTAATATAACTCATACCTACCTTTAGTCTCCATTTTCGTTCCGTCTTTGTACCTTAGCGGTTACCTTATAGGGTCCTATATACAAAACTGGTTAAACCAACAAGGGAACTACTGTGGAAACTGACTACAGGTAGTATCGCAAACCTGAGATGCCTCCGTTTCCAAGATGACTTCTACTCCTAGCCAGGAGCGAGCGCGAGGTCGAAAGGGCAAGCGCACGAGAAGCTTTGTAGACTCAGAAAACATCATTCCGAGCAGCGGGAAATCCAGCTGTCGATCTGCCTCAGCGGCCACTCACGGCACAACTTACGAACCGGTTTAAGGGTTTAGGGTTGAATTTTGAGACAAACCCCTGTTATCCAATACTCAGCACACACGCCTGGTTGCTCTTACGGTCTCAACAAGCTCAGGAGGACGCAAGGCGGGATTTGCAACTCTGCAGATCGAACAGAAACCCGGAAAAGCTGACCCTGAACCCCACTGTGCTAAACCGTAGGAATCAGAGCGCTTCAGATTGTGCTGGAATTTTCGGCCAGCACACATGCACCCTTCGGATCTAGCTTCAACAGAGTTTCACCTCGGGAATCTTGCTTGCGATGTAGGGCAAGGGCCGTGCAATTTAGCTGGAGGAGGCAGAGGGCTTCTCCCATGGATCAAAACCCTATGGCACCTTTACGTCTATATCTATGTGTGTGTATATATATATATATATATATATATATACAGATACATGTCATGTAAAATTTCTTCACCTTCATAAAGACTTTGGAGTCACAGGATTCTGTTGCATATGTACATGAACCCTTCCTTCTGTGCTAAATCCTACAGATCACTCAGAAAACAGCTCTATTAAACACAAAAAACCCGTTAGTGGTAGATCTTTTAGAACAGCTCCTTCGGCTTCGGGCTTCGGAGTGTTGTTCTGGTTCCCTGAACCCTAAATCCTGAAACATGAACTCTCAACAAAACCTTGATTCTCGAACTCTAGACGCCAAACCCTGGAAAGCGACCCAAAACAAACCCTGAACCATAGATCACATTTTGGAGTCCGAAACCCTCATTCCTGCAGCGAGATACGCAGCCAAAGCCCCCTCCAAGCCAAGGCCCTCGCGGGAGTCCTCCACAAAGGCAAAGACCCGCAAAGACCATGTAGGTTTAGGGCTGAAGGTTTAGGGTTTGCAGGGTTTAGGGTTGAAGGTTAAGGTTTAGGGTTTAGAGTTTAGGGTTGGAGGTTACCCTAAGGGTCCATGTACCTAAATGGTATATACATTGGCCTTAAAGAACTCCCTATATTTGGGTACATTGGGCCCAAAGCATATACGTTTTTGAACATTTGAACATTTACGGGCTTTCGGGGTATGAAGCTTCGGCTTCAAAGGTTTCGGGCTTGGGGCTTTAGGGGTTTTAGGGGTTAGGGCTGTAAGGGTTTAGGGGTTAGGGTTGAGGGGCTTTGGGTTTCGGGCTTGGGGCTTTAGGCGTTTAGGGCTAGGCCCTGTAAACCCGGCAAGGTCTGTTCGAAGCTTCGTCGCAGAGTTTCAAGTTTTGCACTCCGGAGTCCAAGCTAACGCATCAAGCCTTGGCCTTCAGGCTTTAGAGCTTGCCTCTAGTGCGACAGTGGTCAGTAGGACGTAGGATGCACGGTGCTGTAGGTACCATAAAACCGGGGACTTCGGACGAAGCGAGACTGACTGGACAGAACTCGTTCTTCCCTGGGCGGAAAGCAGGGCAACGAAGAAACATCCGAAGCCCGACCATCCATGATCCCCGGAATAAAGCATCAATCCTGAACACTGAAGCAGCTTAACCCCTCTACGATTATGTTTTGCTGGCCGAAGGAGAAGCCTGCAACCCTCCTTAATCAAACCCCAGCTTTCTCAGCGTCAGAACCGGCCTTGGCCGAAATGGCGTCAACACCTGCAGCTCGTGGGGATGTGAAGCATGAAACCACAGTGACCTGTGGGAGTTGTTTAGTACCACCACCGACAGTTTTCAGCAAGTCACGGAGCCTACTAAAATATACAGGGGCCTTTATGATAAGATACCCAAGTAGGGTGCCCTATTTTGAGTTTGAGGAACCTCTCTCTGACGCTGTCGTCGTTGCTACGTTTAGAGCGTTTAGGCTTTAGCCGATCAGAGGCCCCATAGTAGTTCCTTTTGGGGATTAGCTTATAGGATCCTACATGTGGGTGGCTGTCAAAATTATGGCCCCCTTTGGGGTACCCTACATATTAGGTGCCGTATGACAATAGGGACCCAAAAAGGGACCCTAATATTGACAACCACCCATATGAACCCCCAGCAAGGAACTACTATGGGGCCTATGGGTAGATGTCCCAAAAGCCGGAGCTGCCAAGACAATGCCTCAAACCTCTAGGGTTTAGAGTTTAGTGACTCAGGACCAAGCAATCCATGGCTAAACCTAAACCCCTAAGTTCCTACTGTACTTGTCCGGTATGCCAGGGGAACGAAAGGAGAAGTTTTGGGGGCGATATAGGGTTAAAACTACCCCAAAACGGCTAAAGGTTCCCGACTCCAACGAAAGGATAAGTTTTGTGGGCGATATAGGGTTTAAACTACCCCAAAACGGTTAAAGGTTCGCGACTCCGTTACTACGAATGCTCCTGATGGATCAATTATGGGTCAAAGGGACTGCCATCAGTGGAATGCCCAATTTCGGAACTAGCAAACAAAGCTATCCTAAAGGCTAAACCCTCCCCATATCTGAGGTAGCTGCAAGCATACGATACGCTGGCAATGGAGACACCAGAAAGGAAGACCTGAGCAAACAGTCACAATGCTCGGCACCTGCTGGCTGTCGTTATGCACCAGTATATCATGCAAATTACGTAATACATAGTACCTGAGCCGTAGGAAATCATGTACAGTATCGAACCTATGGAACACTATATGTAAGATGCAATAGTGAAAATGAAAACAATATGCAGCACACACGACTGCACCCTCTATAGCACTGATAGATATGATCGATCACGATTACAGATATCTCGTGTCTCCAGCATTGCTATCTGATGTTACTGTGCTATACTATACGGCCTTAGCAGTTAGCGATTTGGGGCCCACTATATACTATACTTGCAATGAGGAACCCCCACAAAACTATAGGCCACTATTAAGGCCTCGGTGCTAAACCGTCCTAGACGCTGCCTCCAGCCGTGACCCTCAGACCCAAGGGTCCAAAGGACCTAATAATGTGGTACTTGGGTTTAGGACATTAGTTATTATCATGTCGGTTTATACTTGGGAGTGTTTGATTATTAGGTACTTGGACCCTTGGGGTCAGACCCACAGCCGAAAACTGAGCAACAAGTTCGGCACTGACCTAGCGACCAAAGACACTCAGTGTCAAGGTCTACTTGCAGAGCCGACAGCCCCATGAACCCAATCCCAGTATCGAAAAGCAGCAAACTGGCCTACACCCGAATCCCTTAACCCTAAACACTTCCTCACCACGGGGCATATGTCATCATCACGAACCGGAGCAGGCCGTTCTCCTGAAAGCCAGACCTTCAGGTGTTTTGGGGTTTAGGGGTTAGTGTTAGGGTTTAGGGGTTTGGGCTTCAGGAAGGGGCAAAGTCCCAGGCGTACTGTCTGGCAGGCTCAAATCTTCTTTGCCGAGTACCTCGGGCTCAGGACTAGTGACTAGTGGCTTGCCTTGCTTTCAAGCTGGCATAAGGCTTTAAGCTTTTTGGGCTGCTATAGGCTCGGGGTCTGGAGTTTTCTGGCTGATGCCAGGGCCCTTTCTAACTTAAAGAGCAAGACGCAAGCGTCTGACATCATACGCTCACCCTCAAGAGGAAAATATGAAACTACAACAAACAACTACTCCCTAAACACATGCATCATAAAGCACCAACATGGCGAACTAAGAACAAAGATACCATGATTTTAGTACGTCTCTGTGCACTATGAACCCTATTTTCCAAACGGCATATGCAGAGGCGACGAGAGGGGTGCAAGTTGCCGCGAAGGAGCAAGAGGATGTCTGTCCCCTCTGCGCTGGCCATGGCAATAACAGCCATCATGGGAACCTGTGTCAGCTTACCTATGGGTAGTAGGGCATGGAAGACTGGTACTAATAGTAGTTACAGTTGTACCCCATTCCTCCACCCAAAGGTAAGTCAGGGGCAAACGCAACCCTAAACCCTAAACCCCGATGCCGAGGAGGCTTTACCTGCAGTCTCAATTGTAGTTCCATTTTGGGGGTTACCTAAAAGGTGCCTACTTAACTTATATTATAACCTGGCTAAACCCCAAAAGGGAAACTACAATGGAGAGTATAGGTACGATTGGGGCAAGAGGAAGCACGGACCCAGACATGCCCCAGCTTCGAAAGGCCATCCAATTGTTCCCTTTAGCAGAAGATGGGGAGATCAGGTTTCTAGGCTTCGGGTGTAGGGTGGGGGAAAATGGGTTTAGGGTTTAGGGTTTAGGGTTTGGGGTTTAAGGAATAGGGTCTTAATGGATTAGAGTTTAGGGTTTCAGGCTAAGGGGGGCTTCTTGGAGGTGTTTGTAGAACAAAACGGCCTTGCCAATCACTGTGGCCAAGAGCTCCATCTCCGGCGAAGACGCTGCACCATGGTACTCCTCATCGTGTTCCAGACTGCAGGTGCCCTTTACCCTATGCCCGGGTTTAAACCCCTTGGAGCAGACTTTTCGTCGAAACGCCGAGGTTATATAGATGCGTCTGGTATAACCCCTAGCCCTAAGCCCCGAAACTCAACACCACGCCCTCTCCTGTCCCACACCCCCGAAGCACACTAAACCCATCGCCAACATCCACATCAACACCGCCAGAGCCCTTGCAGACACAACAGCCTGCATTCTCGGGTTAAGGGTTATTAGGGTCAAGGGTATAGGGTTCTGTGATCCCCCAAGAATCGAAGAGCTGGCTGCTGCGGCCTATGCAGAAATTCAAGAATCAGGGGCCTCTGTGGAGAATTGAGCATCTGAACTTGCTTACCCTAAACCCTAACCCATAAACCCTAAACCCCCTTAAAACCAAAACCAAACCCCTAAACCCTAAGCTCCATTGAGCATCTGAACTTCCTTGCCTTGGAAAATTCCTTCGCTGCTTGCGCCCTGAGCTCTTCAACTCCGGAGGGCTGGGCCCGAAGACCCCTTCTTCCAGAGATTACCTTTTGTCTCCATTGTAATTCCTTCTTTTGGCTTAACCACTTTTAAATGTAGGATCCTATAAGGTAACCCCCACAAAGGGACTACAATGGAGACTACAGCTACTGCTACATTCTGCTGACGTGCCCATCTCAGGTTCAGTCCTGCAGATGTCGAAGCCCAATGCCAGCCATCGCGATGCGCCGGCAGCCCTGCGTCGCGGGCAGTTTTTCAGAGGATCTTGGGATTCAACATGTGGGAGATTCCGAAAATTAGCGGTAACCTGTTTTGGGGTCCTTATTCTAAGGATCCTACTGTTTACGAAACTATATTAGAGTCCCCTATTTCCGGACACTTCCATGTTTCGAAGCGAATGAACTGGGCTGCGTACAAATAGCAGATCAACCTTAAAGTCATTGAGCTATTGCTTGTGCGTAGGTTTCCCCGGACAACTTCGGCCTCACCGTTCAGGGCATCGTAGATGGCGTAAGGCCAAGACCTGGGAAAGCTTGTGGTAAGGGAGCTTCGTTCAGAGGGTTATAGCGTGCATTGTTCAGGGTTGGGGTTTGGAGGTGCAGTCTACGGGCCACCCTGAGCCCTTCGGGTTTAGGGTTGAGGCAATGAGGTTCAGGGCTTAGGGTTCAGGGACCAAAAGCTCTGAACGTCAAGACACACGCACTCTCTCAATGTGCTGAAAACCTTGTGCCGGCAACTCGACTGCACAACCGCTGCGATTTCACGGGCTCAATATATAGAAGGCCGAGGAAAGTACAGGACTGTAGGTGTTAGCCTTGTTTCCTTTACCGTAACAGGTTACTCGAAGGGTTCCGTTCGACCAGGGTGATCGAACGAGGGTTTTCCTATAAACTTGGAGCAGTGTGACCAATTTCGACCTGACATATCCCTCTGTGCTTATCTGGGGTGAGTAATCACACACGACTTGATGCGGAGACTGGATCCGGCACAGAAAACTGATCAGTCTGCCATAGGTTAGCGAGAAGATTGGACAAGGTTGCATTTCATGTTTTTGGCACCATGGAAGCCAAAAGCTGAGCTCCATGCGGGACCATTGCGATGATGGCGAAGGAGTATCCCAGATCATCCCTCAGACGGTTTGGGTGTTGAGTGTTGGGTTTGAGGGTTTCTTCTGCTTTGGATTTGGGTTTTTTTGGGTTTGGGCTGAAATTTCCGGGACGATGGAAAGCGTGTTCTCCCGAGTCCTCAGGATCCAGGCTTGAGGACTTGACCTTCCCCTTAAGGGTCCATGTACCTAAATAGTGTATACGTTGGCCTTAAAGTACTCCCTATATGGGTACATTGGGCCCAAAGTATGTACTATGTGGGTACATGGACCCTCAGGGTTCCAGCAGTCATGAACCGGGTGGTCTTCAGCGTGCAGGAGTGATAACAACAATGGAAATGTCTCATGAACACCAGACTGAGTATAGAGCCGGTGTTTAATATATGTGTATATATATATATATGTATATACACATACACACATACAGTCTCATACGATCACATACATACATACATACGTACATACATACATACATACACTCACTCACTCACTCATTCATTCTAGCTGTCATGTATTAATTCATTCGTTCGTTCGTTCATCCATTCATTCACATACATGCCTGCATGCATGCATACATACACACATAGACGCATGCATGCGTGTATATTTCGAGCTTCCACGGCAACCCTGTCAGCGAACCCGTCCTGAACTGCATCAAACCTATCGAGGCCGCTTGAGGGCCGCGGAGAGTCATTGAGGCCCATTGAGGCTTGTTGAGGCTTCTTGAGCAACGATGGTGCTGAGAACTGAACCGCCTCAACGAGAGCCACTGGCGCTCAATGAGCCTGAATGGGCCTCAATAGGCCTCAACGGCCCTCCATGCCCCTCAACGTGCCTCAGTAGGTTTCATGCAATCCTTGAGCAGGTCCCTTGAGGGTGTTGCCATAGAAGCTTGTAAGTATGGAAACACGTGCGGCGGTAAGAATAGCCCCGAGACTACAATGACCACCGAGCAAGCTAGGCCAACATCAACGGCGAACTCGAATACCTTTAAACCTTAAACCCTTAACGCTAAACCCTAAAACCTTAAACCCCAAAACCCTGAACCCCAAAACCCTGAACCCCAAAACCCTAAAGCCCTAAACCCTAAAACCATAAACGCTAAAGCCCTAAACCGTAAATAGCAATTGGAGACACCAGACTGCATCTGAGGACGACAACGACATCTCCAGACAAATCTGATATTGTCGGGGCCTGAATAATTAGAATACGGTTTTGGTGCCCAGTGTGCTATATAAGGAAGCACCAAAACACTATTGGTAATTAAATTAGCAAGCTTTGCAAGCGAAGCGAACCACACCTGCATGAGGGGAATGTCACACTGTCAAGGTTCGGGAACATAGCGGCTTGACTCGGTATTCCTGCAATTTTCCCGCCATAGGTGTCGAAAGGCAAGCCAAGTCTGACGATCCAGGCGCCCCATGCGAGCAAGGCCAAGAACCTCGGCACATTGCACACCGAGGACGGACACCCACGCACTGAAGTTGCGCTCAAACTTGAACCCTGAACCCTGAACCCTAAACCCCTAGACCCTAAACCCTAAACCCCTAAACCCTAAACCCTAAACCCCTAAATCAACTTAAGGAGGGAACCAAGTTCAGACTTTCAGTTCGTCGAGCAGCAGGTCCTTTCGAATTCCCTGTCCTACTAGCAACCAAGTGACCTTCCTAGAGGTTTACAGGGAACTCCAGAAAGTTGGAATATGGATTAATGGTAGGATCCCCTATAATTTATCTTAAAGGGGTTACGATAATGATATTCCAACTTTCTGGCTTCGACTGTAGAGGTTTAGGGGTTTAGGGATATTTGGGCTTTAGGGTGAGAGTTGCACGACCGTGTGTGATGAAACAGAGTCTTTCCACATCCACTTCAAGTGCTGCTGGCGAAAGCAGACCTTAAAATTGCCTAGCAACCCTATATGGGCAAGCGTTGAACACTGCAATACTCACCCTTGAAAGGTTTTTCACAATGTGGTTTCCGCTGTATCAGAAAAATGGGGATGTACAAACTATATAAGATGATACCACCGGCAAACGCCGAGGCAATCCGAATCAATCGATCAACTGCAGGCCAGGACGAACCAAGCCTTCAAAACCCAAACTGCAAACCTCTGACAACCAGAAACTCCAGAGAGCAGCATTCTGAAGCCATGAATAGAACTCTGAGTTTCAAGCCTGTTGAATAACCGAGAAGCAGAAGTTCACCCCCAAACCCGAAACCCGAAAGTCCTAAAATCCTTAGCCCATATACCCTGAAATGCTAAACCCCCCAAACCCTAAAGTCCTAAAAACCATTAAAACCCTATATACCTTGAAACCCTAAACCCTTAAACCCTAAACCCTTGAACCCTAAACCCTTGAAAGCACTCACCAGGGAACTCGAACGTCCTAAAGCCCTGAAAACCCTAACCCTTGAAAGCACTCCCTAAACCCTTGAACCCTGAAACCCGAAACCCTTTGAAAGCACTCTCCAGGCAACTCGAGGAGATGAACCTGCTCGCCGAGGAATGCCAGGATTGGCTCCTGGAAGCGGGGAATTTGTCCGACAGATGCGGATGGTTTAGGGTTTATATAAGGTTTGGGGTTTATAGGGTTTATAGGGCTTAGAGGGTTTATAGGGCTTATAGGGGTTATAAGGGTTATAGGGCTTGTAGGGTTTAGGGCCTAGGGTTACTTTGTTAGGGTGATCTCTGGGGCAGGTTAAACGGGTTGTTTCGGGTGTTACTGTAATTTTGGCAGTTTTTGGGGTGCGCTCCGAGGGCGTTATACAGTCTACAATAGGGCTACTATTAAGGTCCTAATATACCTATAATATTAATATTATCCAACTGTTACTGAGTGGGGGCAGTACCCAACAAGAAGGACCCTACGGAAGGAAAAGAGAAAACGCGACTATCATCTGCCATCAACCCCAAAAGCAAGCCACAAACCCGGCCACACACATGCACATGTGCGCACACACACACACGCACCGTGCAAACCTCAAACTGCTCAATATAGAGAGGCCGAGCATGACCGTCGAACAGCAGCACAGACCTAAACCCCTCCACATTCGGGCGTCCAGCTTCGCAAAAATGAACTGGAAAAGGTAGCTGCCGCCGAGGAAGCAGATGATAACCTAGACGCTCTTCCAAACTTTGGTTCAGGGTTTCAGCGTTCTTGGCTAACCCTAAAGCCTAACCCTAGACCCTAAACCCCAAACTCTGAACCCTAAACCCTAAACCTTAAACCCTGAACCTTAAACCCTAATCCTAAACCCATCCTAAACCCTGACCCCTAAACCCTGAACCCTAAACCCTAACCGGGGCGGAGGTCCCACACGGTTGCCTCCCATGTGCAATGAATCTTGGCCATCCCACTAACAAACCGCGAGCCGATACTCCATGCTTAAAGGATCATGGGACTCATTAACTAGGGTTATAATTATGGGCTCTTTAAAGGGTTCCATAGGGTTCCTTAAAGGGAACTATGGGGTTTAGGGTTCTGGGTCTACTTAAAGGATCATGGGACTTAGTAACTGGGGTGATAAGTAGGGTAACTCTACTTATAACTACTTATTACCCCAATTAAGGTACTTAACACCTTACTTACTAAGTCCCATGATCCTCCAAGTACTCCATGGGCTTCACTGATTCTGGGTGTCCCAGTACCCTAAAGCTCCAGAGTAGTTCCTTTTTTTGGGTTCATATTTAGAACCCTACAAGGTAATCCCAAAAAGATACTTCTATGGAGCCTCTGGGTAATTAAATAATTACCCCCTTTAAGCTACGGGTTGGGGGATTCCTACCAAAAGGGTGCTACTGGGGCCTCTTGGTCCTTGCACATTCGAGACGCTGGTGGGCAAATGATTTGCGCGCAGCTGCCACAGAGGCGCTCGGCGCATGTCGTCAGCCAGCGCACCATCGTCGAGGGGGTGTCAGAGGCTTCTAACAAAAAATGTGTCGCTAGTATGCTCATTACTGGTCCTGTTGTTATTAATTTAAACTGCAAGTATTGTGTTTTTTTAAAAAATCTTCGTGTTGTGAGACTTATTATAAATCAGGGCGATCTCAGTTAGAGCGATAGCCGTCTTCCAGCTGCACGGTTCAGGTTTAGAGCTTAGAACGTCCTCCGAGGTTCGGGCCACCCTTCAGGTTAGGGTTTAGTTTAGGACTTAGGGTTCTGGGCTAGTGTTAGTTGTCAAAAAAGGGCTGAGGGTATGGACTATGTTCGTAGTTAGTCCGCCACTCTCATTATCTGCGGTTAAAGTGAGGAAGCGAGAACACATGCTGGGTGTAGACAGGCTTGCATGAACTGTGCTTCAGCTGAGCAGAAGGCAGCAGAAACTGTCCTAGGACTGCCAACCTTAAATTCAAACCCCCAATCCGTGACAGCCCATTTCTAAATCCCCAAGCCTACACTCCTCCAAGCCATAAAACTCTGAATCGTGAAGCAAAAATCAACAGAGACGCCAGGAAACCCTGGAAGCCAAGAGTTCAGAGTTTAGGGCTTTGGTGTATGCAGTTGCAAGCCGACAAGCAACGCATCCAGGAATCTTGGCTTCCAAACTTGCTACCTCACCTACTGTACTTGTAGCCCTACTAGTAGCTACATATGAACTTTGAAACGGCGCTTGACAGTTTGGCCGAACATCCAAAGCAGTTCGGTTTCGGGACTTATAGCGGCTAAGGATCGGGGTGCATGTTGCCAAGCCCTGCTAAGCCCCTGTTCCCACGCACCTCTAAGCCTCTAAGGTGCCAAAAAGCTCAGTCTGTATGGGTGGATGCCAATATCAAAACGATATGAATGGCAACGACATGGCCTGCAAAGGCACCATGTGGACGACGAAAACATACCGCAAAGAGCAGGCGGGTGACATGGTCGGGCCGATATGAAAGCCCAAGGATCTTCGCTGACGTTAAGACTGACGCCTTGGCTAAAATGGTTTAAAAAGTCATAAGCCAATAGCTCTGCACACTGTCCTAGCTGCAATTGAAATTATCTAGAACCCCACTCCTGGCTAACAACTGAGGGTTTTCAGCAACAACATGTCCTTTCTTTAAACCTTTGCCATCGAGCCCTAAACCTTACAGGGCCTATCATCAGGTTCTTGAGGTTCTCCCCTCTCTCGAAGACCAAGGAAAACTCCTGCGACTTGAGGCAGTGGTTAGGGGTCTGTGTCAGCTTTTAGTCTTTGTTTTCGATAGAAGGCAGTGTAGTGTTTCGGGCTTTATTAACTGCAGGCTTCTGAGTCTGCGACTTCAAGGACGGGCAGACACTACTGTCGATGATATAAGTCCTGCATTACCTTAAGGACCTAAACTATGGGAATATTGGTATACTCCTTATTATTATGGGTATTGCAGGATTCATATCATCAACCGTATCTCCTGCGACCCAGCAGTATTTGACATTCGTAGTCGTGTGTCTCTTGCTACTGCTAGCGGCAAAGACTGCGCTTCATCGGGGCATGTCTCCGACATAGGTCATGACCCTGACATTTAACCCAAGCCCCTCAAACTCGTTACTCTTCAAGACTGGACCTGCGCTCTTGGTGCCAAGCTCCGCGAAACCCACTGTGCTTGTTTTAGCATGAAGCTAGTCTTCTGGGAGAAGTCCTGGTGCATGCATAGCTTGGGCACCAAGTTGCCCATAAAGGTCGCAACCCCGAGCCCTGAAGCCTCAACCCCCCCAAAAGACCCTCATGCACAGGCCTATCGAGCCCTTCAGATATGTTCACCCTGCAAAGTTCGCTTTTGAGGATCTTAAGCACTGCAGCAAGACATTCGCATCGAGCTTCTGCAGAATGTCGACTGCTAGCTGAACTCCAATTCTCACTTCTACAGGGGGCTGAATGATTGGCGTAGGATTCCGTGTATGTTGTACTACAACTATTAGAGTGACTACAATAAGGGTATGTTGAATAAGCAATGACTCTAAACTCTGAAACATAACCCCTCTACTCCACAGCAAGTAGCCCCATAGAGCCCTCATACGGTTGATGATATAGATCCTGCATTACCTCATGAACCTAGACTATGGGACTCATGGTATATTCCTGGGGAATGCAGGATTTATGTCATCAGCCATACGTATCGACCCAACATAGCTATATGGCATGATCTGGTCTCATATAGCCCCAAATCCCTAAGCACCAAAGCCCTAAATTCCTAGCCTTAAGCCGTTAACTCCAAACCCCATTCCAATTATGAGGCCCCTATCATGGAGCCCAAAAGCCATGATTGGAGAATGCACCGGCCTTTGTCTGAGCAGGGGGGTACTCGAAAGTGCCGCCAGCACTGAAACCCGAACAGGTTCCTTCCGCAGCGTCAGGGTGAGAGTTGAGGGGTTGAGGGTTTAGGGTTTAGGGTTTACCGTCTAGGGTTAGGGTTTCGGGTTTAGGTTTAGGGTTCAGGGTTTAGGGTCTAGGGTGAGGGCTTGGGGTTTAGGGTTGAGGCTAATGGAGTTTGAAGCTCTCTGTCCGGACACTGACACTGGTGCTGTTCAAAGGTGTCATCTTTCTCTTGGTGCCATGTGCAGATGCCAGCTTCTGACCCTTGGGTCTGTCCGAGCGGGAAACTTGAAGTCTTGACTCTGCAGGTGCAGCAGCCAGAGTCGTGACCCTGGAAGTCGACCCTCTGGCACTGGAACAGACGAAAGGAACGCCTTGTTGTCGTAACACTTCGGCAATTCGGAGGGTGCACAATGTGCACGTCTGATGATTGCAGCAAAGTGGTGATCATATTTATCATTACAGGATCTAATTGCTTTTTATTCTGAGATGCCCACTTGCTGACACTTCTTAGAGACACACTGTTTCCAGCCCACACTGTGCGCTGTCACCAGGATCTGAAGATAGTGGATTGAGGATTTGGAAGCTAGGCGATAGTCTGCAGGCACAGCTTCCTGTTGAGGCCCCGTCTGCTTTTGTTAACTCATGGCGTAGATTATGTAACCCTAAACTCTGCACCCTAGACCTCTCTCTCTAGATCCTCCACCTACCCTCCAGTGCACCCTAAACTAAATACTCCCAAAGCCCCACTTACTATGTCTACTGTATTAGGGTTGCTTAGGGTCTTTTCCGGCTGAGTCTTCAGCAATTCGGGCTTAGTGTAGGAACATGATTAAGAAATCTTGGGCCTTTCTTAGGGTTCCTTATAATATGAGTCCTAGTATTTTGGTGTTTTAGACCCAGGGCTTCTTAATCAGGTTCCTACATTATCCTACTGGTCGGGTATCATGGGGAACTAAAGGTTAACCTTTTTAGTTATATAATGGTTATATAGTGACTATACTACCCAAAAAGGCGAAAGGTTACCTACCCAGAGGGTCCAGATACACTACTATGATGGAGTTAGGTCCCAAACCATCCTTATTATGGTTTTGGGGACCTAATTCTATAGTGGTAGCGTACATGGACCCTCTGGGCTACTCTACTGCTAGGTTATGCTAACCGTCTGGGTAAAGCTGGATCCAGCTCTCTGCAGGACTCTACGCCTCGACTGCGGTGGTTTGGGCTTACTTAAAGGATCATGGGACTTAGTAACTAGGGTTATAATTAGGGTAACTGTACTTATATCTATAACCCCAATTAAGGTACCAATAACCTTACTTACTAATTCCCGTGATCCTCCAAGTACTCTACTTGAGAACACGGAACCTGCATCGCGTAGGAGGTCTCAGGGATCTAAGAGCAGTACTTGGAGGTTCATGGGCAGCTATAAGGGCTCCTTTAAGGGTCCGGGATCAAAAGGGATTATATAAGGCTTTAGGGTTTAGGGCCTGCTTGGCGGTTCATGGGTAGTTATAAGTGGGGCTGCAAGTAGAGTAACTATACTTATAAACCATATATTAAGGGGAATTGTAGCCCCCCTTACAGGTACCCTTGAACCTCCAAGTAGACACAGCATATTTCCGGACCACCTCATCGAATTTCCCAAGCTGCTCGTTGACGACCGCTTGGGGTCGAAGGACATATTGTTCAGCTGGGTCATCAGGGCCAGCTGCCGTTGCCGAGTTTTCGATTGCATCTCCAGCGTAATTAAGCTGCCGCCATGCCTCGTAGCCGTTCGAGCCGGCCACGTTCCTCAGGATCTTCAAGGGCCGGTTGCGAATAAAGCTAGCCAGGATAGCGTAAAACTCCCGGCTGCTTCTCACAGCGTCTGGGTGCGTCACGGCAGTCAGCTGGGCCTCCTCGTGCGTCCTCGCCTCCACAGCGTCCATCTCCGTGAGGTAATCGGCGTCCATGACGCCCAGGTAGTTCCAGCAGCTCAGCACAGGCAGCGCGAGGCACACGCAGTGGCCGCAGCCACTCGGAGCGAAAGGGCCTTCCAAAGGCAGGGAGCCGCAGCTCCGCTACCATGAAAATTGACTCCTTTTGATGCTCGCAAAGGGCTTCAGCAGTCGCACAATTTGTGCATCATCCTTGCGCAGGGGTCATGCCCGTGCTTCCAGCTCTCATGTCTGACTGTACAAGCAAATGCACAGAGCCCTAAAGTCCTTGGTCCAACATGCGCTACTTCCTTGCAAGTCGTAGACGCTATTTCGAACTCTGAGCATGAAAAACTCTCACACAGAACCTGAAAAGGTATTCTGAAATCAGCCCAAACTCTCGAACTCGGCGCACTGAAGCCCTGAACCCCCCACAAAAGCCCCGAATCCTGCAACCTTCCGCCTGACGCTATCTATACTACACCGTACGAGATTCCATGTTATTGCAGTGCAAACATGCACACATTATAATTATAATGCAAGGTCTGCCGGGATACGAGTACCAAGTACTGGGACCCGAAATTCCTAAACGCTAAGCCCCTAAACCTCTAAAAATGAAGCCGAAATCTCTAAACCGTAAACCCCTAAACCCTAAACTTTAGGCCTAAGCCTTTCAACCCTAAACCCCTAACCCACTGCACTCTAAACCCTAAACACCTAACCCCTACTTGGAGGATCATGGGACTTAGTAAGTAAGGTTACAAGTACCTTAATAGGGGTTACAAGTAGTTATAAGCAGAGTTACCCTAATTATAACCCCAGTTACTAAGTCCCATGATCCTTTAAGTACACCCTGAACAGACCCTCCGTTCTGAGAGAGTTCTGGCCTACAGCCAAGGAGTCGACAAAGGCTGCCTGGCCATCGGTAGCTTCCTCTAAGGGTCCCTTTACAGGGATCTGCAGGGATTCTACAAGGGTCTAGGCGGTATAGGGTTTAGGATAGGGTTTAGGGCCTACTTGGAGGTTCATGGGTAGTTATAAGTATAGGGTCAGAAGTAGGATCACTATGGTTACAACCTACGTTAGGGACTGATAACCCCACTTGTAACTACCCATGAACGTCCAAGTAGGGTTCAGGGGTCAGGGATGGGGTCCATGGCATATAACCCTTACATGTATATACATATGGCCCTAAGGTTTACAGTTTAAGTACTCCCTATGTAGGTACAGTGCTCCCAAATTACATACTATTTTGGTACGACCCCTAGGGTACGGGCCGGCCATCCGTTTGCTGCGAGATCTGGGAGCACATGGGGCTTTGTCATTCGGCCTCTTGGGCAACCGAGCCTCAAACCACGGAGTACTCAGCGTGTGGAATTTGAAGGTTTCGGATTCGGGTTTACGGTTTAGGGCCTGAAGTCTGAAGGTTTTGGGTTTGGGTGGTGAAGGGATTGAATTTTAGGGTGGTGGGCTTAGGGTTGTGAGTTGAGCAAAGTTGGTAAAATCATGGCCCAATACTTATATTGAAAGGCCATTATTCTACATACTTTGGGGGTCCAGGTAGGCGTCCCTGGAAGAACAACGTCACCCGTAGCTTCGTCATCAACCAAAAACCGAAATCGTTCCGGTGAGACTGCTCGCTGTTGGGCCTGAAGATGGCCTGATACGATTCATGTCGGTTTAGGGTTTAGCGTTTAGGGTTTTTCTGTCGCATCAGTAAGGTCAAAAGTTTCGAAACCCCTCAACCCCAAACCCTAAGGACGAATATAAGTGCACTTAGTCGTAGGTCTGAAACGGCACCGTCAACACCTAGACCCCGAGTCCACTCTGTTCGATCAGTGCCGAAGATCGTGGAATTACAGAGGTCTATTGCAGTCTCTGACAACTATAGCCCTGAACCCAAATATGAACCCTAAACCATCCCTAAATTGTAAACCATAATCTTAGAAACGCACCTGCGGGGTCCTGGCAACACGAAGCGACAGGGGTAAATGGTTGCCAGTACTCGTTAGAAGACCTGTCCTCCGAGATCATGCAACTGACGAAAGCAAACATCATTTTGACATGATTAATTACTGTATAGTATAGTGTATTCTGTTGTGGTATATGAGGGTATACTATAGTATACTAACGTATGTCTAATAAGTCTAATATCTATTTACGTATACGGTAGACAAGTACAGCAAATCTGCTTCTTCACACAACGCTGAAGAGTTCGGGGTCTAGGTAAACCCGGCAGCATAAGCCAAAGAACCTAAACATCGCAGCACTAAGCACCCCACCCACAGCCACGAAACCCGAGCCCGGAAAAGGCCAAGGCAGTTAACCCTCAACCCTAACCCCAAGGGTCCAAGTACCTAATCCTCATATACTCTCCAAAATACAAACCTACATAACTACTATTCGATATCCTAAAACCGAGTACCGAATTATTGGGTCCTTTGGACCCTTACGGTAACCCCTAAACCCTAAATCCGAAAACCCAGTAGGATCCTTATTATAAGGACCCCCAAAATAAGGCACCCCTAATTTTCGGAGCCTCCCAAACCCCAAGCACCCAAACTTGCCTTTGGCTTGGCATCTTCTCGACCGAACGGCTTGAAGTCCATGCCCATGAGGCCATAGGCCTCTCAGTAGTGGGTCCCTAAGGGTCCCTGGGCCCAAACAAGGTCCCTTTAAGAGTTTCCATAAGGGTTCCTTTAAAGGGATCTATAAGGGATCCATAAGGGTTTAGGGTATAAGGGTCCCTGAGCCCAAATTGTATATATATATATATATATATATATATATACTTTGGGCTGAAATGTACCTATATAGGGAGTGCTGTGGGGCCAAAGTATATACTATTTGGGTACATGGACCCTTAAGGTGGGTGCGAGGTTTAGAAGGGCACAAGATGTCAGAAGCAGCAAAACCCTGAAACTCCTGACTTCTAAGCCTTAAGCCAAACCCCAAACCCCTTTGGCTTACGGACCGCCTCAGGTTAGCCCCACAAGGAGAAACCTTAAACCCTGCACCCTAAGAGAGACTGTGGCCCCACGGGGCTGCACGGAGCTTTCGCTTCATGGTGCAACTTCCCTGGAACTCATCTTCTACCTCAGCTTTAGGCCTTTCAGGCCTATAGGGTTTGGGCTTTAGGGGCAGACTCTGTAACCCAACGGTTTAGAGTTTAGGGTTTAGGGTTCAGGGTAACTTGTTGGTGCGCTGAAGAAAGGAAGACCTCCACTAGGCTGGTGCACTCACGAGGCCGTAGACTTCCGTCAGCAAGAGCAGCAGTTGGTCGGGATGAAGGCCAGGAAGGCATTCATCTTTAGGTTGGGAACATGCCGATGGAACTTTCCTGTCCGTGGGCCGGCTCTGCAGGAAGGCCGTTTTGACATCCTTCACGCAAGTGGTCCACCTCCTCGAAGCTGCCAGTTGAAGGATCGTATAATTAAATGGCATTGCTTGCGGGAGTCGGCGCACTCCCCTCGATTTGGTGGATCTGAGGGCCGAGGTTCTTCCGGGCATTGGATTTAGGTCGTGAAGATCTGCACCCTAAAAATCAAAAGGCCCTGCAGCTCTTTTCGGTCAGTGCCCCTGACACGAAACCCTGAACCGTACGCCCCTAAACCTGCCTCGCAGGACAGACAATAGAATAGAATCAATGATGAACAACTTAAGATGATCCTCCAAGGTCTGGGGTCCAGAGTTCTCTTGCAGTAACCCTTTCAACCGTCAATCCCAAAGTGGAAGCCGCTAAACCCTAAACCCCGCCTCCCAAAACGCTAAACCCTAAACCGTGGAACCCACTTGACTCATCGACTACTCAAGCCTGGTACTTGAAGCAGTGGCCGTAGAGATACACCTCAGGTCGGCTCTTTATCAGGGTTTGACGGGTTCCTTAATACAGGTATGCGAAAAAGGGCCTTAATACGTAGAACAGGGTTTGGGGCCAGTATACTATAACTATACATAAGGAACACCCAAAACCCCATTCTAATTATCAAGGCCCATATATATATATATATATATATATATACATATACTGGAATACACGCTAAAGCCCAGTGCTACGGCTGATGATACAAATCCTGCATTACCCATAATAAGGAATATACCATAATTCCCATATAGGGTCCTTAAGGTAATGCAGGATTTATATCATCAACCGTGCATGTGAAGGGCTTCGGTCTTACAGTTTGGGGAGTCGTTGGCTTTAGAGTTGAAGGCTCCATCGTCAAATTTATATGGGTAGTTGCCAGAATTGTGTCTTCTTTTTTGGGTACCCTTAACATTAGGTGCCGTATTACAATAGGAACCCAAAAAGGGAACCCGTGGGCCCTGCGAACACGGAACCTGCACAGCGCAAGAGGTCTGAGGGATCTGTGGGCTGTACTTGATTTAGGGTTTAGGGGTTACTTGGAGGTTCATGGATAGTTGTCAGTAGGGTTACAAGTAGGATAACTATGGTCATAACCTATAGTAGGGGACTTATAACCCCACTTACAACTACCCATGAACCTCCAAGTAAGGGATCTAAGTCAGAGAAACAAACTCGATACATGCAGCAGCTAAGTGCGTTGCATACGTTGGCTCACGCTGGTTCGGCACATTCACCTGCCGCTGTGGAGAGTGAGCGTCGTGTTTAAGGCTTTGCCGTATCCGGTTAGGGTTTCATGGGCCTCAGGGTTTCAGGGATCCAGGAAATAGCCCTTGAGCGGCTTTTGGGCCAGGTGTATGCTCTAAGTGTGTCATTTGGCAGGGTATTTCAGCTGTTTGTGTTTAAGGCCTGCCTCAATATCGCCTTGGACAGTTGGGTCAGGTATTTCGGGTCTACAGGTGTTCGCAGAGGTAGGAATCCATGGTGGGAGCTTCGAAGCCAATATCGAATCTGACATTGCGGCTCAGGATGAGTTAGTAGCCCCAAAGCGAGTAGATAGTATGGACTTTGATCGCGAAGCCTGAAAACTCTACAATATCGATAGCTGCATATTTGACTGCAGTATTCCTTGAGGCTTCCTTGTGTTAAGTCGAAATATGCTCGAATAAATTGTGTCCCAAAGCCACAGTCTTATCATTGACGCCCCTGTATACGAGCCTCCGGGTTAGGATCTCGGGGGCTGATGTAGGAGCCTTAATGCTTACCTATACTACGGTTGATGATATAAATCCTTAATTGCCTTCAGGACCCTAAGCTATGGGAATTATGGCATACTCCATATTATGGGTAATGCACGATTTATATCATCAGCCGTATTCTGGGGGTTCGTTAATATGGGCCCAAAACCCTATTCTAGGTTGGCCCCTCGAAGCCTCTGAAAAATATTCGCAATCAAGATCCTCTTAACCCCCAAAAGGGAAAATATAAGATGTCCCAAGGGCCTACCTAGTATTCTACTTATTAAGGCCCCGATAGTATCGGTCCGTCCCCAGGGTCCGACATTGAGGACTACCATCGAAAAAGATATGGTGCGGATCTACAAAATGTGACCCTAAGGGTCCATGTACTCAAATAGCAAACACTTTGGCCTTAAAGTACTCCGCATATAGGTACAATGGGCACATAGTATATACTAATTGGGTACATGGACCCTACCCTCAAGGGTCCGAAGGACCCAATAATAAAGTACTCGGTTTTAGGATAGTTATTCAAGGTTTTGTTGGAGAGTATGTGATTATCTTGAGATCCTGGGGTCTGGGGTTTAAGGTGACGAGCAGGTAAAAACCGCTTCCATAGATACGATCGGAGACCTGTACGAAGTCCCTTGAAGGCTCCGTTAAGGCTTCTATGATAAGCCCTTTACGGGTACCATAAGATTCCGCAACAAGGTCCCCTTTCAGAGTACTACAGGGCTCCGTAATTAGGTCCCCTTAAGTGGGATTCGCAGATTCGCATAAGCCGGAACTCTAAATCGTGTACCCTCTACCCTCAACCGCCAGCGCACCAAGATCTTTTCCCGGAAGATGGTGTTGGGCCGATGAGGCCGGAAGGTGATCGTGACCTTGCGTGGGAGATCGTCTACTAGCCCATCTGAATTCATGTCGGAGTGTCGGTCTAGCGGTCTATACTGCATCTGTTCTTCTATCCAAGGGTAAAAGGAGGGACCCTCAAATGGGGTAGGGGTCCCCATTCAGGGTCCCTCCCTTTCCCCTTTGATTCTCGAACCTCCAAGCCGGCGAAGCTCCAAACCCTGAAATGGCTCAAAGACTGCATCGTCCTAAGCCTGCGCCCTGTGCGACCGAGGTCCAAAAGATAAAACCCGAAGACCCCATGAGGTGCCAATCCTACCTGGACCGGCAGGACCGATTTTTCCGGGGCTATTACCATGATTCCATTGGAAATACTAGACCCAAGAGTACCCTAGGAACAAAAAAAAGGTGCCCTTGTTGGTTTAAAGGGGCGTATAAGGGAACCTGAACCCTTAAACAGGGAATAAGGGCCTATATAGTCTAGGTCTTAGTAAATATGTTCGTTGAAAAGTGGGTTTGGCCGTTCATGTGCACCCTAAGCGATCCTAACATGTCTGGAGCTGATGGTACTCTTTGAGGATGTGGGGTCGTTCTCCCGCAAACTGTTACTGTTGCGGCCATTCTTCCTCTGTTCTCCGGGCCTGCAGGTGTAAGGTGTACTGTCGGACTACTGGTTTCTGGGGTGTAGTTTTGCTGAGCTATCTTTCGGGTTACTGCGACGGCTCACCGGACTCCAAATCCAAACAAGTCCTAAGGGCAGTGAACACTCGCACGTGCTGTCCGAAAGTGAGCAGCAAACAGTGAACACCAGTGTCAAGCGTAACGGCCAATGCTTTTCCTAGCCTTGACCTGTGCGCACTCCACACACCAAAACCTAGTGCCTAAAGTTACCTACAGAATCCATGGTCCGTTCACCCCGGTACCGGTTGATGATATAAACCCTGCATTACCCATGATAGGGAATCTACAACGATTCCCATAGTTAAGGGTCCTTATGGTATTGCAGGATTTATATCATCAGCAGTTTCCACTGTCTAAGTCCTGAACCCTGAGACCCCCTGAACCCTAAACTGTAAATCCTGAACCCTGAGACCCATTCGAAATTTCTGCGTCCTGCTGCCATGGTGCCGGCATGGAGCTGTTTGCCTGCAACGAGACGATGCAGAAGGAAGGCAACTGCGTTGGGCCTGTATTTTGCGAAAGTATAACGCATGAAATATTAGCCAACATAGTTACCCATAGGCCCCATAGTAGTTCCTTTTTGGGGTTCATATTTAGAACTCTATAAGGTAATCCCAAGAAAAATACTATGGGGCCTATGGGTAGTAGTTTTTGAGCCACTTTAACCGGCAGAGGTCCTTCAAACTGATAGGAACATCGCGGTTGAGGACCGAAACCTTTTATTCTAACCTTACCCTAAGGGTCCATGTATCCAAATAGCATAAACTTTGGGCCCAATCGGGAGTACTTTACGGCTATATATATATATATATATATATATATATATATATATATACATATATACATACTATTTGGGTACATGGACCCTTAACCGCCTTAACCTTACGGAATCCAAAACCGTTGACTTGCCTTTAACCCTTTGTTCGTGTGAGAAAGGTTTCCCGGTTGGCGCACCCGTCGACACAAGAGACACGAAAGTCCCGATGTGTGGCGAGATGCTCAAGGATTTATGGGCGAGACCCTAAACCCTAAACCTATAAACCCTAAACCCTAAACCTATAAACCCTAAACCCCTAAACCCTAAACCTTAAACCCTAAACCCCTAAACCCTGGCCCTAAACCCTCAAAGGATTAGGGGCCTTTGGCCTCGAAGTTTCGGTTTTCACAGCTTAGGCTTCTTGGGTCATGGGGTTTAGGGTTTAAGCCTGTGTTTGCACAAACTTGCGCAGAAATTCTCAAGCAAAGGCCTATGCGTCTGTGCCAAAAAAACAAAACAAACTCGGAACAAGCCATTCGCTATGCACTCAAAGCTGCAACTTAAAGCCACTTTTGAAGGGTTTAGGGCCTGATTGTTCTGTGCGCCCTAAATCCTAGATCCCATGTTAATCCTAAGCTCTAAGCACCCGGAAACGGTAAACCCTAAACCCCTGGGTTCGGACTTTGAATGTCGGGCCCAGAAGATGTCAGCCTCGACCGTTCCGGAGGAAGGCGAAGCAGTGAAGGGCGGATCCCCGTGGTGGTTCCTCTGAGATTGCCAGGGTTCCGGGCCTACAAGCGTTTAGGGTTGAGGGTTTGGGGTTCAGCGTTCAGGGTGACGAGTTCAAGCCGGGATAGGTGGCGCTGTTGCACTTCGGCAACGTCTTCTTGTCTTGCGAGCTTGTGACACCCTAAACCTTGAGCTCCAAAACCTAAAGTTATCTTCTCTGGCTTTGTCCTCCCTCTAAACCCTGAACCAAAAATCCCAAACCCTAAACCCCAAACCCTAAACCCCCTCTCACCTCAGATCTTCCTGAAAGGACTTCCTGCGGGCCCCTTTGGTCGATGCACTGGATGTTTGCTCAGGCCTGAAACTCTCTTATAAAAGATCCTAAACCTAAGAGCAACCTAGGAATAAAATGGGCGCCCTTTTTGGTTTAAAGCGGGCTTATAAGGGAATAAGTGTCTACTCTGGGTCCTAGGCTCGGATCTTGAACACGCTCGAAAAACTCGTACAAACCCTGAAGCCTGAAGCCATTGATACCCGAAAGGTCTGCCTGAGACCCCAAGTCATGAAGACAGCGCTGTGCTGAGGAACATTGAAATTCAAGGCAGCACCCAGACCGCAAGGTGCAATGTCAAAGCCAAGTTTCGCATCAGCCGGGATGATGGTCCTTGTTCGAGCTATTGGAAAAGCGTATTAGTACAAGAGATCCTCTTAAGCCCAAGACTTGGAGTTGTTGTAAACTATCACAAGGGCATACCTGGCAAACCGGCATCTTGCTGACGCTAGTAGCAGCAGCAGCAGCAGCAGCAGCAGCAGCAGCAGCAGCAGCAGCAGCAGCAGCAGCAGCAGTAGCAAGCAGCAGTAGGTAGCAGTAGTCGTCGTCGTAGTCGTAGTAGCAGTAGCAGTAGCAGTAGCAGTAGTAGCACTAACTCCTAGTCACAGGTAGCATCTAGTGGTAAGGTAAGTCGTGGCAGTAGGAGTAGGACTACAGTAATCCCCATAAAGTTGGAAACCGGATTGAGGCCATCTAGTGCTGGGATCCCCTTTACGTTACTCTTAAGGGTTGAGGCTATGGGGTTTCCAACTTTTCGGCTTCTACCGTAGGAGTTGAACCCCAGACCCGAGAGCCTCCACAAAGGGCGCTGCAGGCCCTACGTGAAGGATCATGGGACGTAGTAAGGGTCCTTAAAGGGCTCTCTAAAGGGATCTATAGGGTTTAGGGTTTAGGGTCTACTTAAAGGATCATGGGACTTAGTAACTAGGGTTATAATTAGGGTAACTCTACTTATACCTACTTATGACCCGATTAAGGCACTTATAACCTTACTTACTAAGTCCCATGATCCTCCAAGTAGACACTAAATCCCTATAGAGATTTAGGGTCTACTTGGAGGATCATGATAATGCAGGGGCCTTCATAGTTCGAAGTAGAAGGTAGGGCTTGTTCATAATTTGTGGCTCCTTTACAGTATATACTTAGAAGGAACCCCAGGGACTAGGAATGGTAAGTATTTCGGCATTTACTTTACCGCAAGGGACCCTGGACTCCGAGGAAGCTCAGACTTTATACCGTTCCCTAACACCTAAACGGATGAAGGCCAACAGCCGAAACAGTTAAAACTAGAACCCGAATATCAAACCCCAAACCCCAAACCAACCATTCAACCTAAATCACACACCAGAATCTCAAAGCCTAGTCGCTCCAGCTTGAAGACCAACTCGAAGGGACTCTCATTCTTCACCAGGAACTGCTGCGTGGTGTAATCCTGCAATGGGCTTGGGCTTTGAGATTTGGGGTTTTGGGCATTACCTTGTCCCCCAAAAGTATGTGGAATAAAAGCATATTTTAGGTGTACGGCCAGTCTTTTACCTACTTTAAACCCTAAACCCTAAACCAAAACCCTAAATCCTAAACCAAAACCTAAACCCTAAACCCTAAACCTTTTCGGGGTTCGGGTATCCGGGTTGAGAGCTTGGGGGCCGGGCCTAATGCTCGAAGATGATAGAACCAGGGTTTAGGGTGTAGGGAGTACTTCTAGATCCTGAACCGACTTGCCTAGTATCCTACGGTTGATGATATAAATCCTGCATTACCTTAAGGTCCCTAAACTATGGGAATTATGGTATATTGCTTATTATGGTTAATGCAGGATTTATATCATCAACCGTAGGGAACTGAAGGATTAGCTTGGGGAGTATATTGGGATCAGATCGGGACTACTGGAACCCAAAAAGATCGCTACCTACTCTACTGCTAGGTTAAGGGGGTATTGAGGCTTGTTTGTTCGGAGAACCACGGTCTTCAACAAGACCCACTCAGCAGACATCCTAAACACGAACACGGGAACCCTTAACCCTAAACCACCGGGCCTTAGCCTCCCTGTTGTAGATCACGGCGCCCATGTGGATCACTCCATCCTGTTTATAGGGCCCTAAACAAGCACATAAGCAAAAGTTAGGATAGGGATATCCCATATAAAGCCCCTTATAATGAAGGCCAAGAAGGTAGGGATATCCCTCTAAAATGCTTATGGTTACGTGCTTTTTGGGGTCCCTAGTGTAGGCTTGAGGGCTTGTTGTTTGCTTACGGTTTTGTCGTGGTGTTTATTGCAGTTGCTCTATGGCTCTGGGGCTTATTGGAGCTTGTTGCCGGGGGTGTGAGGACTGTGGGGAACTGGATCTTCCTGTATCATCTTCCCCTCAAACACGCAGGACGTGTAACAGAAAGCAAAACCGTCGTTGCGAGCTATTCCTATGCACTACTAGACTTGATTTCTGGGCCTAAGCCGTGCCCATGTACACCTCTGCACAATTTCGAGTGAATCGAGCTTCAGCTGAATGGATGGCTTGCTTTTCCTGCAAGCCCCATCTCAGGCAGGGAAACCGACACACTAGCTTACCCGCATTCAAATGCCACCGTTTATGGGGCTTTCAGGGGCCACCCTGTTCCCAACCTGATAAAACCTGCACAGATGACGCACCGGCATAGAGACGTAGCTTTAGACTTTTGAGGGTCTGAGAAATCACTAGCGCCAACACGAACTTCGCCTTAGCAACAGGCCCGACATTCTGATTACCGTAGTGATCACAACTAGCCTCTGGTTGTTATGATTACAATCCTTACTATGGTTGTTGAAATTGTTGAAATTACTATTCTGCACATGAGTATGGCTGCATTTTGCAATTCCAGTCCTATGCTTCATGACTCAGGACACTGCTATGGCCAATACATACGCCGTAAGCGGAGAGCAGTGCGAGCCCGAAAGCAGAGGCACCCTGAAGCTTCGCCCCCAGAATCAGCATCATACTGGAGCCTCAAGACACAGGGCCTGAGATCCTGTGCAACAACATCGGTTTAGGGTTAAGGGTTTAGGGTAATATTCCATACATGTGCACAAAAAAATATTGCTGCCCACTTCCCTCTTTCCCTCCCTCCCTCCCTCCCTCACCTACTCTGCATACAGACAGACGGGCGGACCGACATTCGGAAAGAGGGAAAGACACACAGAAAGACGTACATACGTGCGTACGTATTCAACACAGACATACATGCAGACAGTACGGTATGATTGTGTGTTTAAGCATAACAACCACAGATAACAATACAGATGGTGTGATAGAAGGACATGAAACACTAATCTGCGCTTTTTCCTTGCTGGACCTATCACACCGCCCCCACTTTGGAAAGCTGAACCCTGGGTCCTATACCTTAAACCCGAAACCAACGCCTCCCACCCCCCCCTCCTCAAACCCTAAACCCTAAACCCCTAAACCCAAATCCCCTAAACCCCTAAACCCAAAACCTAAAACCCCTAAACCCAAAAACCCAACCCAAAACCCCTAAACCCCTAAACCCAAAACCCCTAAACCCTAAACCCTAAACCCCAAAACCCTAAAGCCTAAATTCCTAAACCCTAACCCTCCTCCGCCCGCTCTGGCAGGCCTGGGGCTCGATCTTCAGAACCGGACTCACGCCCTTGCCTCTCAGAGGTACCTGCTTAAAGGATCATGGGACTTAGTAACGGCTCTTTAAAGGGATCTATAGGGTTCCTTAAAGGGATCTATGCGGTTTAGGGTTTAGGGTCTGCTTAAAGGATCATGGGACTTAGTAACTAGGGCTATAATTAGGGTAACTCTACCTATAACTACTTATAGCTCCAGTAAGGTACTTATAACCTTACTTACTAAGTCCCATGAGCCTCCAAGTGGGCATCGGTTTGGGGTTCAGGGGTTTCGGGGTTTTGGCTGTGCGGGTTGAAGGTCTTAGAATCAGCAGCGAAAACCGTGAGTTATGATTCTATGAGGAGCTGCCGGAATTCGGATTTAGCATAGGTCTCAGCATGTTGGTTGGCAATCCACAACAAACACCAAACCTCAGCCGTCACCAACGCCAACCCAGCATGTCCCAAGAAAGAAGCTCTAGGGTTTGTATACTCAAGGGGTGTACGATGCTCTGCATCCTCCACCCACAAGCACGATGCTGGTACGGCGAGAATGTCCGCTTCCTGATGTACTGCATGCATTAGGTACGGCCCCCTTACAGTAAGAGTGTATAATAGGGCTATGGTAAGGGTCCAAATATATCTGTATTATGAATATTATTCAACTATTACTGAGTGGGGGCCGTACCCAATCTAAAACCCTTATCTGATCGTTGAATCATTCACTAAACACAAACACCATCATGACAGCTTTTTAAGAAGACATCCCGAACAAGGAAGTCCGAAGATAGCTCACTGCCCCAAAAACAAGGTCGAACCACCTGAGATTGATGATGTCATTACATTGGCAACACTGCTGAGAACAAACAGAAGAATACGAACAGTAAGGTTAACAACAATGCTACTTAGAATAAACAAGAATAGCGACCTGGGGGTATGTAGTACTATGACAATAAGTGCATAGATGCTGCATCGACACTCTGAATACAATTTCCAGTTGTTCGGACCCGGATATTAGCGAGAAGAACACTGGTTTGGGCTTTTCGGATTTAGAGAATAATGAATGCTAGCATGAGCCACCATCAGAGAAGTTTAGAGACTAGAGCCAAGAAGCCCCCTGTGCGCAGGCTTTAACACAGACTTCTCCCCCATTCCAAGTCTTGCAGCTTCCCTCTGGCCTTGTCTTGCCTGAAAGGACCCTAGACCCTGAACCCTAAAAACCTTAACTTCTGAACCCTCAACCCTAAACCCTGAACCCCTAAACCCGAAAACCCTAACACCTGAACCCTCAACCCTGAACCTTAAACCAATGAACCCTAAAACCCTAAACCCTATAAGCCCAATCCCTGAACCTTAAACCCTGAACCCTAAAACCCTAAACCGTATAAGCCCAAACCCTGAACCTTAAACCCGGAACCGCAATATCCCTTGATTTAAGGAAAATACCTTAAATTATAGTAGGATCCCTAATATGATTTAAGGACTATATTCCTTAATTAAGGGATATTGGAGTCTCTGGGAACCCGGAACCCTAAAACCCTAAACCCTCTAAGCCCAAACCCTGAACCTTAAACCCGGACCCCTAAACCCTAAACCCTAGACACTCAAAGGAACCCTAGTAGTTAACCCCGGCCTGAACGCGGGTGTTTTGTGTCCGCATCTGCAGTGAGCACTGGTAGATCTGGACCAGCTGGGGCTTAAACTCCACCATGAACCTTGGGAAGGCTCTATGGTTTCTGGCCCCTTAAAGGGATCTATAGGGATTCTATAAGGGCATAGGGTTTAGGGTCTACTTGGAGCTTCGTGGGTACTTACAAGTGGGGTTATACGTCCCCTAATATAGGTTATAACCATACTTATCCTACTTATAACCCTACTTATAACTACCCATGCACCGCCAAGTAGGGTTGAGGAGTTGTCAACAAAGTTGTGGTGAACTCAGGGTTTGGGAGGGTTGAGGCCGGGTTCTGGCTGGCCATGCAGGACTACTTGGAGGATCATGGGACTTAGTAAGTAATTAAGGCTATAAGTACTTTAATTGGGGCCATAAGTAGTTATAAGTAAAGTTACCTTAATTATAACCCCAGTTACTAAGTCCCATGACCTTCAAGTAGGGAGGACGTGGTGCCAAGCAGATTGGCGTTAATGAAAATACGGTCTTGTAGGAATCAAGCATAGTGACAGCAGTGACAGCTTTCACGCGTAATCATCCCAAGGTACCAGAAATAGTAAACCAGCACCCCGAATCGTGGCATCACACAGAGAAAGTAACACGAAATAGCTTTAACCAAGTGGCTGGAAAGGCTTTGATCCCACCGCACGGGGAGCATTCCTCGATTCGGGCGGACATGCTCCGGATCTGCGGGTAGCAAAACCGCGCCCGGCACCACAAACCGCACCGAAGTCAACACCTTACAGCCGGAATAAAGCTTAAACTCTCTAACCTCTAAACTCTAAATGCCAAAGTCGACATCCTAAACCTTAAACCCTAAACCCTCAAACCCTCTAAACTCTAAATGCCAAACTCGACACCTTGCCTTGCACGTCAGAAACCACAGAACCAAATAAAGTTCTGGGCTGGTGGACATCAGATGTGAGAGAATCAAAATCATGCGGCTTTAGGGTTTAGGATTTAGGGTTCTTGAGCCCTAACTGCCAAGTTGGAGGTCACCCTTGGGGTTGGAGTGATCTACCTATAGCTTCCACTGTAACTCTTTCTGTGGTGCTACCTTGTAGCATCCCAATTCCAGAACTTTATTAAAGCAAAAAAGGAACAGTGTCACATGCTGCTTATGATAGGAACCCTATAGGGAAGAGCATGGGTAGCTGGTTTCGCCTTCTATATTAGATCTTAAGAACGACATTCGGTGTCCGAAAATTACGAGCTCAGTGGGTAATCTGAAACTTACACACACACACACACACGCACCAGACTAGGCCGACCGTGAACCTTTCGATTTCAGGTGTGGGGTTTTCGGGTTGAGGGGCTAACTATGTGAGCAAAAGGCCTTAAGGCATGAGCCTTTCCCCCCCACACATCCACATCTACATCCACACGCACACACACACACAGAATTCCAAAACTCGTCGCATATTCACTGACACACACTTACGTAATACGACTCCGGTGTCAGTAAACCGCGCACTCCGAACCATGAGGAGCCGCGCGGCAGGACGGTAAAGCCTTGATTCTCTGGGAGGGCTTCCAACTGCAGTTCCTGAAGCACGAGCTTATGCTGAAGAGTTGAATGCTTCTGGTCGAGAACAGACATGTCGGCTTGAGAACACAATGGTACGACTAGAAGTAGCAACATCAATCTTCTGAACAAGTAGTATGAAGAAAATGGCGTCCCGATTTTCGACTAAAAAGTGCAGTGCATGGGGAAGAAGGATGCCATCCGGGCGGGTCTACTCCCGCAACCTAGGAACAACAAGGGCTCCCTTCTTGGTATTCTGGGCTTTTAAGTAACCAGGGAGAAAAGGTATAAACTTTGGCTTCATAATGGTTCCTTTAAGAAAGAAGTATTAAAGTATGGTACTCCGCAGCCCAGTATTGGATACTTTTACAAGGAACCTACGACTATCAAAACGGTAAAAAGGAGACCTGAACCCTAGGGCGAGGCTTCGAAGCTTCGAGATCGAGGCTTAAAGTCTTCTTTCTAGGGTAGGGGCTTTAGGGTTTAGGGGTTAGGGTTTTGGGTGTTAGGGTTCTGGGCTTAGGGTTTAGGGGTTTAGGGTTTAGAGTTTTGGAAGATTAATGTCTTCTTGGGTCGCGGCTTTGGTTTCTGAGGCCTGCTGAGTCCATGGGCTACTACTAGGCCCCATAGAGGTTCCTTTCTGGGATTCATATGGGGCTAGGGCTAGTTCATTGAACCCTAAACCTAAGGATTTAACGCTGAGGGTTATAGGGTTTAGGTTTGGGCTAGTTCATGGAACCCTGCTGTAGGAACCTGATTCAGAACCCCTGGCCCTACCTAGAGGCTCATACCCTACCCCTTTTTTAGGATACCTAGCTTTATGGTTAGGATCTGTTATCATAAAAAGTAGGCGCCCTGAAAAAGGAGCAGGGTATGAGCCTACAGGTATAACCCCAACATCTTAGGATCCAGATAAGAGCCCTAAGAGAGTCCCCGGGCTTCTTGAACCCGAACCCTAATATGGGAGCCTGAAAAATATCAACTAATAGGGTTTTGGGGCCCGATATACCATAATAAGATAAGGAATTAATGATATAAATCCTGCATTACCTGAAGCACCACCCTAAACTATCGGAATTGAAGTATATTCCTTATTATGGGTAATGCAGGATTTATATCATCAACCGTAGTATTGGTAATTATTAAGGCGCTTATATCAACGCCTGACATCATAGTGTGGTTTTGCCAGGTACTTGGCTTTAGGGGAGCCGTTATGTATGTCAGAACTTTTGAGAGTATCTTGCCGTTATGTACTTGGAACCCTAAACCCTAAACCCTAAACCCTTAAAGCATAGTAGCTCCAGACATCCCGGCAACTACTCATTGAACCCACACCATGTTGGGTAGAACTTGCAGTGAACGAATTCGAGGAAGGCTTGTGGCGCAGAGTCTGCGGCAGCCTAGAATTAAGCACCAAGATAGTGCTTGCTTGTAGAATCGTTGAATGCAGCAGATAAAGCAGCACAATCGCAAGCAGACAGCCAGAATCATGGTTGATGCACTCCCTAAAAACCCTAAACCCTGAACCCCTAAACCCTGAACCCTAAACCCTGAACCCCTAAACCCGTAAAACCTACACCCCTAAACCCTGAACCCCTAAACCCTAAAGCCTAAACCCCTAAAGCATGGCGGCAACTGGGCCTGAGCACCCTCTTCAGCTGCGAGGTTGGTGATGACCAAGGGCCTGCACGGGTGTCATGGTCTAGGGTAGGGGTAGGGTTGAAGAGTTAGCATTTAGCGCTAAGGGTCAGGTTTTTTTATTCAACGCGCCGGGTTTAGGGTTAAGGGCTGAAGCTGTAAGGTTTTATCATTAGTCATCATTAGTCATTAGCCGTGCTCAAGAAAGTTTCCTAAACGACTCCACCGTCACTGTCGGGCATTAACATCTGAGGCTGGAGATCTTTTTGGCAGAAGGGCCTCAGTATTAAGGCTCTTGCCGCCAGGCATGCAGGACTTGAAACGATTTAGCAATTTACTGCTGACGTCTTCGGGAAGAAGTTTTCGGAGAGGCTATATTGGCCGCCCCTCGCTACGTAAACCCTAACTGGGCTTTTAAGCAACTGGGGAGAAATAAGTTTAAACTTTTATTCCATAATGGTTCCTTTAACAAAAAGTATTAAAGTAAGGCACTCCAGAGCCCAGCTGAACGTCTAAGCCATAAATCCTCCGCTCTTTTTGGCCCTAAACCTTATTCTTCTTATTGTGGCCCCTATAATGTAGAATTACTATAGATCCCTTATGCCCTAAACTTGTTCGAATTATTAGAACCCTACTATAGATCCCTACTATAGATCCCTTGAACCCTAAACCCTCCGCTCTCTTGGGCCCTGACTATTCTATTTATTAAGGCCCCTATACCCTAGAACCCTACTCTGGATCCCTTAAGCCCTAAACCCTCAGCTCTCTTTGACCCTAAACCCTGTTCGAATTATTAGAACCCTACTACAGATCCCTTCTAGCAACCCTTCTAGGGCCCTGTTAAAGGAACCCTTTAAAGAAACCCTAAGGCCCCGATACTATAGATCCCTTATAGCAGCCCTTATAGCAACCCTTATAGGACCCCCTTAAAGAAACCCTAAGGCCCCTATACTATAGATCCCTTATAGTAACCCTTATAGGACCCTGTTAAAGGAACCCCTTAAAGAAACCCTAAGGCCCCTATACTATAGATCTTATAGTAACCCTTATAGGACCCTGTTAAAGGAACCCCTTAAAGAAACCCTAAGGCCCCTATACTATAGATCTTATAGTAACCCTTATAGGACCCTGTTAAAGGAACCCCTTAAAGAAACCCTAAGGCCCCTATACTATAGATCTTATAGTAACCCTTATAGGACCCTGTTAAAGGAACCCCTTAAAGAAACCCTAAGGCCCCTAGACTATAGATCCCTTACAGTAGAAGCCACAAAGTTGGAACATCACTGCCCTCATGCCCTTAAGGTAAAGCACAAGGGATCCTAGCACTAATCCTCCTAAAGTCATGTTCCAACTTTCTGGCTTCTACTGTAAACTTAAACACTCCGCGCGCTTTGGCGCGCCTCAGGGCTCTCTGTCCGGCGGTGACATCGCCGAAGTCGAGGATCGGTGGCTGCATGGCCAGGACACTTGGCAAGACACCTTGGGCTCAGGGGGTAGAGTTTAGGGTTTAGGGTTGAAGGGTGTTCCTGGGAAGGGTTTAGGGTTTAAGGAGGTTAGGGTTTAAGGAGTTTAGGGTTTTAGGATTCAGGGGTTTAGGGTTTTGGGTTGCATGGCCAAGACACTTGGCAAGACACCTTAAGCTCGGGGCGTAGAGTTTAGGGTTTAGGGTTTTGGGGTGTTTAGGGTTTGGGGGGGTTTAGGGTTTAGGACACTTGGCAAGACACCTGGGAACGGTTTAGGGTTTAAGGAGGTTAGGGTTTTTGGGTTTAGGGTTTTAGGATTTAGGGGTTTAGGGTTTTGGGTTGCGTGGCCAGGACACTTGGCAAGACACCTGGGGCTTAGGGCGTAGAGTTTAGGGTTTAGGCTACGGGTTGATGGTTTAGGGGTGTTGAGGGTTTTTGTGGGGGTTAGGGGTTTAGGGTTTAGGGGTGTTTAGGGTGTGGGGGGGTTTAGGGCTTAGGGGTTTAGGGTTTAGGGGCCTAGACGGGGTTTAGGGTTTGGGGGGCTTTAGGGAGTTTAAGGAGACTAGAGTGTTTAGGGCAGTTTAGGGGATGTGCAAGTTTAGAGAGTTTTTGGGATCGACTACGATCAACGGCTGGAAATGGCAGAGGTTAGGAAAGGGTGTTAGGATAGATGCTAAGATGATTGAGACTTGGCCCTTTAACACAGGGACAATAATAAGTAGAATACGTTCCTGTACAGGGGTCTATACGGGATCTATAGTAGGGCTCTATATTAGGAGTCTTAGTAATTAGAATAGGGTTTCGGGGTCGATTATACTGTGAATAACGGCTCTCATATTGTAGAATCTTCAAAAGAGCCCTTAACAGAAGGCCGAGCCCTTTCTAACACCCCTAAGCTCTTAGAGAATCCTCGAAGGAACTCCTGAAGGGAGACTTCGCGAAGGCCTACATCCTGCACCCTTAGGTTGCGTAACTAGGGATGTATCGGGGGCGTCATAAGGGCTCCGCAGGGGTCTGGGTTTTGAGGTTTAGGCTTACCTTTGTATCGAGAACGCCTAATTAGACGGGCCTAAGTCCTACAAGCACGTTGTGATGAAGTTTGGCTCCAAATGTTGAGCCACACAAATCTAAACAAACCCTACAACTGGAATCGTGCCAAGGTGCAGGTGTTGACGCTTAAGTAGCAGAACTGATCTCGACTTTCACGCATCCCCCTGAGCAGGTCATCTGGGACGGGTGATTCTAGGTTCGTGCATTTGGACCCGGAGCGAGGGAGGGTTGGTTTAACAATTTTCCGAAGGGTCCAGGCACACATGCACTATGCACTCTGGCTGTAAAGTGGTTCCGTAAGTAAAACCCGGTAATTCGGGCTTGCAGCTTCTGGACATCCTAGCGGTTAGTATGCAGGAACATTTGCCTGTGCCAACATGAGTGTGTGCGCACATGATCTGTTATATAAGTTTGTTGTTGCACATACTCACATATAAGACATGTAAAACTAAACCTGTTTATTAACAGATTAAACTGTGGATAAGTAGATAGGTCGCCGGCTAGCTAGATAGATAGGTACTAGGTACGTAAACAGATGGCTAGACAAAACAGACAGACAAACCCACCAATCGAACAACCGGTCCATAGATTGACAAGTAGCGGGCAAGACAGAGAGGCAGACAGATAGTGAGGTAGGTAGGCACATAGGTATGCAGATACGGAGATAGGTAGATTGGCAGTTGGGTAGGTAGGCAGATAGATAGATATTTGTGTGCGTAACTATCTCTCTCTCTGCATACATATGTATGTGCGTGTGTATGTGTGTTTGTATTCGTGTGCTGCAAAGAAATATAGAGATAGCATGTATGTGTGTGTATACATATGGTTACATATGTATATATATATACACATAAAGAGTGAGAGAGCGAGATCGACTAAAAGAGAGAGAGAGAGAGAGAGAGAGAGAGAGAGAGAGAGAGAGAGAGAGAGTGAGATAGACAGAAGGTTTCGAAACTCGTTCTCAGCACCACAAGGAGGGGCAGTCCGCTAGTATCGTTGGCTGTTCCTAACTGCAATAAGAGATTCTGCGGTTGCAGCTGAGGCTGCTGCCGCCAGCACTGCGAAGGCGCATACGGCGATAAAACCAACAGTACAGCTGCAAGGGTCGGGTCCACACCAACAGCAGCAACAAGAACCTCGACGAGAACGACGCCTCCAACAACCAACAGGAGCAGCAACAGCATCAGCAACATCAGCAGCAGAAGCAACAGGATCCATAGAAGAAACAGCGCTGCTGCTGTTGCTGCAACCGCAACAACATGTGAATGTACGGCTGCCGCCACCACCACCACCACCACCACCACCACCACCACCACCACCACCACCACCACCACCACCACCACCACAACCTTCAATTTCACCGCCCCAATGCTACTACTACTACTACTACTACCACCACCACCACCACCACTACTACCCGCACTACTGCCACTGCCACTGCCTTGCAAAAAAACACCTAGGACTGCACACCGCCGAAGCTCTGGGAGCTCCCGTTCACTGCGATCCCCAGGCCAACCGTGTTAGATAAAGACTATGAAGTATACATACATATATATATATATATACATAGATATGTATACGCATATATATATATATATATATATATGTATACACATATATAAGTTTATATGTATACACATGTATATGAATGTGTAAATACAAATATGTAAACATGCATACATATGTTTATATACTAGAACAGAACAGGTTATGCAGAATCCAACACGATGTTTGCTGTTCCGTGTCAAAGAAACTTGGGACCCTGCTGCGAAGCTGTCTTGAAGCAGATCGGAAGACGCCAAGACCCATGCACCGTGCCCTGCCAGCGCTTGGTGATTGGGTTAAGGTTTTAAGGTGGACTTTTAAAACCTAAATCCTTTCGATGACCCTAAACCCTAAACCCCTTGAGTAAACCCTAAAACCTGAGAGGGTTCAAGGCTTATTTTCATCTTCTGCTCACTGATCATCGACGATCTGTTTTGCAATCAACGTGGCTGTATGCATCTCTTATACCCAAATACTACATTACTCTATACTTCGGCGTTAAAGTACTCCCTGGATAGGTACATTGGGCCTAAAGTATATACAAGTTGGGTACATGGACCATTAGGGTTACGAACCGAGACTGGGCAGGTTGCGATTGGTAACTCGAGGCTCGCAAAAAATGTCCGCTGCTGTAAAGCTACCATGACCTAAACCCTAAACACTCTTCATACAGGTACCTGGGTGTCAGATACCGAAAACAGCTGATCCTACAAACCAGACCACCAGTCAGCACCATGGGCGCCAACGTTCAACCGAGGCTGCCAATACTTGGAGGTTCATGGAAGTTATAAGTGGGATTAGAAGTCCCCTGATATAGGTTACAACCATAGTTATCCTACTTGTAACCCGACTGAAAACTAGCCATGAACCTCCAAGTGACCCCTTGACTGTGAACTTGCAAACTTGCGCCTCAGCTTCCCAACGCCGTCCGCCATGCTCACGGATGTCCTCCATCTGGTGCCGCCTTAGGGTTCCAATTTCTGACTCAGCGCGCCGGGTTCCGGATTGAGGGTCCAAGGATCTGTAGTCATAAACCCTAGAAGCTCTGAACCCAAAACTCTGAAATCAACCGAAAGCTCTGAAATAAGCCCTACAACCCAAACCCTGAATGAGCCCCTGACCTTCTGTGAGAGCTTTCGTGCTTTCAGGTCCTTGTTTAGGTTTTGGGTTCCTGCGATTGAATTTTTAAACACTGCACCATAAACCCTAAACTGTACACAATAACACCCTGAACCCTAAATCCTAAACTAAAAACACATGGCAAGTTTCGAGTACTCCTCGGCATCCATCTCGCCAGGCTCCTGCGATTCATGTCGGGGTGAGTAGTAGTTTGAATGAGCGTTTGGGGAATATTATACGGGAAAACAAGGAGCACCAAAGTAATCTTGGTAGTTCTTAATGCTTCTATATGCTGAGTTTAGGCGCTCCTTGATATCGGGAGATGGGTTTGGTGCCTGTGGGATCTGTTCAGTGTTTTGAGGGTCTGCGCATCTGTTAAGATTGGGCGGCAGAGTTTCTGTTTCCCAGATTTGGGACTCTCGGCTTGATGCTACAGCTCAAAACTCTAAACATCAAAGCGAATTTAAAAAAAACACAGCTACAGCCCCGCACCGACCAAGAACCTCAAACTTAGCGACCCCCCAAGGTGCCAAAGCGGTTCTCGTTCGCTGATCTCTGCCAGTGAAGCCCACACAGCTCCACACTCGGGGGTGACAAGGGTCGCAGAAAGTGTAAGCTCTGTTGGTTTTAAGTTTTTTGGAGTTGGTGAGACCTAAACCCTAAACCCTAAACCCTGCATGTTTTTTCGGCTCTCCACAAGTCATCAAGGGTGGCCGCCGGAGAGAGAAAGAGAGAGAGAGAGAGAGAGAGAGAGCGAGGCACTGATCGAAAGAAAGAAGAAAGATACTGTGGATGATATGAACCCTGCATTACCTTAAGGGCCCTAAACAATGGGAATTCTGGTATATTCCTCATTTTGGGTAATGCCGGATTTATATCATCAACCGTAGTTCGCCTCAAAGTATGTACCAAGCGTGCTTCGCCCTGGATTGTATTCCTTTCCGAAGATTTCATTGGGACGGCACGATGCACGGACTTCAAGAGGCTTGAAACCAACCTAAAATATCTAAACCCCTCAAACCATGGAGCTCTCTGCCGAACTCCTAAGTCTTACCTTAACCCTGAATAACCTCCCTTTTTAGGGCTCTTTATCATGATTTCTTTAAAAGAGTCCTTTACATTAAAGGTCTAAGGTAGGGTTTGCTTCGCGCTTCGAGTCTGAGACTCCTCTGCTGGTGCTTCCTCTCCATCCGGGGCCGCTGCCGCACCGTCCTTCCCAGAAACCCTAAGGGTCCATGTACCCAAATAGGATTCCTTTAAGGGTACCATAAAGGTTCCTTTCAAGGGATCTATAAGGGATCCAGAAGGGTTTAGGGTATAAGGATACTTTCGGCCCAATGTACCCCATATAGGGAGTACTTTCAGGCCAATGTATGTACTGTTTAGGCACATGGACCCTTAGGGACGGAGACGCAAGGCTTCGGAAGTCACACTCAGCGGACGTGCCCATCTGAGGGAAGACAAGCAAACAATGACGTTCTTGGCAAATCGCATATTTTACCAGAGCAGCAAGCTGAAGACAAGGTTTCCAACACGGAGCCAACGTAACAAGCAGCAGCCGCAACAACAACAACAACAACAGCACTCCGGACGACTCCGACATTCCCCTTTGCCAGTATGCACACCTCTATATTTCCAGCATTAGTATTACTCGAACTGACACGAACACTTGCAAGTCCAAGTACAGCAACGATCACAACAGTCAATCCGACTAACAACACTAATGACACTAGTCACTAGTCCACTAGTAGTAGAATGCTCGATGATAGTACGCACCCAAAGCAAACTAGAAAGGGTCATACTGATAACAGTAGTCCAATATTGGTAAAAACATTACCAAAAGCAAGTGCGGCAATAGCAGTAACCTATACTATCTAACCTTGCTAGATCTTCTCAAACCCTAAGGCTCAAAATGGCCCAAAAGCCTTATATTGTGTGGTCTTTGGGCCCAAAAGCCTTAATGTATGAGTGTATGAGTCCTTAAGAGCCTTAGGGAAAGCAACCTAAACCCCCGAAGTAGGCAAAATAATGGCCAAACCTATAAAAGGCCATTATTCTACATACTTTGGGGGTCCAGGAAACAGGTAATTCTTGGGTGCCCTAAGTATTAGGTGCCGTATTAACATAAGGACCCAAGAAGGAACCATCATTTTGACAACCACCCGAACAGGTAAGGCACGGCAAACGTCCCCTTAGCGTCGTCCTCTGGAACTTCAGGTTTCTCTTCCACGGGCATCTTCAGCAGGTCCCTATACTCCTGGCCATGGCACACATGGGTGGCTGTCAAAATTAGGGTCCCTCTTTGGGTCCTTATTTGCATACGGCACCTGATATTTAGGGTACCCAAAAAGGGAACATAATTTTGACAACCACCCACATGGTTTAGGGTTTTAGGATGGGTTGGGGCTTCAAGCTGTCGACTTCCGGGGTTCAGGGTTCTGGAGTGTTTCGAGGTTGGGAGGTTTTGGGGTTGAGGGCTGAGCGCTCGGGCTCTAGATTTTTTGGGGCTGCGGGGTTTGGAGGGTTCAGCGTTTGGAGCTGAAGAGCCAGGTTAGCTTCGTTCGTGTGCAGAATCGGGCCACGTGCTGACGAGCTTTTGGAATAGGAGCAAGAAGACTAATGCAGGAACCATAACAAGATAATGAAACGCTGCTTCCGCACGCCACCGTTCTTAGATCACAATGCTGTTGGGTTGAGCGCATTCGCGTGTCGGGTTGAGGGCTTGGGATCTAGGGCTTTCAAGTTAAGAACAAACAGCATTAGTGTATGTTGTCGGAGGTAGTAGGGGTCTCTAAAGTACTGTCTGGCGCCAGACGTAAGGGGTTATGGGATTATGTTGCACTGTTAAATCTGTTACATCTTATACTGACGTGTTTTATATTGTTCTGTCCTTATACTAGCATGTTGTCAAATGGTACTGCCCTATACTGTCATAATCAAAAAATTCATAGGATCGAGATACGCAGGGTCGGCCGGGGGACACCCTTTCGGACCCTGTTTGGTGGGTCCGAAAGGGTGGTTCCCAGGGTCTCCCGTAGATCTGGCCGGACCCTTTCGGACCCACCCATTCGGACCCTGGTGGTAGTCATTGAGTCTGCGTCGGGCTCGGCTTGAATTTGGGTATGGCTCAACATAGTTTTCATGATATTCAGCATGGTTTCCGCATATATTTTTCCAGCACCCACGCAGAAGTTCACAGAAGTAGCAGGCAGCGGGCCTCGGGACAAGGCGCACACTCAAGCTTCCCAGGCCGTGGTTGTTTGCTCGGGTTCCTACCTAAGTTCGCGGGGCCTGCGCAAAAGCATCCAGAAACTCAAAATCCAGAATCCTTGGAAGAGCCCCTGAACCCATAAACCCCGAAACCCAGAAATTATTAACCCTTATGTCGCTTATGTCCCGCAGTAACCCAAAACCCCAAACGCAGAAACCCTAAACCCAGAAAGCCCTTGAACCCAGATACCCACCAAGCCCCCAAACGCAGAAGCATTGTACACAAGCGCCTGAACTCAGAAACTGAAAACCCAAAACCACTGAACAGAGGAACCGCTGAACCCAGAAACCCTACACCCAGAATCCCAGAAACCCTGAGCCCATATCCCAGAAACCCTAAACCCAGAATCCCAGAAACCCTGAGCCCATAGCCCAGAAACCCTAAACCCAGAAACCCAAAACCTTGTGCTCCAAACCCTTGAACTCAGAAGCTAACAACCAAGAACACCTAAACCCAGAAGTTCAGGTGTGGGCGACGCCGGGCGCCGCTCGGTGGATTCCTGTTGCGACGCCCGGCGTCGCCCCTGTGGCGTCGGCATGTCGGCCACTCGATTCGAGCACGACATGTGACTTGCTTCAAGCCGCTATTGTGCTTCGGTGCAGCGTCCAGGGGTTTAAGGTTTTGGTTTAAGGGCTTAGGGATTCTGGGTTCTACAGGGTTTCTGTGTTTGGGTGTTTGCGGTTTCTGGGTTCAGCGGTTCTCGGTTCGGTGATTTTGGGTTTCAGGTTATGATGTCTGCGGCTTCCGGGGTTTGCGGTTTCTGGGTTCTGCATTTCTGGCTTCAGGAGTTTTCTGGGTTTAGGGTTTCTGCGTGCAGGGTTTCTGGGCTTACTCGCAGATTTGGGGGTTCAGAACTTCTGGGTTTAGGTGTTCTGGGTTGTTAGCTTCTGAGTTCAAGGGTTTGGAGTACAAGGTTTTGGGTTTCTGGGTTTTGACACTCACACTCGGGCAAGCCTGGCGAGGTCTGTAGCGATTAAGGACGAACATACAGGATCAACTTCAAGCCGATTTCACTTGAAGCCAGGCTGTTCATGCCAGGGTTTCTGGGCTATGGGCTCAGGGTTTCTGGGATCTGGGTTTAAGGTTTCTGGGATATGGGCTCAGGGTTTCTGGGATTCTGGGTTTAGGGTTTCTGGGTTCAGCGGTTCCTCTGTTCAGTGGTTTTGGGTTTTCAGTTTCTGAGTTCAGGCGCTTGGGTACAATGCTTCTGCGTTTGGGGGCTTGGTGGGTATCTGGGTTCAAGGGCTTTCTGGGTTTAGGGTTTCTGCGCTTGGGGTTTTGGGTTACTGCGGGACATAAGCGACATAAGGGTTAAGAATTTCTGGGTTTAGGGGTTTGTGGGTTCAGGGGCTCTTCCAAGGATTCTGGATTTTGAGGTTTTTGGATGTCTCTGGATTTTGGTGTATAGGTTTCAGGGTTTAGGTTTTCAGGGTAAATGTTTTGTACCACTCGCCAGTGCCCCCCCCCGTCAGCCACCCCCCAAAAGGCATTCTTTCGGTGCGGTGATACCGCAGGACTACCGCAGGCAAGTTAAATCTGGTTTTAACTGGCTTGCTTTTCTAATATCTGAGGTAGGGTCCGAATGGGTCGGGCGACCCTTTCGGACCCTGTTCCCAAGGGTACCCAGGGCCACCCTTCCGGACCCTGGATAAATCGAGGGTATAAAAATTCTATATTCTTGTTAGTTTTGCTGTACTGATTCGATTTGCTTCTATAACGTTACTGTTATTCTTCTCCCATTTTTGACATCAATATTCTCATAGGCGTATTTGCAAAGTTGCTACATTGTGTTGTGAATACTGGCATCTATCACTATGGTTCTATGATGTCCTAACATACATCATTCGTTGGGTCTTATAGACTTTGCGGTATCTGGGCATGGGGTATGGAGTATGGAGGCCCGCTTGAAGTTCTAAAATCTAAATGCAACGGGCGGTATCACTGACCCATTGGCTGCTGGAAGAGCAGTTAAACGCTCTAGTTTTCACAGTGTTGCGTTTGCAAATTTACCCTAAACCCTAAACCCTAAAACCCTAAACCCTAAACGTATTGGTTAGGGTACGGGGTTTCGATCATATGGGGCTCGTATGAAGCATCGAAGGGTGAACAATGCCAACCAAACACCCCATGATGCAGTGCAAGCCAGCTCGACACGCTGGAAACTTATACCGCTGGTTTAGATCCTGCAAGCCACACTTTCAATCTGCATCCGACCCTTGGCCAAAACTCTGCGGCGTCCTTCGTGGGCTTAAACTCCACCTGTCACACCAAACACGGCAGCTTACTGGGAGGGCAAGGAGACTTTGCACACCAGTTACGACAAAAAGCATAAGTTTACAAGCAGGATAATCTTGAATTTTACGCAATCCCTTGAAAAGAAGAACCCTCAACAGCGATCCTCAACCCGCAACAGTCCAACACCTTAAACCCGCTTACCATTCCCCTTCAGCCTGGGGTAGGTTGGTCCCGAAGGCTCCACGTGCCTAGATAGTACATCCTCGTAAAGGCCTAAAAAAGGTTCCTATATAGGTACCTTGTGGCCTAGGTACATTACATGGAGCCTTAGGGGTGTAGCTGATATACACCATGCTTCGGTTCATTCTGCAAAGGGCCCCCGAATGAAAGATAAAAGGCCTAAGCCCTACTAAAGGGATCTAAAGGCGCCTTAGTAATGAATTAGCGTAGGGTTTTTGGGGTATTATGTATGAACTTTAGAAAAAGGAACCCAAAATAGTACTGGTAATTCAAGCCGCTTCTATTAAACTCTGAGCCCAGACTTAGCAGACCCTCAGGAGCCATTGAGGCTTCTGCTACAGGGGCCTTAGTAATTAGAATAGGGGCTTTGTGGCCCATTGTACCAGATTTATAATAAGGAACCCCCTAAACTGTGTAGGTAATTATTAAGGCCCCTATATTATAGCAAGGAGACGGAAGTTTCAAGACCTCCGTTTTCTTAGTTCAGAATGTGTGGTTGGCCTTGGGGGCCAAAACCACAGCTTTGGAGTGTCGGCTTCCGATTCGAACCTTTGGACTATGCTGTTTCAGCTGTAAAGTAGTAGCGTAGTCCAGAGTCGCCGGAACCCCCGACAAATAAACCCTTTTTGGCATTTTGCGCGGCCGGCAGGGGAGGGTTCACAAGGCATTCCCGCCCCTTGATGGCTCCAAGGACCTACTTTCTATGGAGCCTGGACATGTTGTGGTATCTTTCTTCCATGGTCCCCTCGGCCAACCTGCTGATGTTGAACCATGTTGAACGAGTTGAAGGTTAGCTTGTGTATCGCAGATCGCCTACTGGACCAAAGTCAAGGACCGACCTGTAGCTGTCTCAAACACAGAAGGCAAGGAGTATCAGCGACAGCTTGCATGCAGGAGCTGCCCTGAATTATTATCGGTGTCAGATAAACTATGCACTACGTCCCTACCTGTAGTCTCCATTGTAGTTCCTTTTTGGGGTTACCTTTTAGAATCTTTAATATATATAATTGGTTAAACCAAAAAAAGGAACTACAATGGAGACTATAGGTAATCCCAGGATGGCTGCGCGTGTTGGCCTGCAGTCGCTGCGACTCCTTCGGCTGAAGAGTGAAGCAGATGGGTGTCATCTTCAAACCACCTCAATGCTGCTTCGGCACCCCAGCGCACTGTTGTTGTGGGTCTAATGGGCAGGAGTACACCTAGGTACCCCAAGAACACTGATAGTAAAGGTTACCGCTTCGACCTTTTTCAAATCTAATGTCGATAAGCCTAGACCACCCAACTACCCTCTCCTATACTTTAGGTAACCCACTATGAAGGACCCATAAGGGCTCTAATAAAGGCCGAACTTTGGGGGGGTCCTGAAGGAGACGCGGTGGGGGTACTGCGCACGAACCTTTAGCCCTGAACCGACTCTTTGGGATGAATTTGGTTTGGCATTTGGGTGGCTTTCAAAATTAGGGTCCCTTTTTTGGGTACCCTAAACAATAGGTGACATATTATATTAAGGATCAAAAGGGGGCCCTTATTTTGGACACCATCCATTTGTGGATTCGAGCCCTTGCAGAGGACTGAACTTGCCGGCCTTCAAACCTAAGGGATGTTGTGGGGTTTCGCTGAATGCTTCTGCGGTTTGAGTAGGCTTGATGCTAGGATTTGGGTTTAGTGTCTTTGAGGTTAGGACACAGACATCTTCGGAATTTAAGCTCCAAGTGCGATTTCGCGTTTGGGAAGTGGGGCGGGGGTTCAGGAGTGTCAGGGTCGAGGGGGTGTACTTAAAGGATCATGGCACTTAGTAACTAGGGTCATAATTAGGGTTACTCTACTTATAGATGATATACCACTGGGGTGAGCCCGCCGACGTCTGAAGCAGACGGCGCAAGGCCCCTGTGTTGAGTTGGTATAATATAGGGGCCTTAATAATTGCCTATACTTTTTGGGGGTTCCTTACGGTAATTATAGTCTAATTGGCCCCCAAACCCTACCGCAATTAAGGCCCCTATATTATGAGGATAGTTGTCGTGTAAGAACGATGAGCAACGGCGACACAGCATTGCTGCATGAAGACGCGTGACTGACAATACAAGCAATGAGCCCTTGTGTTCGGCCATGCGACCCAGACCCCAAACCCCTACTAAACCCTAAGGAGCTACACAATCATACATCCAACCCTAAGGGTCCATGTACCCAAATAGTATATGATTTGGGCCCAACGTACCCATATAGGGACCCCTTTACGGTTTATACCATGAAGGTACATGGAGCTTTTGGGACAATCATACATCTAAGCGGTCGTCGAGAACCGAGGCGCTAAGCTCGAAGGGTGGGAGCAGAACATTCAGCGTCTGCGGCACCTGCAAACGAGTAGTTGTCAAAATTAGGGTCCCTTGTTGGGTCCCTAATATAATACGGCACCTAATATTTAGGGTACCCAAAAAGGGACCCTAATTTTAATTTTGACAACCACCCAAATGTCTCGGGAGGTTTGGCGAGGTTGGGGTTAGGGTTTGGTGTCGAGGGCTTGAAGTCGAATGAATCAACCTGCTTTGCAAGGATTTGCTTACTTCTGCCTGCGCCCCTCCGCCACAGCCAACCTCGGCCCATGTCGGCCGAAGCTCCTATTGAATACATATGGGAGTTTCCTAAAATAGGGGACCCTAACATGGTACCCTAAATAGTAGGATCCTTATTATAAGGACTGCGAAATAAAATATGGTACCCTTATTTTCGGAAACTCCCATATTGCTGCGGACTGTGCTTGTAAGCACCCAAAGCACAACACCCTAAACTCCAAACCAGCCTGTTTGTATCTGCAAGCCGTGCACCACCCCTGCCCTCCGCCCTGAAAGCCTCAAAACCTAGAACCATAAAGCCGTGAATGCTTGCAGAGCAAATTGAATACATGCAAGAACCTACTACCAACGATCATAAGACCCTCACCTCTACTTGACCCATGAGACCAGTGAATGCCTGAACTTCATAACTCCTTGACACGAAAGCCCCCAAAATCATGAAGCTCTGAACCATGAAGTCGCACCTACATCCCTAAAGCCCTCAACCCCCCAGGCCTGACATTCTCGCAGATTCTGGTAAGCTAAGCCCTAAAGCGCTAAATCCCAAACTGTTACAGTCAGCCTTGTCTTTATCGCCGTGCGGACCTTTCGGACCTAAACTAATACCTGCCAGGCCCTACTACTAATCCTAGGCTCCTCACCCCGACTTAGACCTAAAGCCCCATGCCTTGGAAATCTCGACCCTAAACCCTACTTGGAGGTTCATGGGTAGTTAGAAGTGGGGTTATAAGTCCCCGAATATAGGTTATCCTACTTATCACTACCCATGAACCTCCAAGTAAACCCCAAACCGAAGCCCTAAACCCTGTGCCTTGCCCCCCATCAAGACCCTAAACCCCGAGACCCTCAGCCCTAAACCCAAAAAACAATTAAGCCCGAGACCCTAAAACCCTAAAACCCTATGAACTATGAACCCTAAAAACCTACAAGCCCGAAACCCTAAAACCACCAACAAAAAACATAAACCCTAAACCCTTCAAGCCCTAACCCCTTTATGGAACCCTTCTAGATCCCTTTAAAGGAACCCCCGATGGATCCCTTTCAAGGAGCCCTTACTGATCCCCTGCCTTGGAGACGTTTCGGACCACGACGGAGTCCTTGGTCGCCGCATCTGCCGGGATGGACGCCAAATCGAGCTGGGTCTCCGAGAACTCGAGGCTCCTTGGGTGATGCTTAAAGTTAAGGGTTAAGGATTTAGTGCTACTACTACTACTACTACTGCTACTGCTACTACTACTACTACTACTACTACTACTACTACTACTACTACAACTACAACTACAACTACAACTACAACTACAACAACTACTACTACTACTACTACGACGACGACTACTACTACTACTACGACTACTACTACTACTACTACTACTACTACTACTACTACTACTGCTACTACTGCTACTACTGCTACTACTACTACTACTACTACTACTACTACAACTACAACTACAACTACAACTACAACTACAACAACTACAACAACTACAACAACTACAACAACAACTACAACAACAACTACTACTACTACTACTACTACTACTATTACTACTACTACTACTACTGCTGCTGCAACTACAACTACAACTACAACTACAACTACAACTACAACTACAACAACTACAACAACAACTACAACAACTACAACAACTACTACAACAACAACTACTACTACTACTACTACTACTACTACTACTACTACTACTACTACTACAACTACAACTACAACTACAACTACAACTACAACAACTACTACAACAACTACTACAACAACAACAACAACAACAACAACAACTACTACTACTACTACTACTACTACTACTACTACTACTACTACTACTACTACTACTACTACTACTTTAAGGTTTATTGTGCTGCATGCAGGTTAGCATACGGGCCTCATTAACTAGAATAGGGCTTTTGCCGGACGATGATATTGTAAGTATCTCTGTATATAGGGGGGGTCCTACAGGGGTCTCTACTTGGAAGGGCAGGGGACTTAGTAAGTAGGTTATAAGTAGAGTTATAAGTACCCTAAAAGGAGTTACCCCAATTAAAACCCTACTTATAAACGACTTACGAAGTCCCCTGCACCCTCCAAGCAGGGGTTCCAGAAGGTTTAGTGTTGCGGATTAGGATTTCGAGTTCTGCAGCAGAGTTTAGGGTTGAGCCTTCTCGGCTGCTTCCGTTTTAAATTTTAAAAACTACTGTCCTACTGCTCCATGTTTTTGCATGCGCATTTTGAGGGTTTTTTGGGTGCTGTTCCGGTGTGCCCACTCTTTTGCTATCCTGCGGTGCGTTCCTGGTTGTCGCTGTGAATGATTCTGCGGGCTGTGAGTACTGTTGTTCTAGTCTTAGCTACATTTACCGAACCTATCTTTACTACAGCATGTTTCACACCATTAACTCCTCCTCCTACTGCCGCAGGACAGCAAATGCCGATGCTGATGCTACCTCTACTGCTGCTGCTGCTGCTGCTACTGCCAAATGGTAGTCGCCCCACAACTTTGACAAGCCGTATGGCAGGATGACCACAGGCACCGTCACTAGTGAGATATAACCGTACACACAGAGTACTTGGAGGATCATGGGACTTAGTAAGTAAGGTTATAAGTACCTTAATTGGGGTTATAAGTGCTTATAAGTAGAGTTACCTTAATTATAGCCCCAGTTACTAAGTCCCATGATCCTTGAAGTAGACCCTAAACCCTAAACCCCATAGATCCCTTTAAGGAACCCCATAGATCCCTTTAAAGAGCCCTTTAAGGAACCCTAGTTACTAAGTCCCATGATCCTTTAAGTACTGTGATTATCCCTTGGAGGGTGGCGCGTCTCTGATACAAGTCTCGGTCATCGTCACTGAGTCCTTCTCGACCGGTTTAGGGTTTAGGGTTTAGGGAACTTCTCGATGACCCAGAAAACGTCAGGTGCAGTGACGGGCCTGAAAAGGGCTCGCCACGCACATCCGACCCAAGTCTTCCACAGCTCCGAATTTGCGCGTCGCTTCGATGCCGAACCTTCTGGTCGGGGCGGTACCGCCCCGTCCTCGCTAGGCCGGCTCTACAAGCGTGTAAGCGAAGTCAAAGTACTCAGCCCTGAGGTTGCTCTGTGGTAAACGTTCATAGTCCAGGATTCAATGATCTGCCGAGCCATGAAGGCGTCTTACCTACTTGCGAACACAGGGTTTTTCTGTTCAAAGGGCTTGTAATGTCTTCAAATCACACCGTGAGCTTCAGGGCCTGGGGTTCAGGGATTTTCTGCCCACTGCAACATATACTTGTCTTCAAACCTCACCCTACACAGAGAGTGTGGCTGAAACCGAGACCTCAAAGCTTGCCTATAATTACGAAACAAGCCTAAACCCCAAACCCCAAACCCACGCCTGCGCCTCACATTCCGAACATCGCCCTTTTCTTCATGTCGATTCAAGCCCCCGAGACTTTGAACCCGAAATTTGAAAACTTGAAGCCGGAAGTAAACCAGAAAACTGAAGATCTCAACGCCTAAACCTCGACCCCGGAACACTCAACCCTTAACCCCCTAACTAAACCCTAAACCCCTAAACCCTAAACCCTAAACACTAACCCCTAAACCCTGAACCCCTAAAGCCCTGAACCCTGAACTCTGAAACCTAAAACCTGCAAACAGCAGACGTGGTAACGCGGTGACAAACGCTGGCAAGTATCGAAGATATGCCCTGGCCCGTGCAGTGGATGACCTCGGACTTAAGGATTTGGGCTCAGGGCTTGTGGGCTCTTGGGGTTTAGGGTTTTTGGGTTTAGGGTTTAGGGATTTGGGTTTAGGGATTAGGGATTAGGGTTTAGGGATTTGGGTTTAGGGCAGTGAAGGAACAGGGTTTATGTATAAAGAACCTATACAAGGATCAGGGGTTTGGGTTAGGGTTGAGGGTTTAGGGCAGAGGAGGAACAAGGTTTATGTCTCTAAGCCAAAGGTTTAGGAACTTGTTCCGTCAATGGCCATGCCCAGAAGAAGCAAAGCGTGTTGTAAATGCCGAGAAGTAGGAGCCCAACACCATATTTCTGAGATAAGAAGCAGCTCGGGCACACCTGAGTTCTAAACCGTCACTAAACCCTAAACACTAAACTCTCTACCGTAGACTACCCCAAGCCAAGTCCTGCACCCTCAGGACCTAAACCCCTAAATCCCAAACTGTTCCCTCGGAGTGTTGGCCTATGCAGCAGTGATGGGTGTTGTATGCTCCAGCCCATACTGCTGATTTCTGCACAACACATGGGCTTATGGTTTAGGGATTAGGGAGTTAGGGCTTTAGGGTTTAGGGGTTCAGCGCTTTGGGGAGTTCGGGGCCTAGGGATTTAGGGTTGAGGGGTTTTGAGGGTGTATAAGGGTTTCGGGCAGCCTGAGGTGGGACATGCCACTCTCGACATCGAAACATCAGCAGAAGTTGTCCATGTACATTGCACCGTTGGGAGTTTTAAGGGACGAACGCAGCAGTGAGCCAGGCTATGTCATTGTCCATGTGGGAGGTATCGTGCAACAGTAATACATAGCAGGGGAAGTCCTACGGCTTTCTGAATCAGCCGCCTCCCTCCTGATATGGGTTCCTTAAAGCGGTCTATAAGGGTCTATGGTAGGGCTCTATAATATAAGGGCCTTAATCATTAGAATAGGGGTTTGGGGGCCCGCTATACTATAATTATGATAAGGAACACCCCCCAAAATAGGCCCCAACAATACATTTGCTGGGACCTGAAGAACTCACTGACATATTCGCTTGCAGTCCCTGGATACCCTGCTATAAAGTACTCCGAAAACCTTCGCGGGTCTGCAGTAGGGGTGCAAGGCTCATGGGTGGTTGTCAATACTAGGGTCCCTTTTTGGGACCGTATTATAGTTCGGCACCTAATATTTAAGGTACCCAAGAAGGAACCCAATTTTGACAACCACCTTGATTCAGATTCGTAGTATTTTTCCGTCTGCGTGTCGGGCGTCTGTAGGCTGTCACTATGAGCCCCTGAACCACCAAGAGACATAATTGTCTACAACTGCCCTCTGGGTTTAATAACACCAGACCCTAAACCCTCAATCCCTAACCTCTCAACCCCAATCCCCCAAATCCTAGATCAGGAAACTTCCTCTCAGGAGACCCGAGTTTGGAGAAGAGGCTCAAGGCCACCTGGATCCCTGCCAAGTTGCAAAGTCACGCACGCAGAGGTCCCCTGTGATGACCTGCTAGCGGGACAAACGGGTCCTAGAAGGCTGAGGGAAAGAGTTCGTAGGGTTCAGGGTTTTCTGCTCTTGACATAGAGGTTTCTGAAGGAAGTGGTAGTATCTGCTGGTCATAAACTACACTGACTAAGGCCCGTGTCTCAAGCAGGGCGATCGGCTACGCCTGGAACTCATTCTCCAGGGCCATCTAGTCGGGGAACGTAGTACAAATTATGCAGCAGAAGTCACGAGAATCCACAGCCTGATTCCTGCTATAGACTCTGCATGTTAGTGCACCTTTCTTTGGCTCCCTTACGATCATAATGACGTACACACCCAAAATACTGGTGGACTGTCATCTGTGCGGTGTCCTGTGTATCGCTGACGTCCTGCCCCAATGCCGGAAAAGGGAATCGTGCCGTCTTCATGAGCAGGTGTTGCAGAGCCTACCTTCTAGGGCTGAATTGAAATGGGTGTGGGCTCTAACGGTTTGCTGTAACCTGCGGCCTTTCTACGATTCTGCGGCCTCTAGAGTATAACATAGCGGCAGTGATAACCAACATGCGGCATCGCAGTACAGGAATCGTATGAATAATTAGTTCAGCCCCAATATGATGCTTTCGGGTTTGGAGTTGGAGCACTGAAGGTTTGGGGCACGAACTCTGGGCTTCCTGTCCACATAGCCCCTTGGGAATATACACCCTCAAGCTCTACAAAGCAACATGCTCAACAGCGCTTAGGGGGAGGGGCGCCGTATGATTCCATGAGTGCTATAAGGCCTCACACCCTGAAGGAGAACGCGAAATTCCGAAACACCGCAGCGTGATGTCTTACAAGGATCCAGCTAGCCAATATCAGCCACCACAAACGCAGCATTTCGGTGGAGTACTCAAACGATGTTCTTCAACCCTTACACCATGTTTTTGAGTTCTACCTTCAAAGGGAAACCGGAACCCCCAAACCCCAAACTAAACCCTAAATTACTACACCCCCTAAACCCTAAACCCCCAAACCCTAAACCCCTAAACCCTAAAACCCCCTAAACCCTAAACCCCCTAAACCCCTAAAACCCTAAAACCCCCCAAACCCTACAACCCCCTTAAACCCTAAAACCCCCTAAACCCTAAACCCCTGACCCCGTAAACCCTCCCATGTGATCACGAAGGCCTTGCAAAGGATCGTGCAGTCCATCTCCTTGGCTTTGGCGCGGGGCAATGCAAGGGATCCCCGACATGAATTCCTCTAAAGGGATGGGGTTTAGGGTTTAGGGTTTAGGGTTTAATTCCTCTAAACCTTAAACTACCAAACCCTATACTATTTTGTAGGTTCTTGTTATAAACCGTGATATGGAATTTTTAGGGACCCTACAAAAAAGTAGGTTTTGGTAGGTAAAGGAAGGGATGTATAAACGTTTAGGGTAAGTGCTGATGATATGAATCCTGCATTACCTTAAGGACAATCAACTAGGGGAAGTATGGTAAAACCCTTGTTATGGGTAATGTAATGCAGGGCTTCTATCATCGCCTGAAAAGCTTTGAACTACCGGAGTAGAGCTATACATGGACCAGGGGAGGAGATTCTTGCTGCCTGTTCAGACATTCGATACTGAAGACTTTCAGGGCTCAGGGATCCTTTACCCAAGACTTGGGGAATTTGGGGTGGGTTGAACCTTAACGCCGAAGCTCCCTAGAACTCGATGATAGGAGCATGACTCAGTGACGCAGAGAGTCCCAAACCCTTCACTCAAGCACTACGTCTCAAACTGTAGAGGATCCTGAATATGCGCGCCGCCGAGCCCATGCTACATCTTAACTTGCAGACGCTAGGTTGCTCTCGAAAGTAGATAGCCGAGCTTTGGGTAAGATTGCCGCTTGCTGTCTTGGGGTTGCATTGGGTGAAGCAGCCGAAACCTTCAGTACAACTTAGATACCAAAGCTCGGTGCCAAACTCTAAGCCTCTACACTCATAGCCTTACCCAAAGGCTTCATTGTAGTTCCTTTTTGTGGTTCATATTTAGGATCCCATAAGGTAGTCTCACAAAGGAACTACTTGGAGCCCATGGGTAACCACTAGACTTTTGAATCAGTCTCACATGGGGGAGGTGCAGCTTTCCAGGGGACTTGCTGCAGCCAGGCATCGATCGCAGACTCGGGAGTGTAGAGCATTGACACCTGGCGCTTCTCACCTGTTCACGGATGGGCTGCTGCAGATGTGGCTTGGGGCTACATAATCTAGGTACCGAAACACACAATAGTCAGAATAGGGGTTGGGGTCTATTCTCGTATAGCTATACATGGGCTGCTCGAGAATGATATTACTAACATGTGGGCTTGACATTCTCAGGAGTTTGGCAAGCTTTGCTGCTCAAGGCACCTATGGTCAGTTAGCCAGACGGGTTTTCGGTGACGACCCGAAAAACTGACCCCTGATTTAGAACAACCCCCATGTGAGTGACTAAGGAGAGATTGGTTCTCCGGGATGTCTGCATCCGGTCCTGGGTCTGCGAGTACTAGGTCTCTGGCCGTACCAAGCGTTTAGGGTTTAGGGTGAACCCTAAACCGTGGAGGAGAAGCGGAATGGAGGAAGGCAGGGCTGGGATTGTTAGCAAAAGTGGATGTGTATCAAATTGCAAGAGAGCTTGTTAGCAAACACTTGCTGCTAGCGTTTGCCAAGCTCCCAAGGTCACGAACGACCTTTCATGGATATTCACACCTATATCCTAAGCCGTGTAGAGGCTGGAGTAGTGAACAATATGGTTCCTCAGGGCTCCTAATTCTGATCCTAGTATATTCAGCATACCCCGAGACCCTTCTCCAAGTATCGGAAGCCCCAATATCGCATACACCCCTGCCCAAACAGACAAGCTCCGAGGTTGTATTTCTCAAGAACCTGCTACGTTTGCAAAAACTGTCACACACGCATAGAATTCCGTCAGTGGTATACATGTCACGTGCCTGGCAGCAATGACCCAAGAACGCCATCAATCTGGGCGTCGACAACCTCCAGGATACATCAATGCGATTCTTGACGTGTTAAATCCTGCATTACCTCAATGGCCCTAGACTATGGGAATGATGGTCTATTCCTTATTATGGGTAATGCAGGATTTATATCATCAACCGTAGGATGCTCAAGATGAGGATCCCGAAGTCTAAGTAATCCGGACGGCAGGGTTTGCGGTTTCGAGGCTTCGTGAGCTCCGAAACTATCCTCAAAGAAATGCCAAGCCATGCACAACAAGGCTTAATAGGCCGAGGGTCTAGGGTTAGGGCACACCCCATCTTTAACGAACCTGTTCAACCTCAATTGAGAGTGTTTTGATGATGGTGCTTCTTACAATCACACCCCAGATCCAAAGCCATGCAAAAGCGCAGAACCCAGCAGTATACTGCAGAGCTTCTCAGTTAGTCAGCTATTGACCTGCGGGCTTCGGATGTGGTAAGAACCAAAGTCTTCATTGTAGTTGCTTGTTTTGGGTTTAACCAGCTGTATATGTAGGGTCCTATAAGAAAAACCACCACAAAGGAACTACAACGGAGACTATAGGAACGTTTCTGAATGACCCTTTGTGGGTGCCAGGAGAGGCCGTGCTTCAACAACATCACTGTGTTTATCTACAGCAGTGTGACGGCAGCATGAAGACCAATAATCCAATCAGCCATTCACCAACATGGATCCACATCATCTGCTGCAGGTTGGCCATCACCGAATCATCATAGTCACCAGCGACATCATCAAGGTGATCACCACCACCAACACTACCAACGTCGCCACTGTCGCAATTGCCATAGTCCTCCGCAACATCTTCATCCTCGCCATAGACTCACAAAAGAAAATTGCTAGCAGAGGTCACCAGCCTCAAGAGAAGCAGACACCATACCGAAGCCTGATCACTTGATTAACAGTAGTCTTCCGTAGCGACCTAGTGTTCCGTGTTTTGAAACTGTAGTTTTTACAATGAACACCGACCCACACCCTCCACTAGTCACTATCCGTCCCTATACTGCTTGAGATTCTGCAGCCCACAATTCGACAAGGGACTGCGATAGTCCCCGGCTTCGCATCCAGGCCACCCCAGGCCTTTCGAGTGTAGAGAGACTAAACACAAGGTCTGGGGCTTAAAAGTTTGGGGTTTAGCGGCTTATCAGGTCACCGGGGAGACAGAAAGGCATCGGTGCTCATGATGAAACAGTTGCAGTGCCAGAGCCCCCGTTGGAACTCTACAAGCCCTATCACCCTAGTAATCAAAATAGCCCAAAAGCCTGTTTGGAATGGTCTTTGGGGCCAAAAGCCTTAATGTACGAGTCCTTAGATCCCGGGGTCAGGTAATCGAGATGCCTAGCCCTGCGGGATGCAAGATGCCAGGATATGCCAGGCTTGTCGGAGCCTGGAGCCCCCCCCAAGCCGCAACGTTCCGACTTCCTTTGGGGCTTTTTTGTGGCCCTAAACCCTAAACCCTAAACCCTAAACCGTTTAGGGTTTAGGGTTAGGGGATGAGAGTGCAAAACCTAAACATGGACTCAACATTTCAGGGCACAGTTTGGAGTCGAGAGTTTGAGGTTTGGAGACGTTGGCTAAACTCAGGCGAGCGCTCTGATCCTAGATTCCAAGACATAACTTCGTTTCTTCGAGTGAGCCAACAACAGCAGAACCGATACCCCTGGATCCGACCTCCTATCAGCCGAAAACCAAAAGCTTCGAACACCAACCCTGAAACCTGCAACGCCCTTCTGAACCGTATTGCAACCGATAAACACCATCAGCAACTTAACCTAAAAACAGCTCCAGAGACTGTCCAGGCCTCTTCTTGCAGCACATCCTCGGGCACTTCCTGGCCCAAACCGGCCCGGCGACTAAAACCGATATTCTGGGCCTTTAAGGGTTCTATAAGGGATGCAAGGCTTTGGGGTATATTATACTGCAACTACATCCGGGTGCCCGAAGAAAGAATGGGCAATACTTTATAAGCCCCTAGATTAGGCTCGGGCTGATGGGTTCAAGGATTGCGTGCAAAGTTCTAGGACTCAAGCCTTGCATGGCTCAAGCTTTACATCAGATGTGGAATGGTAACTTGGCCTCATGATTCCATGATGCTGATCATGTGAACACATGCTGAAACATACCACAACAACTCAGATACCAGGATGATGAAACGCACAACTTTCGATTCGTGGCAACCCTGACCTCCTAAAGCCCGAACCATGCGCGCTTCCAGTCAGCAAACAGCTCGTCTACATGCCAAGCGGCAAGGTACATGATTAGATCCTCCACGCTAAGTCCGAACTGTTGCCATCAAACAACCTTTTAAGCGGATTTTGGGTTTCGGGGGAAGGGGGCTATGCTGCTGGGGAAGTCCCGGAACCGGACCCGAGTAAATTGGGGGCTTTGGCGGCACTTCTACGCAGCATCCCACACGCATCCCTCGCACTAGCAACACGAATCCTCGAAGCAGTCCTAAACGATGAGCTTGTGAAGCCCTATTATAAACTTGATGACTCTATGACCCATAGTTGCTTAACCAGGTGGCGATTTCAACATCGCCCCAAAAAAGTGCAATTAGGGATCGCTTCAAACATAAATAGTAACGTAAGCTTGATATTATCTCATATCGGTACCTAGTTAACGTGTTTAGAGCTTCCCCCAAGGGTCCAAGTACGCACTACTCACATACTCTCCAAAATTCTAACCTACATAACTACATAACTACTATCCTAAACCGAGTACCTAATTCTTGGGTCCTTTGGACCCTTGGGTAAGGTCCATGTACCCAACTAGTATATACTATGTGCCCATTGTACCTGCATGCGGACTACTTTAAGGCCAAAGTATATACTGTTTGAATACATGGACCCTTGGGGTTCGGGAATTGGAGGCTGAGCTTGAAGATTTGTCGATGCCTGCACGGAGAGGTGCGATGGCAAGCGCCTGGGCAAGCCAAGATAGGAGCTCAGTCCGAGAGGAAGAGGTTTAGTGGTTTAGGGTTTTTACGGGTTCTGGGTTCAGGGGTTTAGGGTTAGGGTTTAGGGCTTCTGGGTGTAGGGTTTAGGGGTTCTGGGTTTAGGGGTCTATAGGGCGTATAGGGTTTAGGGGTTCAGGGTTGGGGGTTGTAATAATGCAGACTGCGGCGCACTACAGCCGCCCAACTCCCAAAACCCATGAAACCTAACAAGTTAGTCCCTGTCGCTGCAGCCCTAGACTCTAGACCTTTTTGATCGAGCCGAGCCCGACAACCGTAAGACTTCCCGTATACTTGTGTCACATGGCACATTACTACATTACAACCTACGTTTATGAATAAAAGTGATGCTAAGTAACGGAATCACCAGGAACGTCTTGCAGCGCAATGCTCGCAGTGCCTAGGGTTTAGAGACGAAGGCCTGCAGGGTGCGGGCTTGGAGTCCAATCTTAAGTGTTTCGGCTTGAAGAGAGCCCCGGTATAAGAGGGTTTCGGGTTTAGGCGGCTCACTGCTGTTGGTTCTGCACATATTATGTTAAGTCTTTCTATGCTAAGCTTTGAAGCTTAGACTTAGCCACAAACGGCATTCGTCTGTCTGAGCCTAGTAAGCCCGGCATCCGACGGTATCAGACCGAACGGCAAAGGGTTTGCGGTCATAGCTTAGGAGGTGTTCGAATCTCGAATGTGATGTGCAGAGCTGAGACACGTGAAGGCATATCTCCGCTTCAGGGACGACTCGTTCACGATGATCAGCCGCTGCCTGCACCAAGGGTGCTCATCACTCTTATCTTTAGACCCCCCTGCTATGACCAGAGTTGCCCTTGGGACTGTTCCTTGCAGTACACAGAAGCTGGTAGCCTACTACTAAACTCTAAACCCGATAAGGCAACCCCAAGCTGTGAATCCTACTACATAGGTACCTGGGCTTCTAGTGTTCTGCGGGACTCAGTGACTCAGTGATGTCTTCGTGCCTTCCTGGACCCCGAGAGTATGTAGAATGCCGGCCGTTTGTAGGTGTCAGGCCATGACTTCACCTACTTGTGGGTTAGGCACCTGATTCAGACTTACGCGTGAGTGCTGCGCGTAGATCGCGCGAAAATCAAGTGTGTAAATTTTCCTACAGCCTCCAAAATCCTAAACCACACACCCACTACAAAACCGTAAACCAGGCAACCATGTGATTAGGGTTCAGGGTTTAGGGTTAAGGATTTAGGGAGTGTCTTCTAGAGGTGGGCAATGGAAGCTGCTCATCTAAGTAATGACTCTGGAACACTTAGCTCGCCACTTGGAGATTGGACCTTCGTTACACCTTATTGAACTTACACCTCGTACCTCTGTTCCCTAAACAACCGTGATTTAACCATGAATCCCTGAACCATCGTAAACCTCGGAACCAAAAAGCTAAACCCTAAATCCTAAGCTGTCCCTAAACCTTCGATACCCTTTCTCGGGAGGCCTCAACAGCCTAGCCTAGACTTGAACTTGCAATTGGTGTAATTCTCAGGCTAGCAGACCGTATGTATAGAGTTAAGGGCTCAGGGTTCGGCGTTGAGGTTTCAGACCTTACGGTTTGGGGCTTTAGGGTTGCATCCCCAAGCCCTAAAGCCCTAAATCCCCCCCCCCCCCCATCCCGTAACCTTAAACCTATAAAAGCACGAAACCTCAAAACTTTCGGGAACTGTTGAAGTATCCCTTGAAGTAACGCTATGCCCCAAACTCTAAGTTGATGTAACTACCAATCCCCAAACCCTAAACCGACCCTGCCCGACACCCTAACTGTATAATAACCCATCTGGGTGGCTGTCAGAATTAGGGTCCCTTTTTTGGGTCCTCATTTTCACACGGCGCCTAATATTTAGGGTACCCAAAAAGGGACCATAAATTTGACAACCACCCATTTAAAGAACCCCAGCCCGCAAAGCCACGAAGCCACAGGAAGCGGTCTCAGTCGCGCACACGGCGGAGGTGCCCACCAAGCAAGGGCCGAAATTCAACTCTCCGGGTAGGAAGGTCATCCTCGTCTCGGGTTGATTTGGTTTTAAGGTGTATAAGGATATCATCCTCGTCTCGGGTTGAGGTGGTTTTGGTTTTAAAAGTGTTTGGGGTTGAATCATCCTCGTCTAGGAGTCTATGGTTGATGTGGTTTCAGGCTTTATAAGTTTCGGGCTCTATGGCCTTAGCAGGCTGCATGGAATTTGGGGCTTTGCGGTTGCGTGGTTCTGGCTTTGTTGTTTCGTATATGATTGGTTGATGGTGCTGCGGAGTCTACTCGGATTGGGGGAAGGGGACGAGTGGGTGGATGGGTGGGAAGTCTACCAAGCTCCGAGAAAGTTTCACATTTGGGTAAACCAAAACAGATGTTGGGCTCTGAGAGTTTCACCGTTCAAAGTCGCTGATTTCATCTGCTTGGCTTGGAGGCCCGCTGTCCAAAGCCCCGAAACGCCTCACTCGGCTTCACACCGCAGCAAACCGCAAGCTGAAGAGTCTAGACTTAGCTCACATGGGAGTGTCTGTAGCATAATATCATATCGGGACCACATGGTCTGGGCTTTCACCCCGTTTCGCTCAAATCCCCTCCCCCATGTCGGGCCGCAGCAGTCGAAACCTTGGCATGTCGAAAATCACACATTTGGGCGGAAAGCCTCTTCTAGGTGTTGAAGTTTAGGGTTTGAACATTAATGAGGAATAAGACCCAAGACGGTGCAACAAAAGTCGATCATCAAGAATCATTTACTCGACCCTCCATGTGCCCTCAACTAATTACTACCTATCAAAAACCCTATTGGAGGCTGCAAAGAGAGTCCTGGAGGATTGGATAGTGCCCTACATATGCCCACCCTAAACCCCACCCTTCCAACGACATCCGGTCGCGTCAGGACACCACGCCTCCCCAAACCTTAAACCCTAAACTCAAGCCAGCCCAAAACCGTTTAGGGTTCGTCAAATTTAGGGCCAGGGTTCATGGGTTTGTGATGTTTAGGGTTTGGGGTTAGAAGTGGGTTTCAGCGTATTATAATGGCCTAAAATTGTATAGGGATCCTAATCCTTGTAAGTTTTCAGTCTTAACACCTATGTACTTTATAAACCCCAAACCCTAAACCCTAAAAGCCTAAACCCTAAACCCTGACCCCCAAAGGTCCGAGCTTTGGAAATCCAAGGCTCGCATCGGTGGTGAGAGTGCCGATGAGGCAGGTATTTACAGGAAGCACCTGCTCCAGATATGTGGGAGTTTATGAAAGTTAGGGGTACCTTAGGGTTCCTTCAAACGGTTACTATATGGGTACTATAAGGGTTCCTTTCAAGGGCTCTATAAGGGTTTAGAGTTTCCGAGAATTAGGGGTACCATAAGGATCCTACTATATAGGGTACTACATTGGGGTCACCTATTTTTCGGAAACTCCCATATCGAACAACACAATGACAGGAACCCTGCATACGCAGCAGGAGCCCAAGGGGATGCAGAACGCTCTTGGTTTGAACGTTTCTGCAAGTTTGGGGTCCGTTTCGGGGGTCTGGTGCCAAGGCTACTGTCATCTAGGGTCTAGCTTCACGGTCCCCAGTAGTCATGTTCTGACTGGCTGATTCTCACAGTCCTTCATCCTCAAGCTAGCAAGTTTATTCTCCTGGGAGGGCACGACAACTCCATTTTTGGAGACCCCTATGGAAGAAGAAAAGCAACATGCCTACCTAAGAGCGATAAAGTAGTAAGGGAAAGGTCTGTGTCTGCACCTGGTCGGCCCCGACAATGCGCATCGGAATCCTCAGCTCAAGCATGACTTGGGTTTCCCGTTTCGGGTTTAGGGTCTGGGGTGTCAGGGCTTAGGGTAGGGTTTGATGTTTTCCTAGGGACTGAGGTTTTAGGGTTTCGGGGTCGAGGTTCCAAGGTTTAGGGATGTTTAGGGTGTATGGTCAGATCAGGCCTCTGAAGGGTCATAGACCACTAATTCTTATCCGAAGAACTTACCCTTGCCCCAACACCAACATAAACGGGTATGTAGATCGGTACTGTAATTTTCGTTCGACTGGATGCCTGAGCCTACAGCAGAACTGCGAGCACCCTGGTCTTCGTTGTGAGGACGGCCTGTTTATTAGTGTCTGTCGTAGCGGTATCCCTGGTATGCTCATACAGTACGTATGCTGACCAGTCGTTCCCTTCTTTCTCATGGAGTCGGACAGTCAGGGAAACCATGGAGGAGGAGAGTTGTGTGTTGCTCCAGCGGACCGAAACACTGAATTTCCGTGAAGGCTCCGAAATGCACCAGGAACATCCGGACGCTGGGTGTCCCGGTACTCCGGATGCCTGTGACAAGAGATCCAATCACTCTGTGGTTGTCCTACCAAGGAGCATACCTTCACATAGTATCGGAGACATACCCAAGCATGCTACGGTGCCCTACAGCAAAGGCCCGACATGAGATGAGCTTGTATACCTACCCATAAGTTTCCATGTACCCAAATAGTATATACTTTGGGCCCAATGTACCCATATCATATAGGGAGTACGTTAAGGCTAATGTATATACTATTTTGGTACATGGACCCTTAGGGACCTACTCTTCCGACGTTCTGCCAAACAACAAACTCGAGACAGGCCTGTCTAGAAAGTCTGCCTTGGGAATCAGCTTCACCTGTCGGCAAAGCACTGTTTCTTCTCTGGCTCAAGGAAGAGGGATGGGGAAGGGGAAGGCATAGGAGTAAGGAGTTTGGGGGTGTTGGAATCTGTTTCGCGGCCGGTCCTCAACAGAGCTGCTTCCCCTGCGCGTGCCTTCCGTCGTTAGGCTACTCTGAGGAAGTTTCCACACTCCAATCTGCGCGCCTTAAGAGCTTGCCTTCATACTCCCGTACCAACGTTGCTACTTGCTGTTGGTCTGTCTGCCCAACAGCCGCCAACACGCCGGGGCTAAGTCCCCCTGCTCGGCTTGAAGACATGTCTTCGAAGGCCGCGAGTGAGTGAGTGAGTGAGTTTCCAAATATTAGTGGGACCTAATAAGGACCTACTACTGTGGGTACTGTATTAGGGTCCCCTATTTTCGGAGACTCCCATATGGAACCTAAACCGCCTAAAGTGTAATTATTGTGGGAACCAGCCTTAACTCAAACTCGACATTTCGCACCACCACGTGCATGTGCACGTAGCACATGTCGGATAGCAGACGCACGCACCCGATAGTCGGGACCCCAGAGACTGCAATATCCCTTAATTAAGGAGTATTCCGTAAATCGCCATTATAATTTAAGGTATATTCCTTAATTAAGGGATATTGGAGTCTCTGGGACTAGAATTCAGCAGTGGCGACCAAATCAGAACGCAAGGAGACGCCAAAGACCGAAGTGTCAACGAGATACCCAGAGACTCCAATATCCCTTAATTAAGGAATATACCTTAAATTATAATGGGCTCCCTAATGTGATTTAAGGAATATTCCTTCATGAAGGGGATATTGGAGTCTCTGGGTAGAGCTCATGGAATCAAGGGTGCAAGCTTGACAGGACTTGAGCCCTAAAGCCTCAAGCCCTACACTGTCCTACACGCCAAGTCCCAACGGGGTCGCCTGGATCGCCTGTGAAGCATAGCCCTGGATGTAGGCCAATGCTGTGTTCAGCCTCGATGGCTGCGCCGAGCAAGGTAGTATGAGTGTGTTAAGACTCAGATTACAGATTTGTGAGGGGGGATGTACCAGGATGGTACTGGATCTTACGTCGACTCCTGCCTAAACCAAAAAAACAGCATGAGCTCCACCGCCACGGCAGCCATGGCTTGGGTGGGCGCATTTCATTCGGCCCCTGTAATGCTTGGCTTTCGTGCTGCTGCTGTTGTTGTTGTTGCTGCTGCTGCTGCTGATGCTGTTGCTTTGCTGCTGTTGCAGTTGCTTTTCTGCTGCTGCCGTCTCCACGATATGGTTGCTTTCAGTAGATGCTTCTTTGTCTAGCTGGTTTCAATTTCGAGGTTCAAGTTCAGGCCTTTGAGGTCATAGTGCATTAAATTAACAAGGGAGGAACGACTTCTCCTAATTTCTTCCTGCAGCGGTGAGCAGTATATTATTTGCCACGGAGCTGGAGTTCACCTTCAATCTGCGTGGGCTTTTGGACCTGGCAATCAACACCCAAATATGAGAGGGTGGTACGGTTGATGATATATATATATATATATATATATATATCCTGCATTACCCATAAGAAGGAATATGCCATATTTCCCATAGTTTGGGGTCCTTAAGGTAATGCAGGAATTCTATCATCAACCGTATGGCTTTCGCAGTTGGGTTTACGGTAGTGAAGCCTAGGACAGCGGCCTTGGGGTCATGCTGGGGCACATATAGTCTCCATTGCAGTTCCTTTTTGTGGTTTAACCACTTATGTATTAAGGATCCTATAAGGTAACCCCAAAAAGGAACTACAATGGAGACTATAGGCAAGGCATGGAGTGCTATCGCGCCTGGATCTTCATGGCCACGGATCCACGGTTGCGAATCATCACGCTCTCCCGGAAGATGTGTCCATAGACGCAGGTGTGCATGTCGTACCTTGGGAAGAAGACTTCAACTAAATCAAAGGTTCGACTCCATGAGGCAAACTGACCAGGCGTTCTAGGAAAAAGGAGGGGATGCGATCGAACAGCACACATGTGTGCACCAAACCAGGTGTGGGTTGTCCGTAACTCACTCCTATGTGGCGAGTCTTCAACAGAAATATTCTGCCCAATCCGTCAAGCTGTGTCAGTAAGGTTAAGAAGGACCCGAATAATCGGAGCCAGGATGCGATCCGTTTGTGATTGTACCGTTCTAATTGCATCCCTCCCTGATTTTGCTCCAGTTATTTTCACTGAGCTCGTAGGTACGCGGTACCTTCCGCAGGCTACTTTTCTTGAGGGGTAATGTTCCTGAGTCTTGCGACTCTAAGACTCTTCACCGCATACAGCAACCGCAGTAGGACCAGAACACATACAGAGAGAGAGAGAGAGAGAGAGCACCAACGATCACTTGTCAACTCACTGCATTCGCACTACCCATCATTGCTGTTCAACTATCAAATCATATGGGTACTTGTCAAAATTATGGTTCCTTTTCAGGCACCTTAAGAATTAGGTGCCGTATTATAATAGGGAACCAAAAGGGACCCTAATATCGACAACCACGCATACAAGCCTTCAAGCTCCATCTCCTCGCACACCGGACTTCGGATCTTGACAACCACCCATGGCCGTTGGAAGTAAGCATGAATGGCATGCAGTGCCTGACACCATGTCTGTGTTGTGGTTGAGCCAGGAAAACCCATACCTTGCCCACCCGGCGACGAGACGGAATAGAAACCTGACACTCTAGACCCAAAACTCGAAGCCTTTAACCCTGAACCCGATTCCTTAGACTCTAAACCCGAAGCCTCCAAGCCTTTAGGCAGGACGGGCGACTCTTCGCTATCCACGTAGATAGGCACATCCAGACAGGAACCTCGCACTCGAATGCAGAACTCCTCGCCCAGGGTTTAGGGGTTTGGGGTTTAGGGCAGTTTAGGGGTTTAGGGTTTTGGGGTTTGGGGTTTAGGGGTTTTGGGGTTTAGGGGTTTAGGGTTTAGGGGTTTGCGGGTTTCGGGGCTTAGGGTCTATGCAGAACTCCTCGCCCAGGATGCATCGATTCTCTCTGGAGGATGGTGTATGCTACAGGGGCCTTGATAATTAGAAGAGGGTTTGTTGAGTCGAATATATACAAGGCTCATACAATACTAGAACCATCCAGGGACTATGAACGGAGGCTCATTCCAATTATTCCGACCACCGTAGTATACGCTTACCCTGTTCTTCTGGCCCCTAATACCCTTCAGACACTGAACCCATGCATACTAGCCAAGACCTTAAAACCTGCAGCCCAAGCCTAAAGCCTTTGGTTGGAGGCTTCTGAACAGCTATTGCAGGGCTAACCAGCAAGCGAGGAAGCAAGAGAGAGAGAGAGAGAGAGAGAGAGAGCGAGGAGCGGCTGAGGGGCAGATGTGCTGATCGAAAAGCTTCCACTAATGGGTCGGGCCACCCGAGGTGGATAATGATGCGGATAGTGAGTTTCGGTTCTATGCTGCCGGCTTGATCTCCCCCCTGACGATGCTGCAGGATCACATCAACTCTGACACCTGCAAAACTGTATTATATGGATTACGGATCTCGAACCTGAACCCCCCAAAAAAACCGTAACATTAGGGGTTCCGGGTGCCCTTGAGCACGAAGAGGTCAACCACACCACTTGCCCACAGCTCCTTTTCATAGTTTGCATCTCCTGAGCTTCAGGTGGCTTTGTCCGTAAGGGGTAAGCCGCCAATGCCTTCAGGCCTAAAGCGATGTAGGGTTGAGGGATTGTGTACAATCCATAGCATCGGCATGCAGACCTACTACGTCGACAATGCCAACCATTCCGATGAACAAGGCCCGAAGATGTGACTCAGGGACTCAGTGTGGGAAGTGGCACTTCATATAGGAGCCTACACGATGACAACCAGTTTTGGTGTATGCGGTCTTCTGATGTTCGTCATCTATCCGGCCGACCTCAGTCACACTTTCCCGGAGGCCGCACTCAAAAGGTCTGTCGCGATACAAGAACAGGCTCGTAAATAAGCGGCTCGGAAACTCTAAATTGTTATTGGCGGGTCCATTCTGCACAAAGAGCCTTCAAAACCCGCTGTCACACAAGATGCATGCGGAGAAAGGAACTAGCGTCGAAACCAATATCAACATCAGGAACCCACGGCCCCTGCCGCAGAATTCACAGCACTCTCTTGCCCCCATCTGAACTGTGACCCTAACTAAACCTTAGGTACTGCTCGCCCATACGGCGACAGTCTTTGATAAAGGTACTATATACTACGGGCCGTATGCAGCTTCCAACCTGTATAAACCCTTTTCTTGAATCCCAACATGCTGAAAGAGTACTAGAATGCCAAATCCCTGCAAGCTCCGATAACCCGAGCTCACAAGCTGAAGCCATACCGGGAACTCCAGAAAGTTGGAATATGGTTTCATGGTAGGATATCCTATAATTTACCATAGAAGGGTTAGGATAATAATATTCCAACTTTCTGGCTTTTACCTTACACCCTGCTCTAGAAAACCTTACCCAAATCCCTGCACCCAACAGAAGCATTTGAAAACACTGAAACCTAAGATCTCAATTCCTAAAACCCAAAACCCACACAGCCGTGAACCCACCAAACCCCGAAACCCTCATAATTACCCTAAATAGACCCTGAGTGTCCTAAACCCCAAGCCCTAAAACCCTAAACCCCAAACCCACCAAAAAAACTTCAAATCCCAAACAACCCAGAGCCGCTGCTTCGTGCTCATCCAAGGTGCCGGGGGCACCATTGGAAATACGAAGCCGCCTTGGTCGCCAGGATTTGGGTTAGAGGTTAGGGGTTTAGGGCCCCCCAACTACCCATCGTTATAGCCAAAGTACCCACTATCAAGCACCAAAACGTGTCTATTTATGAATACTTTGGGGGTGCTGAGAAGGTTTAGGGCTTCAGGGCGTAAGGTTGCAACCCGTAGCCATAAACGCACATCGCCAAACTCCGATCCACCACACCGCTGAACTAGGCCTGAGGTAGCTCGGTACCACAGTTCATGTCTGGTGAGCACTCTGGCTTCGGGTTCTCGAGGTTTCAGGGACAAGTCTGGATGTGAGGGGCCTGAGGTTTTTGGTGATTCAGCACTGTTAGAGAGCAGAAAGAAAAAGATAGAGAGAGGCAGAAGCCGAGGCAGAGGCACTCACTTCAAAATCTCGGATAATGTAGCAAGATGACTAAGAAGCCCTGCCCCTGAAACCCCGCTACATATAAAGATTCATATAAGGGACCCTAATAACGCTCCAGGGTTTTCTTAATCAGGTTCCTACATTATACCCCAAACCCTTATAAACCCTAAAACCCTAAACCCTTTATAGAACCCTTATAGACCCCTTTAAGGAACCCTTACAGGATCCTAAATTCTTATAGTACCCTTATATATCTGTGTATCACTCGCTCAAAGTGCAGCCAAGGCGCAAGTCTGTCGTGAACTCCTTGTATGGATTAGGGTTTAGGGGTTTAGGGTTTAGGGTTAAGTGGTTTAAGGTTTAGGGGTTTAGGGTTTAGGGTTAAGGGGTTTAAGGTTTAGGGGTTTAGGGGTTTAGGGTTTAGGGTTTCGGGGTACATACATACCAAAAGGGTCCAAAGTACTGTTATGGGGGATACTTCCCCAAATCATTCTAGTAATTCCTAATATAGAAGAAACCCCACATTCTACTATAAAGGAACTTTTGACCCTTTGGGATAGTACAGTAGTATCCCCAAGGGCCCAAGTACCTAATAATCATATACTCTCCGAAGTCCTAACCTACATAACTACCTAAAACCGAGTACCTAAATTTTGGGTGCTTCGGACCCTTGGGGTATTGTCTTAGTGACCAAAACGGAAGATTGATTAGACATCCTTCCAACCCCTACATGACTGCATGCTGCCTGGCTTATAGAGTTCATAGGTTCGTTTAGGGTGCGGTTCTGGTCTCTGCCAGGGTCATGAACACCGGACGGCACGTGCGAACTTCTCCGCTACTAGAACGGAACCCTACGGTTGAGATCGAAGTGCAACTGCCGCTTACAAAACTCTGCCCTCTGAAGTTGTTATTACCCTTCATACTGTTGTACGATTGTCACTAGCAATGTTGTCATTCATAACCGCACTAGTCTTATGATTACAACTCATTATTTATTATCTGACATTAGTTAGTATTACTTCTGTAAATAAACCATTACTGGTAATACTTGTTTAAATCATGTGTGTGTATGTATATATATATATATGTATGTATCGCTCTCTCTCTCTCTCTCTCTCTCTCTCTCGCTCTCTCTCTCTCTCTCTCTCTTTCGCTCTGTCCCTCTCTCAGCCGCACCTGAAGCTGTGCTGCCAGGCGACCCCAAGCGTCGTGGGCACAAACTTGAAGCCGATTTTCGTGCTTCCCAGAGATTTGCAGACTCCCTTCTCAAGCCAGGTCATCCTCAGGTTTAGGGTTTAGGACTCAATATCTACAAGAGTTTTTTTTTAAGTGCAATGGCGTCTAGTTTAGGCGTTTAGGGCTCGAGTTGACTATTGACGCTTATGAACTGAAGATTAGGTTTTGTGTTCACGGGTTTGGGCATAGAGGTCAAGGTTGGGTGTTTTGGCGGATCAGGGGACTACACAAGCTTACACTTGCGGTTGAGATCGCCTCCGTGGGAGTTTGTCCATAACCAGCTACCAGCCGATAAACAAGCGCCGCCGCGCCCCCTAAACCGGCATCCTGAACAAAGCGAACCACTGTTGGCATGCATTTGTCGAAACGGGCTTGAATCAGCGTCTTGAGATTGCGATATTGGCAGATTTCTTGTTTGCTACTAGGTTATTAATGTGTTCTTTGGTGATGTCCGGCTGCATTCACTATTGTCAAAAAGAAACAACTTCTATTTTCGCGGCTGTTTCCGTTCTTGCTTGGTACAACTACTGCTGAACTGACTGTATCTTGCTATTGCTGCCATACTGGCATTTTCTTGATTCAAAGGACAGGACACGATCTAATATCAGTAATGCTTACCACGGTTGAATGCACCCCCGCCCCCCTCACAATGAACAGAGACAGACCATCTCTTGCTGACGTGTTGGGGAGCCTGCTGCAGAAAAACCACAGGATTCAAGTCATGGCAGCATGTTCGGGGATGGCAGTTTCCGGAGTTTGGGTGGAGAGAAGCATGTAAGCGGTGAGCCGTGCGTTTAGACTCAGCGCCAGACGAAAGACACATGCAAAATCGGATCCGAGCAAGCTTGAAGCTGCAGAGTATTCTAGCTCCCCCATCTACCCTCCATTGAAACCCTAATGCTGTGTTCCTGTATCGCCCATGTACTCCTACGTAGTGCAAGGAGGTTCCTGGTTATGTGGCTTACAAATGTATTGTAGGGGCCATAGTAGTTAGAAAAGGGTTCTAGGCTGTTTCATCTGTTTCATAGTAATTATCATGAAAGTAAGGACCCCTAAGGAATAATATTGGTAGTTATTTAAGCTTCTATCGTACCGTCAATAGCTGCTGCGAAGACACATGTCAGTCAGCTGCTCGCCCTGCTCGCCCTGCTCCCCACTTTCACCTCGAGTTAGTCGGGGGAACTCTGACGTTAGAAGCGCTTACCTTCTAATTCTGGTATCAATGTATAGACTCAGCCTGTACCCCAAGGGTCCGAAGCACCCCAAATTTAGGTACTCGGTTTTAGGATGGTAGTTATGTAGGTTAGGACTTTGGAGAGTATATGATAATTAGGTACTTGGACCCTTAGGGGTACTGACTATCTAAGTTGAAGTTGATGTTCGAATCAGGGTAGACGAAGGACCTACTGCACTCTAGTCTGAGTAGAGCCCTGCTGGGGGGATTTCGGTCGAAATCTGCCGGCTTGGGATTTGGGCCTTACCCTAAGCGTTCATGTACCCAAATAGTATATGCTTTGGGCAGTGGGGTTCTAGAGCTCCGAGGCAGGTTGATGACGGTTGATGGATGGCCCGAACCCACAGGCTCCAATTTCCCTTAATGAAGGAATATTCTTTAAATTTAATCCTATTCGCGATCCTACTATAATTTACGGTATCTTAACTTAGGGATATTATTGAAGTCTCTAGGTATTCGATCCGTTGCTATCCGGTCTGTTGGTGCTGGCTGAACGGCCTTCTGAAATACCCGTCCTAAACCCCAAACCCCGAATACCAAACTCATGTGAGGACGGATTCCTTAATATGAACCCCGTTGTGCGAACCCTAATCCCTACTAAACCTTTTTAGGCCAAAACCCCTGTTGGCCTCCTATGATCGTGCTATCCGACCCAAGCTCAGATACAGGGCCATCTAAAATTCCTAAACTCGAGGTCTCGGGGAAAGGAAAGCACGTTGCATAAACGCAACTCCAGAATGAGAATGGATGATAGACCCTAAACCCTGGCCCAAACTCTGAAACCTAATTATCAACACCCAAACTCGAAACGCTGAACCCAAACACCAACCTACCTTTCAAGTCAGCGCCTAAAGAGTAATTATCCTACTTTAGTGGGCGTGGAGTTTTATACGGGATATCATTGTCATGTGCGAAAAAATACGTACTCAAGGTGCATGGCGGCTCAAGCCTGAATGCCGTAGCAAGCACCTCCCCCCTCCCCAATTTCGAAATGAGTAAGCTTTCTCAACCCTAAACCCTAAACCCCTAAACCCAAAAATGTGACAGTCCATTTGGTAAAAGACTTCGGGTCTAGGCGTTCACAGCTGCCATGTCTGGAATGCACGGGCCTTCACAGCTTAGAATAGGGTTTGGGGTATATTATATTGCTTTTCCCTACGGGACCATGTACCCAAATAGTATATACTTCGGGCCCAATGTACCCATATAGGGAGTACTTTACGGCCCATGTATGTACTATTTAGGTCCATGGACCCTTAGGGTTTTACTATTTGGCTAGGCCCCTTTACTCGGGCTCAGGGGCGCCGGACTTCTAAGCCTTCCCCAAGAACCTTTCTCCACACCAAGCTGCTTCGTAGGACAGTGAAGTCGGCAGCCAAGGCCCCCGTATTCTTGATCACCAACTCCTCAGGCGGCCGGTCTACTTGAGATCACATTCCCTAAGGGTCCATGTACTTAAATAGTACATACGCTGGCCTTAAAGTACTCCCTGTATGGGTACATTGGGCCCAAAGCATATACTATTTGGGCACATGGACCCTTAGGGCTTGAGATCACATTCTGCATCGAGCATCATTAATAATTATGAGTTCGGGTTCACGATATAAGGGTTTAGGATGGGTCAGTAGTTCCTTGGCCCATTTTGGGGGTTTAGGGGTGTAGGGACTCCGGGGATCGACATGTACAACAGTTCAAACAATTTAGATTTTTGCTTCTGGAGACCCATAACCCCATTCTTTCAGCAGAAAGCCCTAAAACCTAAACCCCTCCTGCTTGGTTTTAGCTCTAGCTTGCTTCGGTTCCTGATTAGTAGACGCTGAACTCGCACACCCCACAGATTCAACAACAACATCTTCGATCCTCAAGCCCTCTAATCCTCAACGCTACAACCTAGGGTTTAGAGGAAACTCTGAACCCCGAATACCTGACATCCTGTGAGGCTGTGCAGGCCTAAATGCCACAAGATTTTAACCTTCGAACATCTGTAGAGCTAGAACCGAAAAAAGTTCTTGCTTGGCCAGCCCTAGGAGAACTGAATGTTAATGCCTGGGATGGTTATGTTACATAGGCGTTATAGTACCCTAAAAAGTTAAAGGTCACTTACTCTCCCTCTGGCTCCATGTGCCCAACCAGTATATACTTAGGCCTTACAGTAACTATATAGGTACCCCTTTGAGGCTTAAGTAACTACTATAAAGATACACGGGAGTTTCCGAAAATAGGGACCCTAATATAGTACGCCAAAGAGTAGGATCCTCATTATAAGGACCCCCAAATAAGGTACCCCTAATTTTCGGAAACTCCTACATGAAGCGTCTGGGTCTCCTAGACCTGAGAACCGGACACGGTCCGCAGACTCGCCGACAAGAACCGGGCCGAAATCGATGACCGGGTTGGCCTCCGGATCCTGGTCTGTTGTTTTAAAGCTCCGTTTTAATGTCTGCCAGGCGCATGTGGTATTGTCGGGTAGAGACTACTTGGAGGTTCATGGGTAGTTGTAAGTAGGATTATAAGTAGGATAACTAGGGTTATAACCTATATTAGAGGACTTATAACCCCACTTATAACTGCCCATGAACCTCCAAGTATGAGGCAGGCTTTATGTTTTGTTGGACGCCCCCTTGCGTGTCTTCTGGAGCTTCGGGGATGCGCTCTTTGGGGTTCAGGACTTTGGATTTTCGGTTCAATTCCTCGGGTGCTTAGGGTGTTGGGCTCGGTATTTTCGGGTGTTCGGGTGTTCGGGTACTTAAATGATCATGGGACTTAGGAACTAAAGTTGTAATTGGGTAACTCTACTTATAACTACTTATGACCCCAATTAAGGTACTTATAACCTTACTTACTAAGTCCCATGATCCTCCAAGTAGACCCTGAACCCTAAACCCTGTAGAGCCCTTTAAGGACCCTTTCTAAGTCCCATGATCCTCCAAGTACACCCTAAACCCTAAACCCTGTAGAGCCCTTTAAGGACCCTTTCTAAGTCCCATGATCCTCCAAGTACACCCTGAACCCTAAACCCTGTAGAGCCCTTTAAGGACCCTTTCTAAGTCCCATGATCCTCCAAGTACACCCTAAACCCTAAACCCTGTAGAGCCCTTTAAGGACCCTTTCTAAGTCCCATGATCCTCCAAGTACACCCTGAACCCTAAACCCTGTAGAGCCCTTTAAGGACCCTTTCTAAGTCCCATGATCCTCCAAGTACACCCTAAACCCTAAACCCTGTAGAGCCCTTTAAGGACCCTTTCTAAGTCCCATGATCCTCCAAGTATCGGGCTGACTGCAACTTAGGGCTCCACGGCCTCGCATTCCAAAGGTTCCATGTGCCCCAAAACAAGGTCCCCGACCCAGAATTGCGGGAGGATCTAGAAAGTAGATCCCCTAATTTGGGGCCCTATACTACTTAGGGTACTTTATAGGAGCCCCGATTAAAGGGATCTACTTTTTGGATCCTCCCGGGTGTCGGGGAACCGAGGAACTATGTTAGGGCGTATGCTTGTACTAAGCCCTAAGGGTCCATGTACCCAAATTGTTTGCAATGTACCTATATAGGGAGAACTTTAAGGCCAAAGTGTGTACTATTTGGGTACATGGACCAAGAGGGAAGGCTGCAAGGTTTGGAAGCTGTTGGGATACAGGGCTCAAAGGGCTAACATGAGTATGCAAGTACAAAGAGTACTGCAAAAAAGGATCGCTGACCATCATCTAGAACCAACCCCCAAAACGCCACAACCCCAATAACCCTGAAACCAAACCCTAAACCCTAAACCCTGAACCCAAACCCTTAGACCTACAAAGTCCCAACAGAACCCTGAGCCCTGACCTTGCAACCTGAACCCTAAACCCCACAACACCTAAACCCTGTAAGTACTAAGCCCACACATAAGCTTGTTAAGTCCCATGATCCTCCAAGTAGACCCTGAATCCTAAACCCTCTATATAGATGCCTCATAGCATACACCCTAAACCCTAAACCCCTTGAGGAGCCCGAAGATCCGCCTGAGGAGTGATCGTGAGGATCGTCTTCTTCGTCGTGCATCGCAAGGGGAAGTCGATGCGGCCTACAGGTCGACCGACGTAGACTCGAGTTTTGCGGAGTAATCATACCCTGTAAAGTATCGGGGTTTAGGGGTGTTGGTTTCGGGTTTAGGATTTAGGGGTTTGGGGTGTCATTACTATGGGTAATGGGCTTCAGGGTTTAACCCAGAGAGCCCAATACCCCTTAATTAAGGAATATAGCTTAAATCACAAAATGAAGCCCTATATAATTAAAGCCATATTCCTTAATTAAGGGGTATTGGGCTCTCTGAATAGGGACCCTTAAGGCGGTTGGGGGTAGGGAGGTAGGGGACTATATTTACATAGGCCTTCTTAGGTCCTGATTATAGGCATTAACTCTCCTTCGACCCCCCTAAAGGTCCCTATGAGTTAAGGGATTAACGTTGTTATGGGGATAACGCAGGACATGAACAAAATTGGCTTCGAGAAATGTATTTATGATCTGCCTGGATTGCCAATAGTGTCATCGTGAACCATACAAACACTTTTAAACGACGGTGGTGGGACTGAAGCAGTCGCGATGGCAAACGCACCAGATAATTAGTAGTGGTAGTTCCCAACGTAGTGCCAGAGCCAGTGGCATTGGTAGTAGAAGAAGCAGTAGACATAGAAGTAGAAGTACAAGTAGCAGTAGTAGTAGCAGTAGTAGTCGTAGTAGCAGTAGTAGTAGTAGCAGTAGCAGTAGTAGCAGCAGCGGCAGCAGCAGCAGCAGCAGTGGCAGCAGCAGCAGCAGCAGGAGGAGGAGTAGCAGCAGTAGTAGGAGCAGTAGTAGTAGTAGTAGTAGTAGTAGTAGTAGTAGTAGTAGTAGCAGTAGCAGAAGTAGAAGCAAAGGTAGGACCAGTCGTCATCGTGGTGTTCGCTGCAGGTATCGGGAGATCCAGTAGCAGATAACTCGGGATGTTTTAGGGATTAGATCCTAATGATTATAGGTATCTGCCATAACCCAAAGCAACGCAAACGGTACCACTGGGAGAACAAGCCAACGCAAGCTATAGTCAGGAGCAGGCAACTTGCTTTGAGTGAAGTTCTAGGAGTTTGAAGTTCTTCTAGCACGTAGGAAGAGTCCTTTCGATGTCAGGACATACTGAAACCTGAACGCTGTAGGTTCACTACGTGCCTGTCTTGGCAAGGATCGGGAAGGTAGACACGATGTCTTGGCTGACCTTGGGCACGAACCACAGCGTGATGTACCTGGGTGGTCAGACGGCCCCAAGAAACTTGAAGCCTTCATCCAGAGCACAGCAAAACACATCGAATAATAATCGCAAAAAACTGCATCGGGGGTGTGTAGTACGTACGGGCTAATCGGGTCTCGTACTTTGCATTGCACATTGCCGTCCCAGAATTGTAGGTAAACCGTCATTCTGCGGCTGCAAACGGTGTGGAGTGTAGAAGTACTGCTAGTCTCGACAAATTTGCAGAAGCTTGTATGCTGCATCGCTACGCTGTTTCTGATGGTGCTTGATAGCTTGTAACCGTAACACAACACCCGTTTTATGTTTTCTAGGTCTCCAATGCCCTTGACTCTAAATTCGCACTCCTAAAAGCCCAAGCCCTCGCAACTCTGCAGCCTCAGTGAGCAAACATCCTTACCAACTTGATTTAATGCTTTTTATAGGGTACATAACAGATACATATAAGGTATTACCTTCAACCTACATTGAGTCTTACGAGTCCTTACGGGTCGAGCTGGTACATGACTGATGGGCCGAGGACTACGGAGAAGACATCCAAGCTGACCAACCGCATGAATCCCTAAGGCTCCAGGTACCCATATAGTATATACCTAGGCCTTAAAGTCCCTGTATAGGGACCCCTTTAAGGCTTAGGTATCTACTATGAAGGTACATGGAGCCTTTGGGAATGCCAAGTCCGGCGCCTTGTGACACCAGCAGACATCCGCCCGGGAGGTACGAAGTTGATTTCGAAGAAATCTTTCCTGAACCAAAGGGTTTAGGGTTTAGGGTATCATTATGGTTTAGGGTTTAGGGCTTGGGGTTTAGGGTATCATTATGGTTTAGGGTTTAGGGTTTAGGTTAGTATAGATCCCTTATAGTACCCCTTAAGAGAACCCTTAAAGGAAGCCTAACCCAAAGGGTCCCTGAGTCATGGGACTTGCATACCCTAAGACCACGAAGTAGTTCCTTTTGCGGGTTCATATATATATATATATATATATAGATATATATATATATATATATATATAATCTTATGAGGTAATCCCAAAAAGGACCTGAGCCAAGGGGTCCAAGTATCATTCTGGTATATAATTATAGGGCATTTTGGGGGGGTCTAAGTATATAGCATGATGATACTTGGACCCTTTGGGTGAGTCATGGGACTTGCATAGTGATGGAAGTCAGAGGAAAACGTCGCAGCGATAGTAATCCCGTAATACCAGTCATTGTCGTCGTCGCCGCATCTCTCGTCGAAGTCGTACCAGCAGAAGTAGTCATGGTAGCAGTAGTAGTAGTCGTCGTAGTAGTAGTAGTAGGAGGAGGAGGAGTAGTAGTATGTACCAGCGGTAATAGCAGCCGAAGCAGCAGCAGCAGTAGCAGCAGTAGTAGAGGCAGACGGAACCGGAGCAGGAGCGTAGTCTGGCTCTTCTTGTCTGACTGTTGCTTTGAAGAAGCCTAAGGCTTAAACCCCTTCAAGCGCCAGCTGCACACTGCACACCATTCAAGCCCAAAACCCCCGAATCTGCTTCCCTGAATACCACAACTCAAAACCTCAAGCACGACTTATCATGGGATCTGGTATGAATGATTTCTCAAACAGGGCAATCTGAAAAAATAGAAGTCCCTTTCTTTTGAAACGAAAAGACACCTGCTGCGCAGCCAGGGCACACAGAGTCATCCAGCGGCAGCAGCTTAAACCTGATCACCGGCCGATCGTGCCAGATGTCCGTCTTCCGGTGTACATCTACACGTATCTTCAGTTCGTACCAACCCCTGACCCCCCTAAATTTAAAAATGCCTGAACCCTAGGCCCTAGACTCCTTATAGAAATCCTGCAAGCTGCTGCACTGAACCAAAAGCACTTGGAGGTTCATGGGTAGTTATAAGCGGGGCTATATGTCCCCTAATATCGGTTATATCCATAGTTATCCTACTTATAACCCTACTTATGACTACCCATGAATCTCCAAGTATAGTAGTGCCTTTATAATCCCCAGCAATAGTCCCCATACTCCATGCCCCCCTTCCCGTCTAAGCAACAGGGAGACCAACAAACAATGAACCTCCAAGTAGACCCTAAACCCTATACCCTAAACCCTAAACCCTATACCCTTATAGAACCCCTATAGATCCCTATAGAAACCCTTCTCAGGCCCTTCTCCTTATAGAAACCCCAAGCGCTGCACTGAACCAACAAACAACTGTGGAGGCCGGGGGGCCCAATACCCCTCAATTAAGGAATATAGCTTAAATCATAATATGAAGCCAATTATTATTTAAGCCATATTCCTTAATTAAGGAGTATTGGGCTCTCTGTCGAGGCCGGGGGGCTGGTTGAAGGTCAACGACACGTTCGTCACCTCTGCAGTGGGCAAGTACGGGGCGAAGCAGGGTTCAGGGTTTGTGGTTTAGGGTTTCAGGGGGTTCAAGCTTTAGGGGCCTGTGGAAACTTCTGGTCATGACGCAACTACCGGGAATTTAGTCAATGTAGTCTGTGACAGATGGAAGTGTCGGGGTTTGGGCAACACCATTCGTTGCTTTTGAGCGTGCCCTGGAAGGCTTCGGGGCTTTAGGCTCATTGCTTTCGATCACAGCTGAAGAATCAGTGATGCGGTTCAGCATCTTTGAGTGATAAAGCCCTTCAAAAGCCAAGGTAACCGCCAACCCAAAGCAGGCCCCACAACGCGGGAACAGTGCTAGCAGTGCAGGTACCGCATCGGCATTGAGCCCTAAACGGAGGCTGTGAAGCATGTCTCGCTGCCACTTGAGGACGCGTATGCCACGCCCGGTTGCTCACCCGAGCACGGCGTTTGCGTTCTTAGTCCCTTCCGCCGTCGTTACGGCAATGATCAGGGGCCTGTCCGCGGCGCTTGTTCGGCCCTGTGACAGAAGAGCACAGAAGAGCACACGCGTGGTTGGAAGCCGATCGAGTCGTGTTTTGCAACACCTTTCGGAAGCCCCTTCCACCATCAGCCTCAAGTCCAAGACCAGTAAACAGCGGAAACCTTGAAGCTCTTGTGATTCCCAAACACAGCCGTGTAGAATTCTTGGCTAGCGCTAGTTGCGTTTGGGCGGTGTACTGCACTGCATTACACATGTATACCAATCATTCAACAATATGTACATGGCCAGGATCCAAGCTCTAAACCTACTCCTAAGCTTAAACCAAAATTTCTTAGACTTACACCTCAACCCCCAACCAGACACCCGAGACCTCAGGCCCCAAAAACTAACTCCAGACCCTTAGAGACTCCAATGTCCCTTAATTTCAGGAATGTACCTTAATTTATAATAGGATCCCTAATATGATTCAAGGAATATTCCATAATTAAGGGATATTGGAGTGTCTGGACCCTCAACCACCACAAATCCGACATTAAAACCTCACAAAGCACGTCTGCAGCAGACCCCTAAACTTAGGAGAACCCGAAGCCTCAATGACTTGCCGGTAGCGCTTTCCCACCTGAAGGATATTTCGGTCTTCAGGCTTTCAAATTGGGATTTAATTAGAGCGTTTTGTTGCTTTAAGGGGCGGCGTGTGTTTAAACAGGGCTCTGATCTTGTTGAGCTTTAGGGCTTCAGGGCCTTCTCTTACTTCGGACACAGGGGCTCTCATTCTTGGGGCCTTCGGTGTTAGAGTGTAAGGTTCTTGGTTTAGGGTTAGGATATAGGGTCTGTTAGTTTAGGGTTTAAGATTTAGGGCTTAGGATATAGGGTTTATAGGGCTTTCTCGGGCAAAGGGAACTGCAGCTATGGACAATGATGCTGCTAAGGATGTGGCCGGGCAAAAACAAGCAATAGCAATATTGTTGCTTCGTAGCGCGTCAAACCGCAAACAAGTTGAATCTCCGGGACCATCTAGGGCCCATGATTATATGGGTGTATGTATATTTCCACATATCAGGATGAGTATGGAGCGACACTACACACCACTCACGCCTGCACGCCTACCCACCCCTCCCCAGTGTGCAAATGAGCAACGACTGAAATAATGGTGCCGTGGTTCAACGAGCCTGAATTAGTGGCGAGTTCGGGTGTTAGAGAGTAGAGCAAACTGCAGAAGACCCCTAGATGTTCGTATCGAATTCACGTCTGACTTCAGACCAGCAAGAAGGAGATGCGTAGTGGTCGCTGCGTGGGTGCCTGTAAATGCCTAGGACTGAAACAGACTTCGGGTTTATCACGTCATATAGGGCAAAGTACCTAGCTTCTATCAGAGGGAAAAGGGAGATTGCTTGTTGATCAAGGTCGATGTGGAGAAAGTGCAATGTGCTGAGGCGGGACTGCAAGACAACAACCACAAACCCCGAAACTCCAAAACCCTCAATCCTAAGACGCAAATCCCAGACCCACACCCTGAAACCTAGACCTCCGCAATCATGTCAGGGCAACGCCAGAAGCACCCACATTAGGCATAGGATTTGGCGTTTAGGGCCAGGGTACTCGGGATTTCTGGGTTCTTCACCAGCAATAACCGTAAACCCTGAACCCGAAGCTGGCTTATGTCAACTTCCCACCCAGAGACTCCAATATCCCTTAACTATGAAGGAATATACCGAACATTATAGTAGGATGCCTAATATAATTTCAGGTATATATTCCTTATTAATTAAGGGATATTGGAGTCTCTGGCCAGATGCACCGCCTCGAAATCGTTAAAGGCGATCACAGCCGGCTTGGCCAAGAAGGCGTCGCCCTTAAACTCCTTTCCTGGGAGCTTCTTTGAAATAGGGTTTCGTTTAGGGTTTAGGGTTCCTTCAAATGTGGTAAGACCGGTCTCCTTTCCTGGGAGCTTCTTTGAAATAGGGTTTCGTTTAGGGTTTAGGGTTCCTTCAAATGTGGTAAGACCGGGTAACAAGGGTTCTGCTAGAGGAATTATGAGTTGAGTATAGCAACTTCATGATTAGATCAGGAAGTTGAGGTATATGAGCGTTCATTGCATGACTTTAAGGTGTTTTATTGCGGAGTCCAACATCTAGGCTCATCATCTAGCCGTTTCAAACTTTGGGTGGTTTTTGGGTTTAGTGCGTTTCATACATGCAGCGACCGGGCGGATCGATTCTGTTGCGCGTGCGTGGCATCTGTGTATTATAGACACACACACACACATATATATATATATATATATACAGACATAACATGCCAAGGCCGTAATTGAAAAGGTTTCCTGCCCAACTCGGATACTTTAGCGCAAGCATGTAGCATGCCACGCTAAGGATCCGAATGCCCAATAGTCATATACATTCCCAAACGCTAACCTTCTTTGGATGCCCACGAAACTAGGAATCAAAAGGGCACCCGTCTCTGGTATTGGGTAACTGTATAAGGACTACAAAAGGGAATAAGGATACTACTGGGCGGCATCCTAGTTAGAAGCGTGTTATAACTGTTACGGACCATGCTGATGGTCTTGTGCTCAGTACTTAGTTAAAAGTAGGGTTACAAGTAGGGTAACTATGGTTATGACCTATATATTTAGGGGACTTGTAGCTCTACTTACAACTCCCCATGAACCTCCGAGTATTACCCGGTACACATGTTTAACAGGCGGTGGCTCGAAGGTTTCGGTTGATAGAGCTTTAGAAATCCAAACCAAAGTGGGAGTTGCCGAAAATTAGGGGCGCCTCATGTTGGGGTACTTATAGTAAGGATCCGACTACTTAGGGTGCTATATTAAGGTCTCCTGTTGTCGGAAACTCCCAAGTTACTTGGAGGATCATGGGACTTAGTAAGTAAGGTTATAAGTACTTTAATTGGGGTTATAAGTAGTTATAAGTAGAGTTACCCTAATTATAACCCTAGTTACTAAGTCCCATGATCCTTTAAGTACAAAAAGGGAAGAAGGCAAGCCAAGCGGCCTTGCCATGTCTGCACCTCAGTTAGCTTTCTGCGGTTTATCGGATTTTACGGCAGAAGCCAAAAAGTTGGAAACCCAATAGCCTCAACCTTTAAGAGAAATGTATAGGGGATCCCAGCACTATATGGCCTCAATCCGGTTTCCAACTTTACGGGGATTACTGTAGGGTTCGGGGTCTAGGTTTCGCTTTTAGGATTTGGGGACTGAGATTTGGTGATCTCTCCCTAATCCATGTACCCAAATAGTAACCACTTTGGGACTAATGTACCCATATAGGGAGTACTTTAGGGCCAATGTATATACTATTTAGGTACATGGACCCTTAAACCCTAAACTCTATAGATCCCTTATAGAACACTTTAAAGGAGCCCTTAAAGGTACACCCCTAAAGGAGACCCCTATTTAGGTACATGGACCCTCAGAATCTCTGAGATCGGGATATTCGGCTTCGCCGGCTTGCGCCTTAAGGGCCTGACCGAGGGAAGCACTTGTGGATTTAATCTATGGGTGGTTGTCAAAATTAGGGTCCCTTTTTGGTTACCCTAAATATTAGGTGCCGTAGTATATTTGGGACTTCAAAGGGGGCCCTATTTTTGACAACTACCCATATAATATATAGTAAGCCCCATAAAGTTGGAAACCGGAATAAGGCCAAATAGTGCTGGGATTCCCTATACTACAATACTCTCAAGGATTGAGGCTATGGGGTTTCCAAATTTTCGGCTTCTACTGTAGACCCGACACGGAGTTGAAGAAGAATAGGCATGATACTTCCCCAAGGGTCCAAGTATCTAATAATATTATGCTCTCCCAAATAGGAACCTACATAACTACTATCCTAAACCCAAGTACCTTGTTATTGGGTCCTTTGGACCTTTAGGGCTTGTGATCAACCCATACCATGAATCTAAAGGAAAGCTGAGTCGACGATGTTTCCGAAGATCGAAGGGTGACGTGCTGACGACTGCATCCACGCAAATTTAGGCCCTGGAAGCATAAACACCAGGAGCACTATCGGCCACAAAAACCCGAACCCGTGACACTTGCTTCTTAACCTTGAAACCCAAGCCCTAGTTTAGCTGGTTTTCTGTGGCTTCAGCTTGGAATTGGGGTTTAGAGTTTGGTGGCCTTGAGCTTCGGGTGTAGGGTTGGGGGTCTGGTGTTTCAGTGTTTGGGGGTTTCTGGTTTCGTGCTTTTGAAGATTTTCGGACTTGAGGCTTGGCGGAAGGGCTTGGCGGATTTGGCTGCAGGATTAGGGTTCGGAAGCAGCGCCGAGAAAGGCAGTCCTGTTCTCTCAAGGGAGCAGCACTACGAAGTGGTGACCCCAGTGACTCAGATGCAAGCCTAATCTAGGGGCCTTAATAATTAGAGTACGGTTTTGGGGCATATTATACCATAAATATAACCCTAGGCATCTAAGGGCTCATATACTAAGGCTTTTGGGCCCAAAGACCATACTATATGAGGCTTCTCGGCTATTTTGATGCCCAGGGTAATAAGGAGTCCCCCCAAAAAGTATAGGTCATTGTGTTTAGGCCCCTATATTTGCCGCCTAGCCGCCTAGCCCTCAAGGCGATCCACTGTGTAGTGTCTATCAAAATAACAATAACAACCTTCTTTGGTTTAGGGTTTAGGGGTTTAGGGCTTTGAAGCCCTTCAAAACTCCAACAAGCCTTGTATAAAAAGCTCTGTAAGACCATGTGTGAAGCCCACGAAAAACCGAAATAATTCTAAACACCTATATCAAAACCATTTGAAGCCTTCCAAAAGAAAAACTCTGTAAACACCATGTGTGAAGCCTACAAAAACAGAAATAACTCAAAAAAGCCTTCTGAAAGCAAAAAACTTAGGACTCCCAATGCCCAGCGTCGCTGCAGATGTTCTTCCGCTGTCGCTCCCTGACTTTGGGAAACGGAGGTTAAGAGTTTTAACTTTAGGGTTTAGATTCAGGCTGTTAGGGTTTAGGAGTTTAGGGTTTCGGGGCTTCACTTTTTAGGGTCTTGGGCTTTCGGAATGCTACGGCTTCGGGCATTGGAAATAAGGCTTGAACTAGGATGTTTCGAGTTCAGGATTTACAGACAGATGCAGCGCTTGTTTCTTGGATTAAGGCTCCCTGCGCCGTGTAGTGTCCACTGGGATTCCGTGTTTCCTCAAGCCGCCGTTCCTGCAAGCATGCCCATGTTAGTTCTCTCGATTACGGTCCCTTGTAGGAGCCCAAAAGGTACTAACAGTTACTGACAGGGACTCTATTTTAGAGAACTACCCCTGTAAGCCTACCAGGGTTACTAGAAGGGCTTCGGGTTTTGCGGCCTGTGGGTGTTACAGGCCTTTTGGGGGTTTCCGAAAATTAGGGGTACCTTATTTTTGGGTCCTCATAATAAGGATCCTACTATTTAGGGTACTATGTTAGCGTCCCCTAATTTTGGAAATCCCCAATCGGGCCTTGCGGGATGCATGGGCTTTTGAAGGTTGTTGGTCTTTTCGGTTCGGGTTTCGGGACTTGGGGTCGGGGGAAGTTAGGGCTTCGGACCCTAAGGGTCCATGTGCCCAAATAGTATATACTTTGGGCCCAATGTACCCATATAGGGAGTACTTTAAGGCCAATGTATGTACTATTTAGGTACATGGACCCTTAGGGGGATGCAGGGTGCGGGGTCGAGAGTTTAGGGCGTGCAGAGCTCTTGAACTCTACCTATAGTAGTTTGTAACTTCTTTTTTTGCTTAACTAACTCTATAGAATAAGGATCCTATAAGGCAACCCCAAAAAAGGATCTACAGTGGAGACTGTAGGTAGGCTCTAAGCTTTGGGCCCTAAACCGAACTTGCAGCAAAAACCCGAGACGCCTTAACTGCTGAAAGCCACGATAAGTACCCTCAACACCTTAAGCCCCCTGTCCACGAAGATGAATAGCTCCCACATCCGATTTGGAAGCTTAGTTCCGATTTTGGAAATTCCACCATTTGTGATTTCCGGCTTCGATTTAGGATTTATCTCGGTGCAGGCTCAGGCTACCTAGAGGGTCATACTCTACCCTTTTTTAGGGTACCTAGTTTTGTGTTTAGGATCTCCTATATAGAAAAGTAGGTACCCTAAAAAAGGGGTAGGGTATGAGCCTCTAGGTACTGTTTATCTTTGTGCTGGATTTGCCAGGCTGTGCTCATCTTCGAACATGCTCTCGGGCTTCCGTTGTCTTTAAATCGGCATGGGTGAAGCGCTTAGGCTTGCTTGTCCACCTCTGAATACCCAAAGGGTCCAAGTATCATCATGGTATATACTCAGACAACAAACATGTCCTATTAGTATATACCAGAATGATACTTGGACCCTTTGGGATAGGGTTTCCTCGCTTAGATGGCGGGTACGAGTTGGAGTGTCGGGTTCAGGCAGGGGTTCGATCCCTTCAGAAGTGTTGTCCTTGAAGCTCGAAGCGATTTGGGAGTTTCCGAAAATAGAGGACCCTTATACTACCCTATACAAATAGTAGGATCCTTATTATAGGGACCTCAAAACGCGGTACCCCTAATTTTCCTAGGTCCTAAACCCCCATGTGTAAACCCAACCCATACGCGTAAGACTTGTAGCCTCTACACGGAGGGTCTTGGGGTCAATGGTTAAAACGATTACTGGCAAGAGCTGGAAGGATGCAGTCAACTGACCATTGATGTTCAAGATGCCTACTTTTAGGATGTCCTTAAGGGGGGGGGGGTCCAAGGGGGGTAGGTAACCTAGTAATCCCCATTATTCCCCAATACTCCCTAAGCTTCCCTAAGGTTCCCCAAAGCTCCCTAGTACCCTCCCCCCTTGAACCACCCCCCCTTAAGGATCCTATAATACTTACCCAAACCCTAAACCCTAGACCTCACACCCTAAACACTGAATGCCACACCCTACCTATAGTCTCCATTGTAGTTCCTTTTTGTGGCTTAACCAAATATATATTAAGGATCCTATAACGTAACCCCAAAAAGGAACTACAATGGAGACTACAGGTAAACCCTAAACCCCACACCCTGAACCTTACAGTCGAAAAGCCCGAAACCTCCAAGCCATCGCCCCGCCTTGCAGCGGCCATGTACTCCTGACACCCTGAAACTCTCAACAAAAGTAACCCCTTATGGAGCCCCTTTATAGATCCCTTTACAGGAACCCTTATAGATCCCTTTATGGAGCCCAGGGAGTACGCATTAAGCCCCAAGCCCCGCCTTGCAGCTGCCATGTACTGCATCTCCTGGGATTTTAAGTAACCAGGGAGAGAGAAGTAGAAACTTTGATTTCATAATGGCTCCTTTAAGTAGAAACTTTTATTTCATAATGGGTTCCTTTAAGTAGAAACTTTTATTTCATAATGGTTCCTTTAAGGAAAAAGTATTAAAGCTATGCTACTCCAAAGCCCAGTATATAGGCCCAGAGCCCTATAACCGCTGAAATCTATAAGCTCAGGATTTCTCTCTAAGTTTTGCACATAAGGAAGTTTCCGAAAATAGGGGACCCTAAGATAGTACCCGAAATAGTAGGATCCTTATTATAAGGACCCCAGAATAAGGTACCCCTAGTTTTCGGAAACTCCCAGACCAAGATCAAAGCCCAGTCTCCAGCTTCGAGTAATTCGGCACCCAGAGTTTCTGCTCGACGAGGTCCTGGCAGTAGAACCCTAGTAATAATAGAAATAGTAATAGTAATAGTAATAGTAAGGTAAAAGTAATAGTCATAATAGTAATAATGATAATAGTGATAATAGTAATAGTAGTAATAATAGTAATACTAGCAATAATAGTAATAATAGTAATAATAGTAATAATAGTAATAATAGTAGTAATGAGGTCCTGGCAGTATACTTGGAGGATCATGGGACTTAGTAAGGGTCCTTAAAGGGCTCTTAAAAGGGATCTATAGGGTTCCTGAAAGGGATCTACAGGGTTTAGGGTTTAGGGTCTACTTGGAGGATCATGGACTTAGTAAGTAAGGTTATAAGTACTTTAAGTGGAGTTATAAGTAGTAATACGTAGAGTTACCCTGATTATAACTCGAGTTACTAAGTCCCATGATCCTTTTAGTAAGAGTCCTCATAGGATAAGAGTCCTCATACTTGTCAAAATTGGGGTGCCTTTTTGGGTCCCTATTATAGTACGGCACCTAATATTTGGGGTGCCCAAAAAGGGTCCATAATTTTGACAACTACCCATACACCATACAGTAGAACCCAGACACTTGGAACATGATTTCCCTCATACCCTTCAGGTAGAGTAAGCAAAGGAAACCACACCCCAATCATCCTAAATCCATGTTCCAACTTGCTGGTGTTCGCGAAGAGGGATACTACACTAGAAGAATACTGGAAGGGTTCTTCTCTAAGGGTTACCATGAGGGCTCCCATAAGGGTCTCTTCCTATCAGGGTTCCACAGAAGGTTACTTGGAGGATCGTGGGGTTATAAGTACCTTAACTGGGGTTATAAGCAGCTATAAGCAGAGTTGCCCTAATTATAACCCGAGTTACCAAGTCCCTTGATCCTACAAGTAAGATTGGTACAAGGGAGTGCAACGGTCCGAGGCTGTTTCTTTAAGCTACTTACTTTTTTGGGATTACCTTACAGGCTTAGGGTTTAGGGTTTAGGGTTTAAGGTTTAGGGTTCTAAATATGAACCCCAAAAAGGAACTACTATGGAGCCTTGGGGTCGACAACTAAACGTTTACCTGCGCAGCCCTGCAGCGCACAAAACCATGCACCAAAACGATCCTAAAGCCTTCCTTCTGCAGGAAAGGACCCGGCACGCATCCAAGAAGGTTATGACGAACAAGAACGACCGAACGGCTTAGTCGTTTGGAGTCGACGAAGCCATGACTTGATACTGGCAATGACACACTCATATTGCTCGCAACTACAAGTGTTGATGTCACTGGACTTGAACTGGCACTTCTATTACAATCAAACTCATCCTTGTTGTTGCTTGCAGTAGCACAATCCACGTGCTGGTGATCATGGTACTGTTGAGAAGCGATGCTTGCTAGCAAACGCACTGCCATCAGTTGATGGCAGAAAGCGGAACAATGAACCAAGTATTTTGTTTATGAGCGGCTCCTCATCCTCATCGAATTCCTCTTCGTCCTCTGCAGGCGCAAGAAGAGTCAAGGCACAGTCTGGGTTCTTGACTCAAGCTTTCGGGTTTAGGGGTCAGGTCTCTGGGTAGACAACTTAGGATGTATTCCAGCGTCATACAGAGCTTCGTGTTTACTGTGCAGGGTCGATCATACCCAAGCAATCTGATGGAGGCTGATGTTGCTGCAGGGCTGTGAGGTTCAAGAGGTTGTGACAGAAGCATGGTCAAACAAACTCATCATCAAACTCCAAACAGGGTTAAGTGTGCAGCACGTGAACACATTGGAGCTTCATTCAGCAGGATACAAGCCTTGCACAAGCAGCAAGAATCACTTCCCAACCCCGACCAACTGCTTAAGAACTTATTTGGGCCTAAACCACAACAGAAGAATCCAAAGCCCCAGACCCTGAACCCCAGGCCCAAGTAGACCCCCCCCCAATCCAGATCCCTAAACCCTAAACCCTGAAACCTAAACCCTAAACCCTAAACCCTCAACCCTAAACCCTGAACCCTGAACCCCAAACCCTAAACCCTAAAACCCTCAAACCCTAAACCGTGAACAGCAAGGACCGAAGCCCGAGGGCCTCGCTTGGCACCCCTTAAAAGCTTCCAAAAACGCGGGACCCCTAGCACAGACGACGTGAAGGTGCGGCCCTTACTGTGCCCTAAGGGTCCATGTACCCAAATAGGGTTCCTTTAAGGGTACCACAAGGGATTTTTAAAGGGATCTATAGGGGATCCATAAGGGTTTAGGGTATAAGGGTCCATGTACCCAAATAGTATATACTTTGGGCCCAAGGTACCTATGTACTGAATACTTTAAGGCCAAAGTATATACCATTTGAGCACATGGACCCTTAGGGGTATTGTCAAGACCCTCCCTCCCAGCGCTGGCTTTGGGAAGCCGCCAACATCTTTGATATATAGGTACCAGGAAGATTATGTCAGAGTGTGGCTTAGGAGGGCCGAACAATGTCAGTATGTAGGTAGCATAGCTAATACGAGCCCATGTTCTTAATTTGAACATTGCTTTTTGATTTGTCAGACCTATATATGATATATGGGCCAAAGAGGTCTTGGGGTGTCCGCCTCTACTTTTGTTCTGCCAGGACCTCCAAGACACCATTGATAGAGAGGCCTCATTGGAGTCCCTGGCAGAAGCTACTGAGGCTCTAGTACATGATACTTGGGAGGGGGTGCTCTAATACTAACGAGTTGCCCGGAGATAGGGTGTTATAGAATTTCCGGACTACCTAGACCTAATGTGCTCGGAAGCAACACCTTAGACCTTGAATTTAAATGGTAGAGTTTGGTGCTTGGGGCTTGGGATTGAGTATTTATTTAAATCCAGAAGCAAACAAGACGGAGCTGCGGGTGCTCTGTTCAGGAACTATGACGTCTTAACCACTAACCGAACCCCAAATTAAACCCTACACCCTAACCCTGAAACCTTAAAACCCTAAACCCTACAGCCGTAGACCTGAGGGAACCCTTACCCTAAGGCTCAAAATATCACAAAAGCCTTATATAGTCAATAGTATAGTCTTTGGGCCCGAAAGCCTTAATGTATGAGTCCTCAGAGCCTTACTCGGAGGATCATGGGACTTAGTAACTGACGCTGTAAGTACCGTAATTGGGGTTATAAGTAGTTATAAGTAGTTACCCTGGTTATAACCCTAGTTACTACAGTAAGTCCCATGATTTTTTAAGTAGACCCTAAACCCTCAACCCCATACATCCCTTTAAGGAACCTTATAGGGAGCCCTTGAAGAACCTTAGTTACTACGTCCCATGATCCTTTAACTAGGATACCCAGTAGCCTAGGAATAAAAAGGCCTCTCTTTTCGGTATTGGGCAACTTTATAAGGAACCTAGGACCAGAAAAAGGGAATAAGGGTACTACTGGGCATCCTAGTTAAGTAAAGGAACCCTTATAGATCCCTTTACGGGAACCTTAACCTCTGCAAGCTCCAGCCCGCTGCCCTTCCTTTACAAGACCAATCTCCGGTCAACCATGGTTTAGGGCTTTAGGGTTAAGGAGTTTTTTGGGTTTAGAGTTTAGAGTTTAGGGTTTAGGGTTTAGGGTTTAGGGTTTAGAGTTTAGGGTTTAGGGTTTAGAGTTTACTGTAGGGTTTAGGGTTTAGGGCTGCTGAAAGGCTGCCTCATCCACTTCCTCCTCCTCATCCATCTCCGGTTCTGGGCAGGAGTGTACCCTAAACGCTAAACCGTATTGGGGTTGTTTCGGGCTTACTGGGTGCGGTTGCGAAAGAAATTCTTTTTTGATCATATAGGGACAACAAGGGAACAGTACTAAGATATTGCTAGTTGTTCCGGCCCCTTTATATGTTACTAGAATGATCTTTGCTTCAAGTGGCTTTTGCTTTCGCAGATATATAAGACGCCTGATGCGCCAGCAACAACCACGCTAGCCGTAGCCGTGGTGCCAGGGTGTAGAAGGAGGTCACGCCAAACAACTGTCTTAAAGGCTGGGTTTAGTCTTATTGCGACTCAAACGACCCTTACTGAACCCCGTTAGACCTGAAGCTAGACTAGTCCTTGCGACTGCTGACTGCTGACACCACCACGGCTTTGTGCGGACGACACCGGCGATGCCGAGGAGGGCATTGGTGTGTCCCTTCTGGACATACTGCGGCCAAGTCAGACATTCGACAAACATCAGTTCCAGCATTGTGGCCTTGCCTGTTGTGAGCGATGCTGCCATGGAAGAGCACTTCCAGAGACCGCCATGTCGTCGGCAAAGAGTAATGCAGGATCGGCAAAAAACGACATCAACATCACTACAATGAACATGACGCTAACAACGGCTCACTGTCTTGATCTAGTGAATCTAGGGAAGGTTTGTAGTTCATTGTGTGTGAGGGTGGTGGATTGCAACTGTAAGGAAATATCCAGAGGATTAACTAACCACCTGGAGCCATCTGCAATAAGTGCAACTTAGATCTCAACCGAATGAACTGATCACAGCTTTAAGGCCAAAACCCTGCAACCTCAAACCAAAGCCCTAAAGCCCTAGACCCTAAAGCCTAAAACCCTAAAGCCCGATGACTCCTCTCTATCGATCCACCGCGCTTGTCCCGACGTTAGCGGTTTGCAGCGTGTGCGCCCAAGCCTTGCTATCTAATGCAGCAATGCGCAAAGCTATCTCGAACTGTAGGACTTCAGGGTTTACGGGTAAATAATAAGCGGTTTGGGGTTTAGGGGTTGATGGCTAGGGGCTTAGAACCTGAAGTGCAGGGTTCTAACCCGACATTCCCGCATCCCGACGCCCCATCTTCCTGCAAAAGCCTGAAAACGGATGCCCGAGCCCCGAATATCAAAAGGACCAGGAAGTCTTGAAACATTCATTGATGCTTTTCGGTGTCTGGTATACGGCGTGTGGTTGTTGAGGGTTTCGGGGTTGAATTTGGGAGCTTGGGAGTCTGAGTTGTCCTTTAAGCCCTTTGAAAAGTATCTATTATTATGGTTCTCTACAAAATAGTAGGGGAACTTGAAAAAAGATCCCAAAGGACAATCCAGGAGTTCTAGGATCAAGCAAGCTGCCATCCCCAGATGCGGAGCGGAGAAACGTCTCCTGCCGGCTACGGCGGACAGGGTACGGCAAACAGGGTAACCCTAATGTGCCCAACTAGGGTTCTTTTAAGGGTACCATAAGGGTTCCTTTAAAAGGATCTATAAGGCATCTATAGGGTAACCCTAATCAAAGGGGACAAGGAGGGACCCTTAATGGGGACCCCTACCCTATAATGGGCTGTATAATGGGTATATAATAGCTATGTTATGGGTATATACCTAGGGGTCCTTAATAAGGGTCCCTCCTTCTACCCTGGGAGTACGGCAGACAGGGTAACCCTAAGGGTCCATGTACCTAGATAGGGTTCCTCAAAGGGTGTGCCTTTCAGGGTTCCTTTAAAGGGTTCTGTGAGGGCTCGATAGGGTTTAGGGTTTAAGGGTCCATGTACCCACACAGTATATACATTGGCCTTAAAGTACTCCCTATATGGGTACATTGGGCCCAAAGTATATACTTTGGGTACATGGACCCTTATACCCTAAACCCTTATGGATCCCTTATAGATCCTTTAAAGGAACCCTTATGGGTACTATAAGGCCTAAGTATCTACTATTTGGGTACATGGACCCTTAGGGAAAACGGGCAAGACTCGGATGGGGCACCGACCCCTAATCTCGCAACCACATCGTCCCAAAGAGCCCAATACAGCCTAATTAAGCAATATACCGGGGGCTCCTTTAAAGGGATCCTTAAGGGTTCCGTTAAGGGATCTTTAGGGTTTAGGGTTTAGGGGGCTCCTGTATCCCTTGATTAAGGAACATGGCTCAAATTAGATAGGGCTTCATATTAGGATTTAAGCTATATTGCTTAGTTAAGGGGTATTGGAATCTGAGGTATAAACTCAAAGCCACAACCGATCTATACGGTTCTGCAGCCGTGGGCCGCAATGCTGAAGTGGTGAAGTGTAGGCACGGTTCCCCGAAGCCCGCATACCGGTTGCATTCAAGCCCGCTCCAAACAAGCACAATTCCTTACAGGGCTCCTGAAGAAGGAATCCACAATGTAGGGTAAATCCAAACTGAGTTCCTTCGTAAGGAATCCTGAGGTAGGGTGCTGAATTCGAGAACCTGTGGCGGCACTCGACTCCTGCAGGCTCTGCCCGAAAGCATGGCAAACACCCCCAAACAGCCGAACTTTTCAGTACCTGGTTTCGCGTGAAGCCTGAAACCCTTTTGAGGCGTCCGGCCTTGAAACAGTAAACGCTAAAGGAACACAAGCACTCATATCCGAATCCCGAGCTCATCGAAGGGCCCATGTACCCAAATAGTATATACTTTGGGCCCAATGTACCAAAATATAGGGAGTACTTTAAGGCCAATGTATATACTACGGCTGATGGCATAAATCCTGCATTACCTTAAGGGCCCTAGACTATGGGAACTCTGCTACATTCCTTATTATGGATAATGCAGGATCAACAGTATTTAAAGGAACATGGGCCCTTATATCCTAAACCCCTATAGATGCCTTATAGATCCTTTTAAAGGACCCCGTATGGTACCCTTAAAGGAGCCCTAGTTGGGCACATGGTCCCTTAGGGGTAAACTACTCTCACCCTCGAAAGGCTCAGGTCTAAGAACTTTAGTCCAAGGGAAAAAGGAGGGACCCTTAATAAGGACCCGTAGGTATATACCCATAACATAGCTATTATATACCCATTATATAGCCGATTATAGGGTAGGGGTCACCATTAAGGGTCCCTCCTTGTCCCCTTTGATTTAGAAACCCGATGAACAGCACGCTCCGCAGCATCCGTGCTTCAGATCGACAGACATCTTTCCCAAAGGCTCTATCCCGGGCTCCAAGAAGTGACATCGGAAGGATTCCTAAACACAGTTGAAGGAGCCTGATATAGGGGCTGAATGATTAGAGTAGGGTGTTGGGGAATACTATACTATAAATGTACAACCCTTGTGATCAAAATAGCCCAAAAGCCTTATATAGTATGGTCTTTGGGCCCAAAAGCCTGAATATATGAGTCCTTAGATCCCCAGGGCAAAGGACGAGGTTGCGGGGCCTGCGTTTTGGCAACCCACTATTTTCAGTGGAATCATATGGGTGGTTGTCAAAATTAATTTTAGGTGCCGTACTATGGTAGGGACCCAAAAAGGGACCATAATTTTGACAACCGTCCATATGGGTGATTATTGACGCTCCTATAGTGTTCACACTAGCTCGTTCTCGACCGGCGCACCTGCTGCAATTGCTGCTCCTGCTCCAGGCGCAGGGCCTGCACACCAAGCTCCACAGCGAAGGATTCCGTAGGGGCATTCAAGGGCCTCGGGTTAAGTTTAGGATTTCATAATTAGGGTTTAGGGTTTTAGGGTTTAGGGTTTAATCTGATTGCAAAACTCTGAAAGGTTCAAGGGTTTGGGCGCTTAACTCTTCGAGGCCTTTACGGGGTGCAGGAGGTGGTTCTGGTACTTGGAGGTTCATGGGACTTAGTAACTAGGGTTATAATTAGGGTAGCTCTACGTATAACTACGTATAACCCCAATTGAGTACTTATAACCTTACTTACTTACTAAGTCCCATGATCCTCCAAGTATAGTATAGGCATAGTAAAGAGACCTATAGAGAATCAATTTGGTATTCCTGCTTCAGGAACTGCGATTAATGCAGCATGAGAAAAGTATTTCGGGCTCCTTTCATCCGTGAGGAGAGCGATAAACAAATCCGTTCTGGCCATAAGGCCTGGAACATTCCCAAAGGGTCCAAGTATCATCATGGTATATACTTAGACCCCCAAAATGCCCTATAAGTATATACCAGAATGATACTTGGACCCTTTGGGATTGAGGGTCCTGAGACTAAACACTCGAAGCAATGAGCCACAGACTCCTTTGAGCCTGAAACCCGTGACCGTTGACAATACAACAACTCCTCATCTTGCATCGAGCCTGAAAATGCTCAGAAGATTCCTCCACACACACGAGTTTGCAAGTGCTTGTTCAGACAAGACTCAAGATACTCCACCCCCCTCTTCTCCAAAAAAGAACGCAAACTCACAGCACACAGAAACACAAACACCCAAAACAAGCCTTGATCCCTAAACCCTAAACAAGCCTTAAACCCTAAACCCTAAACCCAAAGCAAGCCTTTAACCCACAAGCTAGTCAAAGGCGCAAAAGCCGAGCCATGAAGGGAACGGCGCCTCTGCTAACTCCTCCTCCTCATTGGGCAACTGAGCCTCTTTCCACTGCTCGATCCTGTGTTTCGGCATGGAGGCAAAGCTGTCAGTGAAGCTCAATCAAGTCATGGTGATGGAGATGGCGACGACGACGACGACGGCAAGGATGATGATGATACTGATAGTGATGATGATGATGATACGGAGAATCACGATGTTGCTGCTGTTAATAATGGCAGGTGATGTTGATGTTGTTATGCTGGTATTATCAAGATGATGTTGTTGATGATGGGGTGATGGTGTTGGTGGTGATAATGACAAGAACCCTAGCGTTGATGATGATGGACGATGCTGACGGTGATGATTACCGAAACAATGACCATGATTCCCATGATGATGATGATGATGATGATGATGATGATGATGATGATGATGATGATGATGATGATGGTATTGATGATGTTGGTGATGGTGGTGGTAGTTATGACAAAAGTCATAATGGTGATAATGATGGCTGTGCTGATGATGATGGTGATGACGGTGATCGTGATGTTGATGATGAAGACGGTAACATGGTGATGATGATGAGGGTGATGATGATGATGATGCTGTTGATGCTGTTGATGGTGTTGGTTTTGACGATTGAGAATGCCATCATTCGTTAATGTGATATGCGGAACAAACTATAGCCATTACTTCCGAAGTGTTATAACATTTTGTCTGTCGCTGCTCGCGTGACTAGAACTCGCAGGCGCAGCAGCATCGTCGTCGTCGTCGTCGTCGGCGTCGCCTTCGTCGCCGACATCGCAGCAGCAGCAGCAGCAGCAGCAGCCGCCGCCGTAACGGAATTGGCGCGGTAGACACTTCGAGTGAGAACACTGGTAGAAGTTAACCGCTCACAATCCCAAAGGGTCCAAGTATCATCATGGTATATACTTAGACCCCCAAAATGCCCTATAAGTATATACCAGAATGATACTTGGACCCTTTGGGAATTCCGCTAGCAGGAGAACAAGCGCACCTTCATATCACCTTCATATGGCCAGAAACACCCGATCAAGGCTGTTCCGTTGGGCCCCATGAACGATATCTACGAAAACAAGGCCACATTGGCCAGCGCACGATTGCGATCGCCCTAAGAAGTCCCCAAAGCCAGAACAAGCCGAGCAACATTCCGCGTGTTGGTTGCGAAGCAACAACTTAAAGGATCATGGGACTTAGTAACTAGGGTTATAATCAGGGTAACTCTACTTATAACTACTTATAACCCCAATTAAGGTACTTATAACCTTACTGAATAAGTCCCATGTTCCTCCAAGTAGGCTCCTGACTCCGATACCGATCGTAATTACCGTCCCCTTCGTTAGCCGGCGCGCTCCCTAGAACAACAGCAATTCCCTAAGGGTCCATGTACCCTCACAGTATATACTTTGGGCCCAATGTACCCATATAGGGAGTACTTTAAGGTCCATGTATATACTATCTAGGTACATGGACCCTTAGGGATTACTATTGCTGTTGCTACTGCTACTGCTAGTTATACTACGACAGCAATAGCGACTTCTGCTGATGCTACTGCTAAAGCTACAGCTACCACTACTACTACATACTGCTACTGCTACTCCTGCTCCTAATCCTACTCCTACTAACTACGCTGCGACTGCTTCTACTGATGCTACTACTACTACTACTACTACTACTACTACTACTACTACTACTACTACGACTACTACTACGACTACTACTACTACTACTACTACTACTACTACTACTACTACTACTACTACTACTACTACTACTACTGCGACCACTACCACAGCAGCAGGCCTAGCAGAACAAGCACCAGCACCAGCACGACCACGATCGTTTCCCAAATCGCGGAAGCCTCTCCAAAAAACCTAAAAACAAAACCCTAGAACATCAAAACACTAATCCTGGAGGTCTAAATCCTTGCCTGAACCCTAGACCCTAGACCCTAAACCCTAAACCCCAAACCCGAAGCCCTAAACCGCAAACCCTAAACCGTGCGCTTCAGCCGACAGGGCTCCTTCGGTTGCCGCTCCGCACCTGCAGACGCTTAAAGCCCAGACCCCCGGGAGGATCCCAAAAGTAGATCCCTTAATGGGGGTTCCTATAAAGTACCCTTAGTAGTATAGGGCCCCAAAATAGGGGATCTACTTTCTAGATCCTCCCGGGGGTCTGGGAGGGAGGCTGGGTCGGCTAAGGGTTTAGGGGTTATAGGGCATGGGGTATAGGGTTTAGGGGTTTAGGGTTAAAGGGTGTAGGGTTTAGGGGTTTAGGGTTATAGGGTTTAGGATTTAGGGCTTAGGGTTTAGGATAGTCAAACAAAATTAGTCCCTATATAGGTACATTGGGGCGAAAGTATATACAATTTGGGTACATGGACCCTTCGGGATAAGGAAGGCATTGGGTTCAGTTGTTTCTGTTCTTTGTGGGCTCCTCTTGGGCTTTGAGTTTAGGATTTTAGGGTTTAGGGGTTCGAGGTTGCGGTCTTGCTTTTAGGGTTCCGAGTTGCAAGGGTTTAGGGTTGTGGTCAAATTGATGATTTTATGGGCACTGGTGTCCGAGTTGGCATTTACCATATGCGTGTCCATAGCAGCAACATGCAGCAGCGGCTGCTGCAAGGCTCGGATTGAGAATGAAAGATCTGGGGTGCACCGTCCAGACATCGCGGCTTCACAGGTGGCTGTGGAGACACACGAACCAGCGCTCGCAACATAGTCCAAATCTGCATACCTCCACGATTACTTACTGACCCCTCTTTGCCCATGATAATTTCGGAGAGGTGCAGTGTTCGGCAAACGCCGTGGTGATCGCACGATAAGAACTTCGGTGAACCGATTAGACACGTGGATGCCGGAGGACACACCACACAAAATGGCAGCATGTTGAAATATGGTGGCCTGAATAAATAGAATAGGGTTTTGGGGCCCACTATACTATGTTTGTAATTAAAGAACCCCCAAAATAGTATAGCTAATTATTTTAAGGCCCCAAAAATAACCGCGATTCTAGCCGCAGCTTCATTCTGTCAGTCCTTTACTTCCAAATCTTTGCGAAGCTGAACCAGAAAGCCAGGAGACTCATCGGACCCCTGCAACCTTACTTACTGTACCCCTTTACCCTTACCCAGACCCCCGGGAGGATCTAGAAAGTAGATCCCCTATTTTGGGGCCCTATACTACTAAGGGTACTTTATAGGAACCCCCATTAAGGGATCTACTTTTTGGATCCTCCCGGGGGTCTGGGTACAGGATCCTTATACCACTGTCGCACACATACAGTACACAATTACTCCAACATCGCAATCCACGGCACCTGCTGCTCGACGCGCTGGATCTCTTCTGTGCGGGCACGGCCGAGGCCGAATGCATTGCTCTTCTGAATGCTGACCTCCGTCATAGGGTTTCGGGGTTTAGAGTTTACAGCTCTATCCGAATCCTAAACCACCCAACCTGAGTTTCTTGCTTTGTTCAGTGGCGTGAAATATCAGCGTCTTGAGTCTCAGGCGAAGCTTTGGACACTTTGGGGTCGAGTACCCTGAGGCTCCTCCACGTAGCTACATAGTATATACGCCTTATTATAGGCACTTCCCCTAAGGGTCCATGTACCCAAATAGTATATACTTTGGGCCCAATGTACCCATATAGGGAGTACATTAAGGCCAATGTATATACCATTTAGGCACATGGACCCTTAGGGTTCTATATAGCTACTTTATAAAGTAAACACGTGTACCATATGGGTGAATGTACCCAAACCTTACACCCTATACCCTAACCCGAGTTAAGAGGTCTTGTCCGGCTTGCACAAACACCGATGAAGCTGGAGTAGTAACTTAGTAACACATATTTCAAGTTATGCTTATCCCTCAGGGTCCATGTACCTAACTAGTATATACATTGGCCTTAAAGTACTCCCTATATGGGTACATTGGGCCCAAAGTATGTTTTATTTGGGTACATGGACCCTTAGGGTAAGCTGTCTATCCACCTATCTGTATATCTATCTAACTGCGTCATGCTTTTCCAGCTGCCAAAACCAAGTGCGGTTCTTGCAGGTTGCCACACTACCGACCGAATAGACCAAGGATATATATATATATATATATATATATATATATATATACACACATGCATACAAAGAAGGTACACACACACACACGCATATTAATGTGTATCAGTACATGTATGTATGTTACGTATGTATTTACAGGGTCACGGTGTCAAGTGATCGCATCCTCCGCTTGAAAATCATCGTGATCTGCAGCTCAAGCAATACCCACTCCCTTGGTGAGGATCCCATAATAAGACGGTTCAGGGTTTAGGGTTGAAAATAAGGTATCCAAAAAGAGGTACGAAACTTTAGGGTCTTGTTAATGCCAAATCATTTACCTGAGGATTTCAGGGTCTCCGAACCTCCCCGAGCCCCTGTAATGCAGGGGCTTTCGTAATTGGAACAGGGTTTCGGGGCATAGTATACTTAAGTACAGCAAGGAACCCCTAGATATAATGTTGATGATTCTTTCTGTCGTTATCCCAGCTTTCTTGCCTTGGACGGGTCAATCCGCAGCGCTGTGCCGGTAGGGTCGAGCACGTCTACGTTGCCTCGCCGGTTTAGTATTTGTATACCGTAAACCGTTTGTCTCAGTTCGAATCTACAGGATTGAACTCCCAGAGGGTCCAAATATGCTACCACTATGGAGTTAGGTCCCAACAGGCCATCGCTAGTATGGTTTTGGGAGAGCTGATTCCATAGTGGTAGTGTATATGGACCCTCTTGCAACTGGATCCCAAACTCTTGAGCAATCTGGCCTGGAGCTCACCGCTTAGAACACTTGGAAGGTTTCGCTTGCATACCCCTAAAAGGACCCAATAATTAGGGCTTCCTTAAAGGGTTCTATAAGGTTCGTTTAAAAGGGGTATTATAAGGGTTCTGTTATATGGGCCTTACTTAAAAATTAGGTACTCGGTTTTAGGATAGTAGTACTTATGGAGATTATTTTGGAAAACATCTTATAACTAGGTACTTGGATGCTTAGCATACTGCCTTGCTGGCAAGGTACCACAAATTGCAACAGCTCTAGCATAGATGTAACGGTCCCGACTTTGATCATCGTGATCTTATTGTCTTACAGCTCTATCTACTTCCACCATATTGGCGTTCCTTTAAGGACATGGGCATTCTTGCTGCTTGATTGGGTCTGGAAGCAGACATGTTCGGGACTCTGGAGGTTTGCGGTGGCTTGGGGTTCAGAATACAGCGCGAGGGTTTGCAGAAGTTTGGGCTTTGAGGCCTGGAAGCATGTCGGATGCAGGAAACGAAACATGAGCAGCTTCATTCTTCCCAAGGGATCAAAATAGCCCAAAAGCCTTATATAGTATGGTCTTTGGGCCCAAAAGCCTTAATATATGAGTCCTTAGATCCCCCCAGGGCTTTGCAGACAGAGCCAAGATTGTATAGTAGAATGTAGGGTTTCTATATTAGGAATTGTTATTATGATTTGGGGAAGTACTCCCCATAATACGGTTGATGATATAAATCCCTGCATTACCCATAATAAGGAATATACCATAATTCCCATAGTTTAGGGCCCTTAGGGTAATGCAGGATTTATGTCATCCACCGTAGTACCTGGGACCCTTTGGGTCACAGAAATCGACCTTGGAACTTTAGGGCTGTCGTCTTCAGTACCAGCCGGTAGTGTCAGGGTCTGAGAGACCGTTGTGGCCTCGGTTTTCCGGTCAGTGCTTTAGGAGGTTTCAAAGATGGGAGTTTCCGAAAATTCGGGGTACCTTATTTGGGGTCCTTATAATAAGGATCCTGTGATTTAGGGTACTATATTAGGTTCCCCTATTGTCGGAAACTCCCAGCTACGTCTACGAAGTTTAAGGCGCTAGGTTTCAGGGATGACCGGGTCTGAGGCTTGAGAGCTTCCGCAGGGTGAAGGGCTGTTGGGTGAAGGCATCAGGAGTGGCAAACCGGCTAGGATGTTTAGGATTCAGGGTTACTTAAAGGATCATGGGACTTAGTAACTAGGGTTATAATCAGTGTAACTCTACTTATAACTACTTATAACCCCAATTAAGGTACTTATAGCCTTACTTACTAATCCCCATGGTCCTCCAAGTAAGGCTGTTAGGGACTGCAGCTTCCAGAGTCTTCAGGAAAGGGTGTAATTGGCTACAGCCCAACTTCTGCAAACAACTCAGGGTGCGGCCAATGGTCATCTTTCTCATGTACTGCCTTGGGAATCGGGAAGAACCGAGCATCCTACACACCTTAACAATAAACCCGACGAAAAGGCGGCAGGAGGGGCTTATGTTTGACTCGTTATCTGGTTCTTGAATTCTGCATGCCAAGCTCTGAACCGTAAACCCTGAAACCGAAACCTTTAACCCTAAACTCCAAACCCTTATGGTAAATGCACCTACACAAACACACATGTGCAAGTGTGTATATATATATATATATATGTATAGCGATAATAAAAGTAATACTAATCATCACAAAAAAGAATGATACAAATCACGATTATAATTATTGCTACTAGTATTACTATCTATATATATATATATAGAAAACGTATAACAGCCCTTGGGTGAGCGGCATGTACCGGATGTGGTGTGCAGCCTCAAACAATCCCAGCTACAGAACTTCCCCGAGTTCTCTGTCAAAGCGCAACGCCAAAAGACCGATTTGACGAAACTTTTCCCCCATTTGAACCGTAATACAAAAAATAATTCCTAAGGAAACTATAGGAAAGATGGGATCTCGGAATTTAACGTTTCGGTTGCGAGTTTTAGCGTTTCAGCTTAATTAGGTGTTAGGTTAGTTTAGGGTTTAGGGCTTACGGTTCAGGGTGTGCGGCTGCGGGGTTTATAGTTCAGGGCTTACTTAGACTTTATGGGCACTTGAAAACCACCTGATATCTATACGCATGCAGTGGAAACATCTGGGGGGGGGGGGGGTATGCTAGCAGACCCCAGGCACCCGAACCTCTCCACCACGAAACCGATTGCAATGAAACTCTTGACATCCCCAACCCCAAAAATCACCAGACAAGCCCGCCACCAATGAGCCTTGCACCCCTCACAAACGGCTATCTGGGTCCGGTGCGTGATCTTCTGCTCCTTTGCATAATTTCCAACCTTGGTACCGGAGCCAGCAACAGTCGTGGACAACAGCAATGAGCACCAGGCTATACCAAACGGCTCAAAATTTCTACAACCATAATCAGAACGCCAACAAACAGTCAAAGTCCCAATCATAGACCCTAAACCCTAAACCTCAGGTTACACTGCATCATGCATCATAAGGACATCCCATAGAGACCCGTGACCGGACGAGACTCGGAGGGCAACCTGCTGTCTCCATTTCATGGATCCCTATAACCCTAAACCCTAAACCTTAAACCCCTAAACCTTACCCTAAGGGTCCATGTACCTAGATAGTATATACATGGACCTTAAAGTAGTCCCTATATGGGTACATTGGGCCCAAAGTATATACTATGAGGGTACATGGACCCTTAGGGTTAAACCCTAAACCCTTAACCGCTAAACCCCCTAAACCCTAGACCCTTGGCAAAAGGCCGGCAAAGTCGGTGCCAGGCGCTCAGCCTTCCAGCAGACAACCAGCCACTGCCAGCCAATGGTGCAGGCGTCCTTCATTGCATCGTCTTCCAATTTCAAGAATCCGGACCCAGGCTTCTTGGACTCGAACATGCAGGCCTTGAGGTAACCAGTCGTGTGCGAACTGCTAACGGTCATGAACCTTTCACTGCCTTGCACTTCTGCAAGCATCCCGCCGGATTTCCTGGCCAACTCTTCGTTGGCGGCGATCTGCTCCTTTCTCCTAAGGGTCCATGCACCTAAACAGTATATACTTTGGCCTTTATGGGTACGTTGGGCCCAAGGTATATACTATTTGGGTACATGGACCCTTATCCCCTAAATCCTCATGGATCCCTTATAGATCCCTTTGAAGGAGCCCTTATGGAAACCCCCTTAAAGGAACCCTATTTGGGCACATGGACCCTTGGGGTCTTGTCTTCGATACCCAGACCCCCGGGAGGATCTAGAAAGTAGATCCCCTAATTTGGGGCCCTATAAAGTACCCTTAGTAGTATAGGGCCCCAAATTAGGGGATCTACTTTCTAGATCCTCCCGGGGGTCTGGGAAGCGGATGCTGTCGGTCAAAAGGTTGCGGCGGAAGCCCAGGTCCAGGATTTTCTGCCCCTTATCGGCAGAACCCTTAGCCAAAAGATCCTTTGTAGCAACGCTGACAGGGAGAGCCTTATGAACCCTAATCCCTCAGAGCCTAAAATTTCCTTAACTTTTGTTGAACTCCTGAACCCTAAACCCTAAACCCTAAACCCAAAACCCTAAACCCTAAACCCTAAACCCTAAACCCTAAACCCTAAACCCTAAACCCTAAACCCTAAACCCTAAACCCTAAACAAGAGCCTTTGGGGGTCTCGGGGCCGCGGACAAGCTTTCAATGTGCGTCCGAAGGAGCCTTGGCCTGAGCCTAGTAGGGTGTGCTTTTGGGGTTTAGGGGTTTAGGGTTCCGGGCTTAGGAATTATGGGTTTGGGGTTTAAGGATTTAAGGATTATGGGTTGAGGGTTTGGGGGTTTAGGGTTTAGGGGTTTGGGGCTTACGGGTTTAGGGATTGAGCCATTATGGGTTTAGGGTTTGGGGTTGAGGGTTTGGGGGTTTGGGGTTTTGCGGGTTTAGGTCTAGGCTTGAGGCAGAGAAACCCTAAACCCTAACTCGCAAGATCTAAGCCTCAACTGTGTTCCTCGCCTGACGCTGAAACTCGTCTGCCTGCTCTCGTTTTCTCTTCTCCTCCTGGCGAAAAGGGAAGACGGCCCGAAGACATCGCATAATAATGTGTGTAAGTATATATATATACACACATGCATGCATGCATGCATACATGCATACACACATGCAGGTACAATACATACCTACCTACATACATACATGCATACAGACATATATACATACATACATACAGGCATACATATACATATACATACATGCATGCATGTTCGTGTGCATGTATACAGTATGTACGTGGATGCATGTACAAACACACCCACACAAAAGTATGTGTATGTACACACACACATATATATATATATATTATATTATATACATACAGAGAGAGAGAGAGAGAGAGAGAGGAAAAACATAGCAACCGAAAGGGAGACGACACTGCTGCGAACGAAAACTTACAAACTCCGGCCTGCTTTGGCGTGTTCCTTTGAGAAGTCAGACTGCAGGATCCGAGAGAGCATTTCTACAGCGTTGCGATTGCTGCTGTCTTTAGAATCATCCCCTCATACCCGGGAGGATCTAGAAAGTAGATCCCCTAATTTGGGGTCCTCTACTACTAAGGGTACTTTATAGGAACCCGCATGAAGGGATCTGCTTTTTGGACCCTCCCGAGAGTCTGGGCCATGGCTACACAGTAAGGTGACTGGGCTTGGTGTCGGTGCAGCCTGCAGGCCTGCTGGTGTAGGTCCACGGTTTACTGGACTTTGAAGTGACCAGGGAGAAAAAAGTGTAGACTTTTATTTCATAGTGGTTCCTCTAAGGAACAGCTACCCCTCAAAAAGTATTCAACTATGGTACTCCAAACCCAGGCCTATGTTTTAGGAAAGAAAGCTCTTTCTGCCTCACGACGACCTAAGCCGACGACCACCTCCAGGTAACACTAAGATGAGGCACTGACTGAGGTGCTTGCAATACTGCAAGACCCTGAACCCCAAACCGCCGAAACCCTGAACCCCAAACCGCCTAAACCCTAAACCCTAAAGCCCTGAACCCCAAACCGCCCAAACCCTAAGGTTAGACCCTGGAAGCTGTAAGGACAACTTGGTAGCAACCTTGTAGCTCCTGTTTGGGGGATTAAGGTTTAGGGTTTATGCGGTTTAGGGCTTTAGAGTTTATGGTTTTAGGGTGTAGGGCTTACAGTTTAGGGTTTGCCCATAGTCTCCATTGTAGTTCCTTTTTTGGGATTACCTTGTAGGAACTCTACACATAACACTGGTTAAACCCAAAACAAGGAACTACAATGCGGTGGTAGCATTTTGTGTACCACAGGGGCCTTAATAATTAGAGCATGGTGTTGGGGGCCCATTATCCTATTATTATAATAAGGAACCACCAAATAGGCATAGGTAACTATTAACGCCCCTATAGTAGTTCACCCGACAAGGGACTGTAGCCGCGATGAATCGCATCCCTCGACAGCATTACAACTTTACATCTTAAGGAAAGAAGATTTCCGAGCCCTAGCCCTAAACCCTAAACCCTAAACCCTAAACCCTAAACCGTGCCCGAAAACCCGTAACCCGACACCAAAAGCCCCAAACCCAGATAGCCCTGGATCTTGCGCTTGTAAGTACCCTATACTGAACTTAGAACCTAGCAAAACTTATAATTTTAGCTGTTTCTTAAGGGTTATAATAACCAAAAATTAAAAAAGAAATTCTAAGTACCCCTAAGTACCAACTTCGATCTTAAGGAAGACTTCTGAGCCCGTAGACCCTAAACCCGAAAACTCTAAAAACCGAAACCATAAGCCCTAGGGTCCAGGTACCCAAATAGTATATATATATATATATATATATATATATATATATATATTTTGGGCCCAATATACCTGTATAGGGAGTACTTCAAGGCCGAAGTATAGACTACTATACATGGACCTTTCGGGTAAGTCAGATAAGCCCTACCTTAACCCTGAATAACCTACCTTTTTAGGGTTCCCTATTATGATTTCCTTATATAAGTACTAAAAAGGGAGGTTCTTCAGGGTTAAGGTAAACCCAGAATGGTCCTGGATCTTGTGTTTGTAAGTACCATCTTCGATGATGAGCTGCTCCATCCTTGCTCAGACTTCGGTTCTTTACTCAAGTCAAAGGGAAAAAGGAGGGACCCTTAATGGGGACCTCTACCCTATAATGGGCTACATAATGGGTATATAATAGCTATATTAAGGGGATATACCTGGGGGTCCTTATTGAGGGTCCCTCCTTTTACCCTTGCATTAAGGTTGAAGTTTAGGGTTGAAGGATTACCTAGAACCCCCCCAACTACCCTTTATTGTAGCCCCTAATTACCTCTTGATGAGAAACATTAGAGAACTTTAAAGGGTCCTGGTAAGTATTTTGCCTACCCTAAACCCTAAACCCTAGGGTTCAGGGCTTGGTCGGCTTTCATTCACAATCTTCCCAAAGCTCCTACAATCCCTACTTGGAGGGGCATGGGACTTAGTAGAGTACTTATAACTCTACTTATAACCTACTTACTAAGTCCCCTGCCCTTCCAAGTACTTTCTTGAAATCAGCCAGGACGTCCACTAGCCAGTTTAGGGTTTAGGGTAATCAAACTCTACCGTCGAATAGCGGAATATGGCAAGCCGGAAATCAAAAACAACAAAAGTGCGTGCACGAGAACTGCTGCAAGCAAGGCTTTCTGGTATCAGAGCTGATCAGAGCTGCGGCTAAGGATTCAGTTGCGGATATGAGGATGTACTGTGCTGTTTTCGTCTCATAGGCCCATGGCTCTAATAGTATAAATTAGAAGGGGCCCCCACCCTGTAATAGTGGTATAATAGGAGTATAATAGAGCCCTAATATAGTCCTTATAGTCATTATTACAGGGTGGGGGCAGCTTCTAAAGTATAAACCCGAAGCCCTGTAGAGCCCAAAGTTTGATCCTTAAACCCTAAAATGCGCCCAAAGCCCCGTCAAACCTGATTCCTGCACTCACTGTAACTCGGACTAGGACCGCTGGAGACTTTGAAGCCACCAATAAACATTGCAGACCTCTTCGGAAGCTATGTTGGCTTTTGCTCTTTCAAAGCCCTATCGGGTTGAACCCTGTAAAGCCCAGCCCTGTGCAAGCCCATGCACACCCCTAAAACAACGCGTAAACCCTAGACCCTGAACCCGAATCATTCACTTCGGGCCCGGCCCTCAACTTGTTTGGGGCGCCGGCAGCTTTTCTGAGCGCAGCTCCGCTTGCGCCTGCATTCCTGGGCTTCGACTGCTGTGTTGTCTTCCTGGTGCTATGAGACTCCTTGTCCCAAAGGGTCCAAGTATGATCATGGTATATACTTAGACTCCAAAAATGCCCTATAAGTATATACCAGAATGATACTTGGACCCTTTGGGTGTCCTGTTGCACAGAGGTTTGTGGTTTTTTTGTGAGGACCTGCAGGGGTCCGTGTATTACAGACCCGTCGGCTTCACTTGAGGATCATCAGAAGAGGGTTTGGGGGGGAGGGTGGGGTGGGGTTTAGGGTCTAGGGTTTAGGATTTAGGGTTTAGGGTGGGTCAGGGTGTAGGGGCCAAAGCACAGCGACGGTAAGTGCAGGGCAATATGATACAAGCCTCACTAGCCGACTCTACGGATGGTGATATGCCCACGGCTTAGGTCTGAAAATTACCAGGCGATGTGTTTTTCCATAGGGCGCCAAGCTTTCAAATAGTACACATTGCGGGGTCTAAATAGTACCTGCTTTGGCTATTTGGGTGTATGTTGTTTCAGGCCTGTGGTTCGAGAGCCTGTGCAACTATATATATATATATATATATATATATATATATGGGTTTCCGAAAATTAGGGTACCTTATTTTAGGGTCCTTATATGAAGGATCCTACCATATTAGGGTCCCCTATTTTTTGCAAACTCTTTTGCTTCAAAGCCCTATTCGAGTTCTCAAGGACCCTATGCTAAACCTCCACAACACGCCTTACCGTCACCCCTTATAAAACCCTTTACCTTTCTTTTATTAAAAGGAGCCCTTCTCTAGTTGCCGAGGTTGCTATGGATACTGCAGGGGGCTGAAAAATAGAATAGGGTTTTGGGGCCCATTCTACCATTTTCAAAATAAGGAGCCCCCAAAATAGTATAGGTAAGTATTTGAGAGTTTCCGAAAATAGGGAACCCTAATAAAGTACCCCAGATAATCGGATCCTTATTATACAGACCCCACAATAAGGTACTTCTAATTTAGGCCCCTATATTAGTTGCCGAGGCCTCTTATGGATGGATGTCTCGCGATGCTGGTTTCTTAGAGCTCCCGGCTCCTTCGTTTGGGTTCTGGCATTGGGTTTAAGTTTTTTTGAATTTAAGGTTTAGGGTTCTTTAGCTTTTTCAGAGTTCAAGGTTCAGGGTTGTTGAGCTTGCTTTTTTGACTTTAGGGCTGAGACTTTTTAGCTTTTTTGAGTTTAGTTCAGGGTTTAGGGAGGGTTTGGACTTTCGGGTTTAGGGTGAATAATTCATATTTGGGCTCTTCTTCAGTCAGCCATCTCACTGCCTCCACTTCAGCGTCTAGCAGGTTTAGGGTTTGGGCGTCAGGGTTTGGGGTTGAGGGTTTACTCAAACCTCTCAAAAGTAGGTCGTACATTAATGGCGCAACACCTAAAACAGGCCATCATTCTACATACTTTTGGGGTCCAGGTTGGACGTATGAGCCCTAATCCCAGTCCCCGAACCCTAAACCCCAAACCCAACCTTGGGGTCCGGGTAGACGTTTGGATTTGGGGCCTGGGGCTTACCTATGGTCTCCATTGTATATACTTCCTTTTTTGCTACCCAGTCTTATGGTTAATACCTTATAATAACAGATTTGGTTAAACCAAAAAGGAACTACAATGTAGACTACCGGTAGATGATGAAGAAACCCCAAGCCTTGAGAGCCCTCACGAACCCCAACCTACCCAAGGGGCCCCGCATGATTTTGAAGGTTCAGAGGTTAGGTTTAGGGTTTAAGGGTTTAGGGGTCAGGGCTTAGTGTTCAGGGCGTTGTAGGGTTGCTACAGAAAAACACTACAACAAAGTAGTACCATCAAAACGCAGTATTGGGGCGACATGCGCCGCAAAGGGAAAACTTTCGGGCACCGCAGCCCTAATCCGTCCGAACACGACATGGCGATCTCAAGGCGATATCACCAGACTAAATGCTTAAAATTTCAGAGTTTGTGGCTTTCGGGTGGGCTTGAAACCTGGGGACCTGCAAGGTCGAGGATAGAACACAGAAGCTGCAAATCGATCCAACTGACTCTCTTATGGATTATCGGGTCAGGCTGAGATCGACCCAGCTGCGCAAACGCTGCTCTTCTTTACGCTCCTGACACAAGCAGCAAAGATGAATCTGAACTCCCCTGTGCTACAAGACGCCCACTTCCTAAATCTGTATATTAAGCTATGAGAACGCAAAAGCCTGACCTTGAGGGTTGCGGCTTTTGGAGTGGATATTGGATAAGCGAAAGGCTATAGGTTTCCAATAGCAGCAGTTCTCACAGCCGTCATACAGGGTATATTGGGTTTAGGGTCTAGGGTTTGGCGACTATTTGTTTTTTCGGTAGGGGGTTATAAACCAGATGTGTAATCATGGAAATGTTGCCAGCAGCACATAACAGTCGCGATGAAAAAGCACTAGCAAAAATCCGAAGCCCCTGGACCCTAAACCCTAACCCCCTTTGATGCTCTGCAACTGCTTCGAGATACCTGGCAGTATTGCTCGCTTTGTAACTGGAATGTCTTGAGCCTCTGAAACCTGGGGCTTCAGGGTTGGGGCTTTCAATGGCTGCATGTCGGGGGCAAGGGTTTAGGATGAATGAGATTGCGAGAGCAGGGCATGGTGGGTGTGGAATTCTAGACCACTCACCCTTACGCGGCGATCACAAAGGGGTCGCCTGCAATTCAGGCCACCCCAAACCCCCTTAACCCCGAAAGCCCTAAACCCTAAAGCCCTAAAACCCCTAAACCCCCAAGCTCCAAACCCCCAACCCCCCAACCCTTCACCGTACAGCGAACCCCAGAAAGTTGGAACATGGATTTAGGATGATTAGTGCTAGGATCCCTTATACTTTACCTTAAGGGTACCAGGATAATGATGTTCCAACTTTCTGGCTTCTACTCTAAACCTCTAAACCCACAAGCTCCAAACCCCCAACCCCCCAACCCTAAACCCTAAACCCTGAACCTAGAACCCTGAATCCCGAAAAAGCCCACGGTGCGATCTGTCCTTCATCTCCTCTCGCCTCCATACCTCCCGCTTAAAGGATCATGGGACTTAGTAAGGGTTCTATACGGTTTAGGGGTTTAGTTTAGGGGTTTAAGTTGGGGCTTTTGGGTTTAGGGGTTTAAATTGGGGGCTACTTAAAGGATCATGGGACTTAGTAAGGGTTCTTAAAGGGCTCTTTAAAGGGATCTATAGGGTACCTTACAGGGATCTATGGGGTTTAGAGTTTAGGGTCTACTTCAAGATCATGGGACTTAGTAACTCTGGTTATAATTAGGGCAACTCTACTTATAACTACTTATAACCCCCCCCAAAAAAAATATATTAAGGTACTTATAACCTTACCTTACTAAGTCCCATGATCCTCCAAGCACTGGCAGGGGTTTTAGTGGGATCTTTGGAGTTCCTTCAAGGCTACTCTTAGGGTTTGGGTTTAGGGTTTAGGGTTTAGGGTTTAGGGTTTAGGGTTTCGTTGAAGGGCTCCTATAAGGATTTAGGATTTGAAGCTTTCGGGCTTTGGGGTTCTAGGGTCGTGCGGCTCTGCACCTCAGGGTTTCAGGGCTTGAGGACTTCTGGGGCTTTAGGGCTTTATGGTTTAGGGAGCAAGCACTATGCTTACGGGCTGAGGTGGAAGCTGTTGAAACTTCGTCTCTAGGTTTGAGGCCGTGGTAGAGGATGGGAGGGGTCGGGTTGGGGCTGTTCACCCAACACTGCCACGGAGGCTGGATGTGTTCGAACTACGGGGTTGGAGTCCCGAAACCTTCTGCCAATGTGACGAGATGAGGACTAGGCCGGCGTTTTCCCCGTTGTGCATATGGGAGTTAAACTAGGGGCCCTAATATAGCACCCAATTACAGTAGGATCCCTAACTTTGCGAAACTCCCATCTAGGGATCTCGTGTCTTGCTTGCAGGGTGAAAAGACTGTTGGGACCCCTGAGACCCACATCCTCCTGCGATGCTTGGGAGGCGATTCCGCGATGGTCGCCTCAATCACCCAAAAAGCTACAAAAAACACGATCTTGATGTCAAGGCTCCCAGGTTTAGTGGTTTAGGGGCTTACGGGTTTTGGGCTTCGGGCTTTGGGTTTAGGGTTGATTTGCACATCCAATTCCTCCCTTAATGGACTTGCACTCCCGGCCGGTAGTCTCGAGACGTCCTCCCCAAACCTCGAAACATATGACGATGTCTTCTATTGCTGTTACGTTGATGACTATTGGTAGCATTATTCTTGTCACATTGTTATAGTATTATAGAAATCTAAACACACACACACACACATATATATATATATATACAGATAATATAGTTGTTCAAACTTTGTGTTTGCTTATATTTTTATAGTACATATGTATGTATATATACATATATATATATATATAGATAGATAATGTAGTTGTTCAAACTTTGTTTTTGCTTATATTTTTATAGTATTGGACGCGCCTCGTAAGGATTCTTGCCGTCTTGCAAGAGAGCGCGGCGGTGCTGCTCGCGCTGCTCCTGGTAGCGAGAGGGACGCGAAGGGGACACGAGCCCAGAGGGTCCATATAGCCCATCTCTGTTATGGTTTTGGGACCTTAGTCCATAATAGTAGTGTATATGGACCCTCTGGGGAACAGGACGCATGAAGAAACCGAGTGAAATTCCGCGTAGTCGGCAATGATGCGAAGATGGGCAACACATATACAGCAAAGACATTGTAAAGCAGGTACTACTGTTGGTTCGTCGTCACAGTAATTTCGGAAAAAAAGCATGGCAATACTGACATCCATGAGCACACGGATATTCATGGAATGATATCGGCAAGAAGATTGCTGGTAGAAGCAGCCCAGGTAGCAACAACAGCACATGACATGCACGGCAGCATCGATGCTAAGAGACTTGGAAGTCAATCCAATGAATGCCACAGCTGTCCATTGCCAAATTCGGACATCAAGAAGCCTGCCTGTGAGGTTGCCGCCTTATCATCGAAACAGAAGGGACAGTAAGAGGTCAACAAGAGCAACACAACATCTAACGTGACCAGACAGCGAGATGTCTAACCCGGCGCCCACCTTTACGGCTTTAGGGTTTTTAAGTTTGGAGGCATAGGGGGTTTGGGGTTACTTACACTCACAGGCACTACGAAGGAACACCTACCGGATGTTGCCAGCCTCTACTTGGAGGATCATGGGGCTCAGTAAGTAAGGTTATAGGGACCTCAATTGGGGTTATAAGTATTCATAAGTAGAGTTACCTTAATTATAACCCTAGTTACTAAGTCCCACGATCCTTTCAGTAACCCTATAGACACTTAACCCCGAAGCCCGCGTCCGGTACATGTTGCCTCCGCCAATCCCGCAAACCCTGCCCTGAGTCCTGCCTTCCCCAAAGGGTCCTAGGTACTGTTATGGGGAGTACTTCCCCAAATCATAATAATAATTCCTAATATAGAAACCCTACATTCTACTATACAGGTACTTTGGACCCTTTGGGTTCACTTGAAACAACATGCCAAACTAAGCACAAACACTGAAACCTAAGTCCCAAACTAAACATAAACCCTGAAACAAAAATCCCAAACTCCACAGGTCCACAGCCCAATGAGAGGCCTAAACCGTAACCCCCCCTCCCCCCTTAGACCTTAACTTTCTGCTGCTTCTTCTCGCGGCGTTCGTTCTGCGATCGGATTTTCAAGAGGATGGCCTTGGATACCGAGGTCCTACAGTTTCAGGGTTTGGGGTTTAGGGATTTAGGGACTGTTTGGGGGTTTAGGGCTTAGGGGTTTGAGGTTTGGGGACTCGGATAAGGGTCTAAAGGTCCTACCTGGACCCCAGCAGTACTGCTGATGGACAAAATCCTGCATTACCCACTATAAGGAATATACCATGGTTCCCATAGTTTAGAGTCCTTAGGGTCATGCAGGATATTGTCCATCAACAGTATGTAGAATAAGAGCCTTTTCAGGTCTTGGGCCATTATCTTAGCTGCTTTGGGGAGTTTTTGTAGGTCGAGTTTAGGGTTCAGGGGTCGGTTCTTCTGAAGTATACCTAGAGGCTCATACCCTACCCCTTTTTCAGGGCGCCTACTTCTTAAGATAACAGATCCTAACCATAAAGCTAGGTATCCGAAAAAAGGGGTAGGGTATGAGCCTCTAGGTAGGTTGGGACGTGTACACAAGCCGTACGCAGGGGTGTCTCATCGTAGTAGTGGTCCTGATGGCTGCCACTCATGAGTCGACACTGACACTGAGGAAACCATGACGAGGAACATGGCTACTAAGGATTCTCAGGTTTGATCGCTGGCATTCATGCTTTCAGCACTACGGTTGATGATATAAATCCTGCATTACCTTAAGGACCCTAGACTATGAGAATATGGTATATTCCTTGCTATGGGTGATGCAGCATCTTTATCATCAACCGTATTGTCGTCGTTGTGTCCGTTTTCTTCGCTGTGCGGGCGGAATCCAGGTACTTCCGCTTCCCCTTCTTGGAGGTTTATGGGTAGTTATAAGTGGGGTTATAAGTCCCCCAATGTAGCTTATAACCCTAGTTATCCTACTTATAACCCTACTTATAACTACCCATGAACCTCCAAGTTGAGGATATCCACAGCAGGCTGCTCACACCTTCATCCTTCCGTCTTTCCCCTGTCTTGGGAACGGATTCTCTTCTCCTTCGCCTCACTGCTCCTCGATATCACACCTCGCAGGGAAGACGATCGTGTGTCTCTGCGGCTCTTCAGTTTCTTGGAGGCCACGCCCCGGCGGCAAAACACGGCAGACCAGACTTGGGCGAAGCCGCCTTCGCCGGGCCCAGCAGCTTGACCAGCTGCACTGAAGGGCGGGGCCATGCGTGCTGCAAGTCGCACAAAGCACCTGGCCCTTGTGGGATCGTTCTCGCGCATGGTCTCTGGCAAATGGGCACGCACGTCAGGATTCGAATCTGGACTTGGGAATGCTTCCCATTGGGCAGTAATTCAACGCATCTCAGTTCACTTGCTGGCTGCTAGGATCTTGGATGATGACTTGAATCTTGGATGATGAGATCTGTGCACGCGAAAACGTGCTAGCACCGTGCGAGACCAACATTGAACCAGTGACCAATCCCTCGATATTACATGTTGCCACAAGCCCGAAACATGTCGCGTGCTCTAGCGACTTTCGTGATGACAACTAGTGATGGTAAGGCCATGCTGCATAGTAATGAACATCCTGGACATGTCCTTCTGTTACACAGAGTCCCGTGTGATTTTGGATTCGCAGGTGCCAGTCGTTGGGACTGGTGGTGCCTTGGAATTTGAATGAACCCTAAACCCTAAACCCCTAAACCCTGAACCCTAAACCCTAAACACCTAAACCCTAAACCCTAAACCCCTAAACCCTAAACCCTAAACCCTAAACTCCTAAACCCTAAACCCTAGCCTTCCTTCAGGACCTAAACTCTGGATCCTCTTAACCTTAAGCCTTAGAACACCTATACCCGGAAATCAGAAACAAAAAACAAACCCCAAGCCCTTACTGCATCTAAATCATGAAATAATGCAAGTGCCTGAGTATTTAGAATAGGGCTTTGGCAAACATAGCTTGGGGTTTGGGGGGGGATGTAAGGGATCTCATTCCTGATCTTCCTTTATCGGGTTCTGAATAATTAGCAACAGAACCTTATTCTGATTGCTCAGGCCCCTTATCCATCATAGAAGCTTTAAAAGCTTCAAGGAAGTCTTGGAAAGAGCCCTATTCTACTACCCCTACAAGTCCATGTGCCTACATGGTACATAGCTTGGCCGAAAAAGTACTCCTTACATAGGTGCGTTGGGCCCAAAGTATATACTATCTGGGTACATGGACCCTTAGGGCTACGATGTCCAACCCAGAGAGCCCAATACCCCTTAATTAAGGAATATGGCTTAGATTATATAAGGCTTCATATTATGATTGCAGCTATATTCCGTAAGTAAGGGGTATTGGGCTCTCTGGGAAGGACCTCCGCAGCTCTTCCTCTGCTGAGTTTCGGACATCACGTGACTCCTCCGAGCAGAAGGATTAGGGTAGCTCAGGTCCAGGGTTGAGGGGTTTGGGGTCTAGCGTTTAGGGTTTTAGGAATCAATATTCAGGGTCTCAAATTTTAGGATTTAGTGTTTCAGGTTGCGAGAATTTCGGCTCTAGGGGTTAGGGCTTTATGCTTTGGTGTTTCGAGTCAGTTTAGGGTTGAGGGTCGACGGATTCGGGGTTCAGGGTTGAGGGTCGACGGATTCGGGGTTCAGGGTTGAGGGTCGACGGATTTAGGGTTCGGGGTTGAGGGTTTGGGGATATAAAGTGTTATAAGGATCTAGGCCTGCTGGATTTAAGTTTTCCGGTGTCGGGGACCGAAACCCCAAACCCCTATATTCCTTCATGTCCCTCAACTCTGAACCCTTTAACCCTAAACCCCTAAACCCTAAACTCCTAAAACCCTGAACCCCTACGACAACCCTAAAACCCGAAGCCTAGACCCAAGAGTAGCCTAGGAATAAAAGGGTGCCCTTTTTGGTTTATAACGGGGCTTATAAGGCCCAAAAAAGGGAATAAGGGCCTACTCTAGGTCCGAGAAGCCCCTGAACCGGAAACTAAGCACCAGACAATGAGTTAACCCTAAACCCTTAATCCGGCCGAAGTGAACCCAAATCCCTAACCCAACCCCTATAAACCCTAAATCGGCCAAAACCCTAAACCCTAAATCCAAAGCCCTAAACCCTAGACCCCTAAACCCTAAACCCCTAAACCCGTAAACCCTGAACCCTCAACCCTAAACCCTGAACCCTAAGGCCCCTAAGCCCTTAAGCCTCAGACCCGTGACTAGACCCAAGAGTAACCTAGGAATAAAGCAGGTGCCCCCTTTTTGGGGTTCAAAAAGGGGCTTATAAGGGAACCCTAAACCCTAAACCCTCAACCCCTAAACCCTAAACCCTAACCCTAAAAAAAAAGGCATAAGGGCCTACTCTAGGTCCTAGGTGAGGCGACAACTTCGGATCAGGCCTTGAGCTGCAACACTCGCGATGCATGGTGTTGTAGCCGCGCCTGATGAGAGCTTGATCTAGTAGAGTCAAAAACATAGACTCTATAACCTGATGGTGCAGTATCATATACTATACTAGATAAAGAAGCAGCAAGGTATAACTATAACCATATAACTTGATGTTCTGGTATAATAGTGTTCTATAGTCGTGCGTTTGTGCCGGTGGGGCTTCGGCGTTGGTGCGCAGGGTTGGATGCAGGCTTGGGGTTAGAGCCTTAGGGGTTTCGACTCGGCAGCAAGCCCTAAGGGTCCATGCACCTAAATAGGGGTCTCCTTTTCAGGGGTGTACCTTTAAGGGTTACCACAACGACTTCCTAAGTCGCTCTTGTGACTGTCACGTCGTTGATGTCCACTGCGGGTTCAACTTCTGCAATGCGAGGCTTGTGCACTTCCTCACTTGCCACCAAGTTCAGAGGCAATGATGGGGATCTGTATTTCCAAAAACTTGCATGTGTCAAAACGTGGAAATGTGTAAATGTGGTCATCCAAAACCCTAGAAATGTGGGAAATGTGCAATTTTTGGCCTTGCAAACTGTACGCATGCTATGAACATGAAGACATGTCGAACTTTCAAAGTTGGAACCTTCCCGCGTTGTGAAGACATGAGTTGGTTGCTGACATGTCTCATGTGAACGGGAGCGCATGTACACGCACAGAGACATTGTGGATCACCATAAACATCTCTGTCTGTACCTCCCTGTGTCTCTATATCGCCGTCCGTCTCTCCGTAATTCTCCCTGTATCTCTGTATAGTACCTATGTATCGGTATTCATCTTCCTGAAAAAGTTACACATGCAGTCAAAAACAAACTTGAATCTATCTGCATTTGCAAAGTGGCCTCTCGGATGTCCTCTGCCATCTGCTTGACAGCTTTTTGGCCGCTTTGGGCCTGTGGCATGCTAACTTCACGGAGGGCAAATCGGGAAACAGTCCCAACCTGAACACCCAAACCCGAAGAGGGTTTAGGGTTTAGGGTTTAGGGGGTTAAGGTTTAGGGTTCAAGGGTTTAGGCTTTCGAGGTTTAGGGGTTTAGGTGAGTTTAGGATTACACACCAAAAACCCCCAACCGTCCCAAAAACCAAACACCCCAAATCCTGCAAAGCGTGCTCGATGCTTCCCTAAACCCTAAACCCTAACTCCTAACTTCGCCCCAGCTTATGGTCAGCCGTGGGCCTTGCATTGTGGTGGTTGTCAAAATTATGGTCCCTTTTTGGGTACCCTAAATATTAGGTGCCATATTATAAAAAGGATCCAAAAAGGGACCCTAATTTTGACAACCACCCGCATGGTTCTTGCCATGAGACGCATCACAGACACAACAAACTCTCCTCTTTCGGCAAAAACGATTGAAATCACCATAGGTGATGCGAAGCCCCTCAACCCAAACCCCAAAACCCCCAAACTCTCAAACCTAGACCCCGAAACTCTAAACTCGTGCCTCTTTTAACCTTCTTCGCCCCCTCTGCTGGTGGATCTCGGCTTCTTGATCCTGTCTTGCACAACAAGCGGCTCGAAGCAGCCACAAAAGGGGGATCCTGCCTCCCGTTTGCTGAACATTCACACCAACTCTCGGAAAGCCCATCCGTTACAAATGGCCGTCAAAGTGAAGAGCCAGGACGCACAAAGAGAAATTCGACAGTGATGGGCAGGCAGCACTCAGGTCATGATGGTTCACGGCTTCAAGAACCCTGCATTGCCGATCCCCGACCCTTGAAACCTTAAACCCTAAACTCATCCTTTCACATTCCCGGGAGTTTGTCTTCATGTCCTACGCTCGTAGGGACGGACACTCTCAACAACTTTGCTGTCACTTCAATCTCTGAGTTTCGGGTTTAGGTGTTCAGGGATTGGGATTGGGGGTTTAGGGGTTTCGGAGGTCAGGGTCCAAAAATTTCGGGACTATGTAATTAGGGGTTTAAGATTAGGGTGTAGAGGTTTAGGGTTTATACCGCTTTAGGTTTAGGGAAGAACTTTAAAGCGCGCCCCTGTTTCTGCTTCTGAAGCTAGACGCTGCTATGGTCTCTCCCTAAGTGTCCAAGTACATAACAATCATATAATCTCCTAAATATTGAGCTACATAATTACGATCCTCAACCCAAGTACCTGATTATTGGGTCCTTTGGACCCTTAGGCTCTGTCCAACCGATGCATTCCACAAGAGGCGGTCCCGCCGCTGCTGATCTGCCAAATAAGCCTGAGGAGCAACTCAGCAATACACTGTTGTTGCGGTTTATGCTAGCTGAGCTGAAAGCCTTACAGAAGTCGAGGTTATATAAGCTTCTTGAAGGAAAATTTAGGCTGTAGGTGTATCATAGACACATGCGAGCACTGACCATCGTGCCAATAGCTGCGGCTGATACATTACCCCTAGTTTGGGGGAGTGCTCAAACGGACCTGCAGGCAAACCCTGAATCCTCATGAAGTCTGCTTCTTGGCCTGGACACCGACTTGACACCAGACAGACTTAGCAAAAAGTGACACTGGTACTGAAGGGGCTTATCAACAGCAAGAAGATGGCAACGATGAAGGCGAGCATGATGACAGCGGGCATCTGCTGCCGAATGATGATGATGATGATGGAGACGGTTTTTGTGTTTTCGATGTAGATAATGATGATGATGATGGGGAGTGGTCGTGGTGGGGTTTCTGGCAATGCTGGTGGTCGCATCGATCGTTGCAACTGTTGGCGAAGACGACGAATTTGACGCTACTGATGTGTTGGTGATGATTGTGATGATGATGATCATAATGAAGATGACAATGTTGATGATAAGGATGACCCCAGGGCAACAGGCAACATCGATGGCTTTGGTTGCAAATTAGTAGGCGTTCCAGCGTCTAAGACCCTTAGGTGCGATCTCACAACAACGACTCTTGAGCGACAACAAGTATTGCTATCACTATTAGACTATGATTCGTACTTCTCCGACGATTACGACGACGAACACTACTACTGCTACTACTACTACTACTACTACTACTACTACTACTACTACTATTACTACTACTACTATTACTACTACTACTACTACTACTACTACTACTACTACTACTATTACTACTACTACTACTACTACTACTGCTACTGCTACTGCTACTGCTACTACTACTACTACTACTACTACTACTACTACTACTACTACTACTACTACTACTGCTACTACTACTACTACTACGTCTACGTCTACGTCTACTACTACTACTACTACTACTACTACTACTACTACTACTACTACTACTCCTGCTCCTACTCCTACTCCCAGTGCTGCTACTACTACTACTACTACTACTACTACTACAATGTACCATTGACAGCGCTACTAGTCCTAGTAACATGTCTTTTACTGTCGCATTCACTGTTCATACATGCTAACATACCATGAGCATCACTAGTAAATCCTAAACCCCAAACCTCATCAACCCTAAACCAGTACTATTGCCATGACTAGCAATAGCACTTTTACGGCCTCAATGATGGCATCCTCCTGGTCCCGCTCATAAGCGTCCTTGCTGCGGAAGCCACAGCCAATTGGCGTGACGGTTTAGGGTTTAGGGATTGGGACTTGGATTTTGGGACTGTGAGCATGGAAAGAAGCTGTACGCGAGTCATTACAGATTATGCTTGCAAGGGAGCATGCGAAGTGCTTTGACGTTCTGAACATTAGACATTCGGAGCACTCCGTAGTTGTAGAAATCACACTGTGCCTTAACCCTAAACCTTCTGTAGCCATCGCATGCTTAGCATGCTCTGCTTCGTTGAAACACTCGGATACCCCTTCTCCACTCCAGTTCCGAGAAGCACCAACACGCAGGTTTAGGGTTCACAGGGTTTAAGGTTCTGGCGAATGCCATAATTCTAGGAGTGCGCGGCACAAATCGCAGATGCCTATACTTGGACCAGACAGAGCCTAAACCCTCAATCCTAAACTGAAGATTGCTCTGTCCTTGGCAATGTCCATCTTCGCCCGCCGTATCTGCCAAATTCAATCGGGGCAAAATATCGTTGCAGTTTTGATATTTAATATATACTTATATATACAGCTACATACATATATACACACAAGTATGTACATGTGTAGAAAATATTAATATTATATACAAATACATACACTTCGAAGACGGAATTGCCATGCTTCGAGAGAACATCCGGCAAGCTTGGGCAGTCACACGGGCGCAGAGTGAGAAGGTCCTAAGGATAACCTGGACCACCAGCACAAGAAGGACATGGGAAGGTAGAGGTATGCAATGTACTTAGGAGGGGGCTTGACTGAGAGTCAGAACAGGGCTCTGAAATGGTGGGGGCGGGGGGGGGAGGGGGGGCTATATATGAGAGTATAAATATAATCAGGAGCCGGAAGAAGTAATGCTGGTAGTTATTTAGGCTTCTTATATTCCAAGGATTGCGCAGGGACATGGGAGCCTCTGAGAGGATTGTGCGAGCTGGCAGATAGTGTCAACAATGAACCCGAATCCCATTGAGGTTAGGGGCCAATTCCTACTTTTCGGGCATCATGGGGAACTAAAGGTTGACCTGTTTGGTTATACAGGGATTATATAGGGACTATACTACCCCAAAAAAGGTTAAAGGTTACCTACTCGACTACTAGGAGTTTCAACCAACATATGAAGTTCTGGTTTGAGGTTAACCTATTCTTATGGCTGGGACCCCTTGATACGGAAGCAAGACAACTCCACCTGAAGGTCTAGGTGGTGTCCCAAAGGCCCACCTGATCTACATGCCTCTCGCGAGCAATCTTTTTGCCTGATTTGTGCTCCTGCATAGAAGCCCGGAGGGCTAGGGCGCAGGGTTTAGGGTTAGGGTTTAGGGTTAGGTCTTAGAGATTTTCAGAGACTAGGCCTGGCGCTGGGTCTTTTTTTGTTGTTGGTTGAGTGTCTCTTTGCGGAGTAGGTCCTTGCTTTGACGCGTGTCGGACTGAGTGCGACTAGCTGGCTGAGTGTGGTCAGGCTAGATGGTCCAGCATGAAGACCCCAGACCTTCCAAAATCCCTTAATTAAGGAATATACCTTAAATTTAGGATCCCAAATATGAATTAAGGTATATTCCTTAATTAAGGGATTTTGGAAGGTCTGGGACCCTACCCCGGCATGTGTTGAGCTAGACTGCTTGTCAGAAGCCCAGGGCCCGCGTCTTTGAAAGGTGGTTTTCTGCACCGTAAACACTAAACCCTAGAGCGGGTGCCCTCAACCCGACACCTTTTGCCTGACCCTGGCCTCACGCATCAGGTGTGCCCGAAGCCCTGAGCTGTGACGCTCTTCACCCCAAAGCCACGAGTGACAAGCTCAGATCCTATCTATAGTCTCCATTGTAGTTCCTTCTTGGGGGATACCATATAGGATCCCACATATAAAACTGGTTAAACCAAAAAAAGGAACTACGATGCAGACTATAGCTACATCCTAAACTACATATCGAAGAAATAGACCCCAAAGCCAAAAACCCTGAACTCAGCCGACAGGCAAGATGAGGGCCTAAAGCTTGAACCGAAATCCCTGAACTCTGAAACTCGGAACCCGAAATCCCAATCCCTGTAAAATACGTCGAACGCCTGTAGCACCCCTTCTTTTAACACTGTAAGTCAGACCGATCGAAAGCCTACACCCAACAATGTGAGTCTGTCAGCCAAAGCCCCTCACAGGTCAAGCCACTAAGCCCTGAAACCTAAATCCTTATCTTTAAGGGTCCATGTACCCAAATAGTACATACTTTGGGCCCAATGTACCTATGCATAGGGAGTACGTTAAGGCCGAAGTATATACAATTTGGGTTCTGTACATGGATGTTTAGGGTATAGCTGTATCTCCAAAACCTACAAACTAGTAGGTTGTATGACCCCTTAATCAGAGCATCGAGCCCTTAAAAGGTATGCCATGTCTCCTTCTTTGCTTTGCTGACGGAAGTCAGCCCAGCCTCGCGACGCGTGTTACAACAATCAGCCGAAGTTACCAAGAGGGCCCAGTCGTTCAACCAGGGTTTGGATGTGAGCTTAGCGTTTAGGGGTTACGGCTTTTCCCAACCCCTGTGTACTGTCATTCTGGAATTATGGTCGAAAAGACCATCCGTATTGAGGTTTCGGGGACCTGATTCCGTAATTCTGGTACACGTCGAGCTTTGGGTTCCCACAGACTGCAATATCCCTTGATCAAGGAGTACACCTTAAATTATAGTAGGATCCCTAACATGATTTGAGGAATACTCCTTAATTAAGGGATATTGGAGTCTTTGGGTTCGGGTTCAAGAATCTACGGTTTCCAGGTTTGGGGGCTTAGGGCTGATAAGCCTCCAAGTCTCGAATGCGTGGTTCAGTCTCGGCAAAAATACCGTGCTCCGAAGTTCTGAACTACCCATAGGCCCCGTAGTAGTTCCTTTTTGGGGTTCATATGTAGAATCCTATGGGCTATAGGTCTCATTGTGTTTCTTTTTCTTTGGTTCAACCAAACATACAACTAGGATCCTACAATACGTAAGGTAACCCCAAAGGAATGTTAATGGAGACTACTATATCCCAAATCCTACACCTTAAACACTAAGCCCGCAACCTTTAACCGTAAACTCCAAAAAATAACCAGAATGGAGACTTTTGTCCACGGGTAAAAGGAGGGACCCTTAATAAGGACCCCTAGGTATATACCCTTAAATATAGCTATGATATACCCATTATATAGCCCATTAAAGGCAAGGGGTCTCCATTAAGGGTCCCTCCTTTTCCCCTTTGCGAGACTAAAGGTACGAGTAGTATCTCCTATCTGGAACCTGGCGTTCCTGTCCCGCCGTCAAAGGCATGAGGTTGACATGTTTCCCTAAGGGTCCATGTACCTAAATAGTACATACATTGGCCTTAAAGTACTCCCTATATGGGTACATTGGGCTCAAAGTATATACTATTTGGGTACATGGACCCTTATAAGGTTTGGTTGTCCTAACTTACGGGCCCAACAGTTCGGTAACTCGAAGTATCCCAGAGTTTCACCTAATATGGAACACCCCAAAAAGTTGGAAACCGGATTAATGCAAAAATAGCGCTGGGACTCTCTATACTTGCTCTTACGGATGGAGGCTATTGGGTTTCCAACTTTTGAGCTTCTACTGTAAAGGATCAGAGCCTGCAGTGATCGGAGCGGTGTTGGAGCCGCATGGGTTCCAAGGTCATATTAGGTTTTTTTTTGTTTCAATGTGCAGTGGCCCTTTCTCCGCAGCGACCGGGTCTGGGACCTGCATCACAGAGGCTTACACAAAAGACAAGGAGGAGAGCTTACATCATCCACCCTGCATACAGCTTACCATATTAGGGGTTTAGGGTTTAGAGTATTTTCTGGGTTTCGAGCGGTTTCGGGTGATCGGTGTCCTTATTGTTTGGGTTTCCCAGTAACCCCTTCATAATAAGGGTGCCCTTTGTTCCGGCTATTCGGTTTGAATACAGGAACCCAAAAGAAAAAGGGCAAACGGGTGCCACTAGCTGCGGTTCCGGCTCATGTTTTACTGAAACTATGCAGCTGCCAAACTGTGGAAGCTTCAAGCTAGAGCCCTACACTTACAACCCGAAATGCTTCACCCTCAGGGCTCTATAATGGTTAGTACAAGCGGTATTCTGAGAGGTTAAGTATAGCGGAGTGCCAAACCCCAAAACTAACCACAAACAAACGCCTGATCCAAAAACATCACTACAACCACATCAATTCAGAGAAGTACCTAGCTTCTGCTGGATAGAGTTAAGCACTGAGGGTCGCAAGGTGTCGAGGTTCGGTGCAAGGATCCAAGTTTAGAGTGGGCTTTTGGCGCGACATTCCAATGTAGCACGACTGGATGATGGCCAATTTCACGGCGAAGGCTGCAGTAGACACTTATCTCCATTCTGTAACCGCTCCTGGTGAAACAACGCTACTCTTCCTGCAGAAGCCTTTACGGTGACTTTACGCTGACGCTAGAACATTAATCCAACAGCACTCCTGAGAGTCACAGTATGCCTGGAAACAGCCTCGAACCATGAAACCCTTTCTACCTAAATTACACCCGAGATTTTTTTTGGCCAAAGGGCTGTGGAGACCTTCAGCAGTGCAAGCTCGGCCGAATCACGGTCTTTCTCGACCCTCGGAATGCACCGTGTATTGTGTTTGTTTAGGGTTCAGGGCTTCTTGTTAGGTTGCGATTCAAGAGTTTACGTAAGCTTCAGGGATGCTAAGGACATTGGATTCGGGAATTATATAAAGGTTTAGGATTCAGTCATGCCCATGAGGGTTTACAAAGGCTTTACGAATCGGGAATTGTGGCATAGGGCTTCGAAAGGAGAGGCTGCATAGCTTGAACAAGTCGCCTGATTCTCTACATGACCGGGTAACTGTGCAGACCTCTGGCTCCAGATCTAACTATACCTCGAGCCCACCTACGGTACAACTCTCTCATTTGTGCTGACATCTATTTACTAAAGCTCGGTAAGATGATGTTGACGCCTGAATAAGTAGAATAGTAGCGCCTATTGATCTCTACAGAAGTGTGCCGTGAATTTGAGTTTGTAAAGACCCTACATACCTTGCGGCTCACAAACCCAAAGCGAAAACTCTAACCCAAAGCCTCAACTCTGAGTGAGAGTATAGCCCACCTGTTGCTGAGGCCAGTGCACCGTCAATCTGTCCCAAGCCTTCTTGACTTCACTTTCCTTGGCAAGGTACAATGAAACTTCATCGGTTCATCTTCTCTAGACCCAAGAGTAACCTAGAAACAAAAAGCTTGCCCTTTTGGGCTCAAAGGGGCTTATAAGAGAACCTGAACCCTAAAAAAACGGGAAGAAGGGCCTACTCTAGGTCCTAGTTCTTCATATTCTCGAGTGGAGGATCGGCTATAGGAAAATTGAGCAGTACCCTTAAAGATCCCTTTAAGGAGCCCTTATAGATTCAAAGGGGAAAAGGAGGGACCCTTAATAAGGACCCCTAGGTATATACCCTTAATTATAGCTATTATATACCCATTATATAGCCCATATTCTCGAGTGGAGGATCGGCGATAGGAAAACTGAGCAGATTGGAACTTGACTTTTGTCTCCATAGGCCTCGACTTAAAGCCAGTTGTTATAATTAAGGGCTCTTTAAAGGGATCTATAGGGTTCCTTAAACGGATCTATGGGGTTTAGGGTTTAGGTAGATACTTCTAGATTCGGCTGCAGCTCCGGAATCTGGAAGCTTCTGGGTCCAGTGGGTCGGGTTCACGCACATTACATTACATTACACTACATTACATTAGATTACATAACACTACCGTACATCACATTCCATAGATGCGTGCATGCATGTGTACATGCCTGTACGTACAGACAGACAGGGGTATTCCCGACATTCCTACATGCATTCATACCCTCGTACCTCCATGCCTATCGACCTATCTGCCTACATACCTTCCTACCTACATGCCTACCTAGGAAGGCCTACCTGCCCAGCTACATAGATACGTCCATGCATGTACACAGCTCAGATAAGCAAAAGGACGTGTGTTTCTCTTGTCCGAAACATTAGCATGTGAGATACTTCCCACTATAGTCGTGACTCTTCGTTAATCTAGGCCGGTGCGAAAGACTTTGCTGCTGTCCCCTCAACCCTTATCCTAAGGGTCCATGTACCTAAATAGTATATTCATTGGCCTTAAAGTACTCCCTATATGGGTACATTGGGCCCAACTTAGGGTTATCTCCCACACCCCCGTAATAAGCATCAGATCTTGAAATGATGCGCTCTTGAACCCATAGACCCCACACCCCGCAACAAAAAAACGGGACTCCAAACCTGAAGCCCTTCATCCCCAACCCTTTGCAAGGCTCAAACACCAACACTTTTAGTTTTATAGTGGGTAATATTATGCCAAAAAGTGTAAAGTGTATCCACTCAGCTACTCAGCCTTTCCAGCGCTTGCAGGGTTCGTCTTCACGGCGAAGGTTTGAGCTGCAGGGTTTGGGGGATCTCGTTCTGATCATGTATTTGAAATCTAACATGAGAAACAAGCACATGCATTTACACATGCATATACAAGTATATGGTCACAAGTATATGTACGAAACATACATCACATTATATACATACATATATATATATATACACACATACACGCACACACACACACACACACACACACACACACATTTATATACATGTAAAAAGGGCCGCGTGAAGAAATCGCGGGCCGTGTGATTCGCGCGAAGCATCCCATTTCCGATTTCAGATAGATGTGTGTGTGGGAAGGCATGTGTACGCAGGCATGTGGGTCCGTGGTATAGTCTGATGGACAGTTAGCATATGTAAGGGCCCAAATAATCACCAGTACTATTTTGGGGGGTTGCCGTATTATCAGTATAGTATTATAATGGGCCCCAAAACCCGATTCCAATTAATCAGGCCCCTATATTGCATTCCCACCTCGCATATCTTGCCGGGAAGCCTGGTAAGACAGGAGTGCTGGGTCATCAATGTGTCCAGCAGCGGCCTTGTTTTCGCTCTGTTACTGGGCACAAGGCTCAGGTTGTCAGGGCTTGGTCATGCAGTCTAGCCATAGAATTGCTCAAGCTTCCTGCGCTGAAAGGCCATCGTCTGCAATCAATGTGTATGTTTCGCACTCACATATTGTGGTCTTTCAGAGCAGGTCTTGTGCAGCAACTGCTACGGCTTCGGGGCTTGTTATGTCACATCTCGTGCTGATTTGGGTGATGTAGATACGCCTGCTCCTGAAAATTCAAGCTTGGGCTCACGAACATTGTTTCATGGAGATCGAGGGCTTAGGAATTAGAGTAGGGTCTGGGTATACAAACACCAGAATTACGATAGGAGTTGGATACTGCCTAACGTTATTCCAAAGCCAATATTACTCAATTCGACAGCTTGTCTTGCGATGGGATATTGCAGAAGAGAGAGATCTAACTTTCCAAGTTGTTGAACAGTTTATCAAGCCATCGAAGTTGGCACTGTCAACCTCGTCGCTCAGTCCTACCGTTCAACCATTGCAGGATTTGTAGCTAGCCAAATCGCATCACTCTAAACCTCAAACCCTAACCCATCAGCCCTAAATGTCAAGCCCCAAACCATAAACCTGTATCTTGAAGCTAAACAGGAAACCGCGGCCCGCCAAGCCAGCCTGCTTCCGCAGCTGCCTGAGCCGCTGCTCCTCAAGGGGGGATACGGTTTCGTGTTTGTGTTCTTTTGAAGGAAGTTTTCGCCCTGCAGAGGCGACATACGGTTGATGATATGAATCCTGCATTGCCCACAACAAAGAATATACCATAATTCCCATAGTTTAGGGTCCTTAAGGTACTGCAGGATTTATATCATCAACGGTACCACTGCGGCGGAGCCATCGGGACAGCCAATTCGTTTCGTGCAAGTGCTCAGGGCATTGAGGTTCGGGAGTTTGAGCTTCAGACTTATGGATTGGACTCTGCAAGCCCTACGTGCACAAACCACTTACCGCCCCAGAGAATTCAGAGAAAGGGTGTGTATGTAGTTCAGGATCCGACATAACTACCCAGCTCCGATTATAGGTTTAGGGTTTAGGGCTTAGGGGTTTGGGGGTTTAGGGTTTCTGGTTGGGTTGGGGATTGTAGTGTTTCGAAGTTTAGGGGTCGAAGGTTCAAGTTCAAAGCGATGAAGGCCAGTTTTTGCATGTATTGAGAAGTTCGGAGGCCCAAAGAACATTCCCAGAGAGCCCAATACCCCCTTAATTAGGGAATATGGCTTAAATTATATAGGGCTTCATATTATGAAGCCCTATATAATTTAAGCCATATTCCTTAATTAAGGGGTATTGGGCTCTCTGGGAATTATGATTTAAGCTATATTCTTTAATTAAGGGGTATTGGGCTCTCTGGGTTGCCACCACATCGCAGCCCTAAGCCCTGAACCCTAAACGCTAATCACTGATCACGCCGTTAAGGGCTTCCAAGGACAAAGGAACTCGTCTGCGAAGTGAAAGTCTAAGAACCCGGGTTCCGGAACGGCGATCTAGTCTTGCACAGAACCGGGTTTAGGGTAGTGGACAGAGTGAAAATAGTGGAATGCAATACGTTTTAAGAAGTGGTATGGTGCGGTATAGGACCCAGAGTATAGCATACCGGCAGCAGGCGTGTGCGCTTGCGCTTTGTCGTTCTGGGCTGCTGTCAGGTCAGTGCGGCTTTTGATGCAGACATGCATGTGATTAGGGTGGAGGGTTTAGGGTTTAATATGCCTCCTGTTACATCTAAACTCTGTGATAGAGCGAACAGCGTAATGCTTCGCTGCGAAGGAACAGAAAGCAGTCCACTGCACAACAGGATGCCCCAAAAGGCTTCCCTAAGCAAAAGCACGGCATTTGGGTCGGCTCTTAGGCGTTATGTGGGTTGTTGTCAAAATTATGGCCCTTTTTGGGTACCCTAAATAATAGGTGCCGTATTATAATAGGGACCCAAAAAGGGACCCTGATTTTGACAACCACCCATGAGTCTTTCTGCCAACCTGCCTTTCTGAATTCCGTTGCAATCCCAGCTAGCGGAAGAAGCAGCTACGCACATCCCACACCGCGACATCACAGCGACGCATTTCCACGGACCCACATCTGTTGCATTTTTGTCGCTTTATCCCCATGCTTCAACTGCAATCATCTTTTATAATTTGTATACTGAGCACATCTGTAGTTTCTGGCGTTTAGGGTTCAGGTGCCGTAGCCCCTAACAGTCCCCGCATGGCGCATGGAAAGGTGCGAGGTCCTCGTTGTCCAGAGCAATCTTTGCAGCATCAGCTACCTGAACCTGCATGACGGGAGTCCAAGCAAAAATACCTCTGGTACTGCAACGACTGTTTGCGGATAGTGACTTCTACTACAACGACTACGACAACTACTACACGGTTACTACTACATTTACGATTACGACTACGTCCACACTACAACGACGACGACCACTACTATGACGACCAGTAGCTCTACCCACTTCACCGACTTCTCCCAAATCTCCATGGACATCGATGTCCGTTGAGAACGATCTGAACCCGAAGTGCAAGAACTTTCACACCTGAATCCAGAAAGCCTAGAGGGCCTAAACTATGAGTAGCAGACATGGTCACCTGTGTGTGTACATGTATATAAAGATGTATGTATGTATGTATGTATGTATGTTTGTATGTATGTATGTGTATATACATCTACACATGTACAGACACGGCAGCGCGTACGCACGTGTATACACTGACATACATACAGCTTACATACATACTTACTTACATACATACACATGAACATGTTAAGAGATTTGACACACGCTTGCATGCTGTACAATGTACGCATGTATGTATTCGTAAATGTGCACAGGGACATAGTCAAGTTCGTGGTTCAAGCATCTTTAAATATACATACACACACATCTACACTCACACCACCCTAAACCCTGACGTCAAGTAAAAACCGTGAAAACTCCGTAACAAATACACCCTGAACCCTAGAGTGTTACACACTAAATCTCCCAAACCCTTCTAGAACCCTTCTAGGAACCCTTAAGGAACCCTCTTAGGGTAAAGCCTAAACCCTAAACCCACCCCACTCTTCGGCCTTGGCGGCAAAGTCATGCTGGAGCCGCTCCAGGGTCTTGTTAGTGCGCTGGTGGTCCAAACTCTCGTGCAACCTCGGGGCATTTAGGGTTTAGGGTTTAGGGTTATGAGAATTATTGGTTTAAGGCTGAGCGTGCCCAGTTGAGACTTTAGGCGTCAGGGGCATTTAGGGTGCTCAGTGGTAGACGTTCGGTGTTCAGGGTTGCCGTTCTCCCCTAAACCCTAAACCCCTAAACCCTAAACCCCTAGACCCTAAACCCTAAACCCCTAAACCCCAAACCCCTAAACCCCAGACCCTAAACCCTAAACCTTCTCCAATGCTCTGGAGCTTGCATCTTGGGAATCTGATCCAGGAGTTGAGGCCAGGGTTTAGCGCTCTGACTGACCTTAAGGGTCCATGTGCCCAAATAGGGTTCCTTTAAGGGGTTTCCATAAGGGTTCCTTTAAAGCTATAAGGGATCCATAAGGGTTTAGGGGATAAGGGTCCATATACCCAAGTAGTACATACTTTGGGCCCAATGTACTCATAGAGGGAATACTTTAAGGCCAATGTGTATACTATTTAGGTACATGGACCCTTAGGGTGAGAGGGGTCGGCAGAACAGCAAAGCCTAAACACAGTCCTGCCCGCAAGGGCCGCCACATCACCAGGCCAAAGCTACTTAGTCCGAGCCTTTTGCGAACATGAATCTTGAAGGCCTACGAAGGCCTGCATGCAGGACTCCAGAAGCATGGCCGTAGTATATTGACTACTGATGCTATGGCTGGCTGTAAACGACGAGATTCGAGACCACACCACCCGCAGCGAAGGGTCGATGTCCTCTTCTTCATTATCATCCCCGGTATCGTGATCCATAGCCGCATCATCGTCATCGTGACCGGTATCTGCGCCACCATTCACCACCATTACCAAGATCCCAACCATCAGCCGCATCAGCATCTTCATCATATCAGCGTCACCATTATCATTGTCATCACCATCACCAGCAACTTTGTCATCATCGTCAGCCATCAGCATCCGCAACACCGTCCTCATCTTGATCGTCATTATGACGACCATCATCGAAACCCTGCTCGTTAGCAGTCCGAAAGCCTCTAACATCCAACTATCCGCAATTAGACACAACATACAAAGACGGCTGTCTCAGGTCGGCACTCTGGGTTGTGTCTATACGTCGAGACGATCCCACCTCCACGTTTGGCTACAGACATGCGGCCAGGGAACTCGAAACCCCAATGCCTACAGACCCTCAGACCCTAAACAAAGTCAGTCGTTTCCGAGGGACCGGAGGCCAGGGTTGAGTGGCTGTTGGCTTGGAGTTTTGGGCTTCATCGCCTGGCAGGTATAATGAGCCACTTAGGTAGCACTGAGAAAGAGCCGTCGATTTTGAGGGAAGCATCGAGAAACGAACTCACATACAAGGTCAGTATATACCGGTGCAGTGCTGCATGAAACCCGAATACCAACAGCTGGTGAGTCAAGATCTACTATACGGGCATTAATAGTTAGAATAAGGTTTTTGGGCCCATTATACTCTATAATTAGAATAGGGTTTTGGGGCCCACTATACTCTATAATTATAATAAGGAGCCCGCAAACATAGTATTTATATTTTTTTTGGGGCCCTTTTTTCGGCGCAAGGCATTGTTGGAAACCTGAAGTCATAAAAGCATTGAAATCACAGGGACCCTTAGGGACTGTATCAGGCTTTAGGGTTTAGGGAAGAGGGGGAGGAGGAGGGGGGGAGGGGCCGCCTAAATACATATGAGGCCTATTTAAGGAAATATAGTCCCCTACCCCCCTCCCACCCTAAACCCTAAACCCTAACTACCCCTAGAAGTCCCTCTAATTGCAAGGCACGAGGACATTCTCTGCAACATGCTAGGTACCCAAAATCCTAGGGCCAGGGGGCTAGACCCTTAGCCGCCTTAGCCTGAACCCTAACTTCACAAGGACCTGTAGGGGGAGGGGGGGTAAGGGACTACACTTCCAAAAAGGCCTTATCAGTTCCTTATTATGGGCATTAAGGTCCCTTAGCCCCCTCCCCCCTACACCCCCTAAGGGTCCCTATCACAGCCGATTGAGGAGGAATGCTGGAACCAGACGTGCACACGAACCCTTCCGACTCTGCAATCATCTCTGGCACACATCTGAACGGAGCTGGCCTATTCCTTGTCTCCTTGGTTGGCAACAGTTGCAGTACGAAAACTATGTACCCCAAACTGTAAACCCTGCAACCCTTAACCGCAGCCCCCACACAGCAGACCTCAAAATCCAAATTCGGAAGGCCTCAAGCCTGGCACTGTAAACATAGGATTCGGTAGCTGGTCTGTCATCATTACTCATATCTCGCGAATATTCACCCAAAGGGTCCAAAGTACCTGCATAGTAGACTGTAGGGTTTCTATAATAGGAACTATTATTATGATTTGGGGAAGTATTCCCCATAACAGTACCTAGGACCCTTTGGGTCAAAGCCTAGGCACAACACCGTTTACGGTTTGCAGGTTTCGGGTGCCGGACCCAAGGCTTTCGGAACTTACTGCGCTCGGTTTAAGATTTGGGAAGTGGGACGTAGGTAGGTTTTTTTGGGGAATGTCAAACCCCGGCATAAGAAGCTTAAGCTCTTCTCGCGGATTTGCGCTAAGCACACAAATCTGGAGATATAGAAGATACCAGGAACCCGAACAAAAACAACTGCCGTCAGTCATCAAGGTAGCATGTGTTGCTCAATCGCGACAGTGGACGTGGAATTTGGTCACGCGCAGGAGGTCTAAGCTTTAAACACGGCCCAACCTGATTTCTCAAAACAAGTGTGCACTCGGGCAAACTCCTTACTGCTCACAGAGGAACCTGCGTGTTACCGTCACGAAAGTTCGCGCAGACCACAAGCAAGCTCCTAAAGCCAATCCAATGTAGGAACCTGATTAAAGAAACCTTGGGCCTTTATTCGGGTTCCTGATATGAACCCTACTACTTAGGGGGGTTATAGGCCCAGAGTTTCTGAATCAGGTTCCTACATTAGCCACCAAAGTGCCGCAACCCAACACCCTCAACCGGAAGCCGCAACCACTGAACCCGAGGCCCCAGACACGATAACAGACCTGAACTTAATACTCTAATGTAGGTGCCTCAATAATTAGTATAGGGTTTTGGGGGTTCCTTGTAGAGTATAATATACCCCAAAACCTTTCTCTAATTCTTAATTAAGGCGCCTACGGTATATTTTACCATCATCCAAAGCCGAGTCTTCAGCACTTCGGCCTTATTAGTGTGTGAGTGCTTTCGGGCTTGCGCTTTGCGGTAGAAGCCAGGCCCCTATCCTGAACCCTATAGATCCCTTAAAGGAAGCGCTTAAATATCCACAAGACTCGCCTAAAGGAGCCCTAAACCCCAAGTCTCAACCCCCCCCTAATAATGTAGAAGCCAGAAACTTGGAACATGGCTTTAGGAGGATTAGTGCGAGGATCCCTTATAGTTTACCTTCAGGGCATGAGGGTAATGATGTTCCAACTGTCTGGGTTCTACTTTAGCGTAGATCTTTCCCAAGACTGAGGCAAAACTTGGACTTGCCTGTAGTCTCCATTTAGTTCCTTTTGGTGCTGAACCCTTTTTATATGTAGGATCCTATATATGGTAACCCCCCAAAACAGGAACTACAATGGAGACTATTGGCAAACCTTAGACTCTAAACCCTAAACTCTAAAACCCTAAGCCCTATAAACCCCAAACCTTCAGCTCCCCAAAAAGGAACAACGACTGAGACTATTGACTATAGGTTGGGTACGGCCCCCACTCAGTAATAGTTAAGTAATATTCGTAATATAGATACAGTAGGACGTTAATAGTAGCCCTATTATAGACTCTTACTGTATGGGGGCCGTACCTAAACTATAGGTAGAACGGTGGGCTCCCAGAAGCCACGAAAAAACTACCCTCTGCAAACCCTGAAGCACAGGAGACAGATGCAAGGAAACGCCTAAACTAGGATGTCTAGTAAACTAGGAATAAAAAGGGCTCCCTTTTTGGTGTTGGGGAACTGTATAAGGAACCTAGGACTACAAAAAGGGAATAAGGGTACTACTGGACATCTTAGTAAACCACAAAAGAACAAACCCAACTACTCCGAGCTCGAACAACGCAAACACCTCAAGACACAACAGCTTCTTTCTGCAAGCCATGAACGCAAAACACCCCGTTTGTGCGTTTGGGTGGTTTGAGCTGCAGCACGATGCTATGGAACACATATTATGGTTCAGGTACTATATAAACATACGGTAGCAAGAACAAACAAAGACACTATAAATGAAAAGCTCATGACTAGGTTCCACTATGATTCTCGTAGTACCATGTACTTCCAACCGAAACATTACCTGGACCCCAAAAGTATGTAGACTAATAGCCTGTTATAGGTGTTGGGCCATAATTTTACCTACTTTTGGGGCTGAGGTCGGAGGTTTAGGGATTAGGAGCAGCTGTCAGGGTTGAGGGGGTAATGTAGGAACCTGATTAAGGCCTTTACTTAAGGTCCCTTATATGAACCCTACTATTTTGGGGTTATAGGCCCAGGGTTTCTTAATCAGGTTCCTACATTAATTCCTCTTAGCGTCTCCTGTGATGCTGCCGAGGGGCTGCCGCTTCAGCTCCCAGCGCTGGTCTCCGCCGGCCTCTGTCTCCTCTTGAAGGTTCATGGGTAAACCCTAAACCCTAAACCTACCCTAAACCCTAAACCGTGTCCCTTTAAAGGAGGCCTAGCATGGGCTTCAGGGCATAGTTGGAGGTTCATGGGTAGTTATAACTACGGCTGTAAGTAGGATAACCATGGTTCTAACCTATATTAGCGTAGCTATAAGTGGGGTTCTAGGTTATGAGTCCCCTAATGTAGGGTTTAGGGTTTAGGGGTTTAGGGTCACAAGTGGGGTTGTAAGTCCCCTAATACGGTTTATGAGCATAGTTACTGTAACCCTTCTTATAACCCCACTTATAACAAACTACCCATGAACCTCCAAGCTGTCTTGCCGTCAGTCCCGTGTTTGTGGGTGAAGGGGGTTGGGGGTTTAGGGTTTAGGGCCTTCGGGTTTAGGGGTTTAGGATTCAGGGGTTTAGGGGTTTCGGAAGTTTAGGGTAACTTTAAAACTCGAAACCCAAAGAAAGCCCCTAGCTGCCTCTTCAGTGCCGGAGTCTGCACCTGATCGAAGCTTGGAGCTTAAGGTGTGTTTTGGTTGGGGTGTTCAGGGTTTGGGGCTTTGAGGAGGGTTTAGTGTTTAGGGTTTGGAGGAAATTGAAGCTTTCTAGGGGTTTAGGGGATTCTTAAAGTTCATAAGGCACTTACTTAGGCTTTTGAGGCTCAGGGTTCGGGGTTAAGAGCTTTGTAGGCTCGATCTCAGGGAAGAATGCGGTGCGTGCAAGTGTCTAAGGGCCTAGAGTTCAGGGTTTAGGGGACAAATGGAACTTTAAGCTTGGGTTTCAGAGCGCAGTTTTCGGGGTCGATAGATTAAACTGAGGTTTCGGGGGAGGGTCTGGAGCAGCATAGCGACACGGACCTGTAGAGTTTTGGAAGTCTGGGCAGTGGTTTGCGGCGTTGAATAGCTGCAGGCGTGCGCGGCCTAAACTCCTAAACTGTGCGGCCAAACAACTAACCGGAAGCATTTATGCACCCGCTTGCCCTACGTCCCTGAACCCTATGCCCACAGAGCCCAAGACCCCTTAATTAAAGAATATGGCCTAAGTTAATGTAGGGCTTTATATTACGATGTACTCCTTAACTAAGGGGTGCTGGGCTCAAACCCTAAAGCCTAAACCAGGGGCCTGTTTCGCAAATTTCCAATGCAACTCCTGAGCCTCAACGAGGGTTGACTTTGCTCTCCGAGCCCCGAGACCCTTAGCCAAGCATGAAGTACATGGAGGATCAGGATTCCTAGGGGTTCCTTTAAGGGTTTCTTTAAAGGGTGCTATAAGGGTATAGGACTTAGGAAGAAAGGTTGTAAGTACCTTAGTTGGGGTTATAAGTAGTTATAAGTACTGTTACCCTAATTATAGCCCAAGTTACTAAGTCCCATGATCCTTTAAGTATAGTTCTTTGTAATGTGTTACTTGGAGGTTCATGGGTAGTTATAAGTGGGGATAGAAGTCCCCTAATATAGGTTATAAGTTATTACCACAGCTATCCCACTTATAACCCTACTTATATCTATCCATGAACCTCCAAGTAGACCGTATATGCTAGTAAGTTAGTTGTTCTGGCATATGGGGGTTTCCGAAAATGGGGGACCCCAATATAGTACCCTAAATAGTAGGATCCTTATTATAAGGAACCCCAGAATGAGGTACCCCCTAATTTTCGGAAACCCCCATATTGCAGCATAAGTACCAGATGCACCTGCTCAAATCCTGTACAACCGAAGGGCCCCGAGGCCCCAAAGACTTAACATCGGGGCCTCAATAATTACCTACGCAATTTTTTGGGGGGTCTCCTTATTATGATTTAATATACTATTCCCCCAAACCCTATTCTAATTATGAAGGCATATTAAGCCCATATATATATGTATATATATATATATATATATATTAACAGAGTGGCGCTGAAGCCCTGAAGCAGCCAACCCGCAGCCTGCTTCATGCTCTGGATACGTGCCCTGCGGAGTAGGGTTTAGGGTCTATAAGGCTTAGGGTTTAGGTTGAGGGTTCAGGACCAAAGCTTGGGGTTTAGGGGTTTAGGGTTTGGGGGTGTTGAGTGTTGCTGCCGCGTGAAGATTGTTCGAAGTTCAGGTCCCATTCGGCCGAGTTTCCCAAACATCTTGCTTTTGCCGTTTCAATCAACGGAACCCAAGCCTAAACCCTAAACCCTCTTAAACCCTAAACCCAGCCTAAACCCTAAACCCTTTTAAAGCCTAAACCCTAAACCCTCTTAAACCCTAAACCCAAGGGCGATCGCTGCTGGAACAGTTGGGATGGTTGCCAGGGTTTCGGGCCTATTTTAGACCTGAGAGTAACCTAGGAATAAAAGGGTGGCCTTTTTGGATTAAAGGGGCTTATAAGGGAACCTGAACCCTAAAATACCCTAACAAAAGGGAATACGGGCCTACTCTCGGTCCTAGTGGCTTGGATTCTCTCCAGCCAGTGAGCCCAAATACCTCTTAATTCAGGAATATAGCCTAGATCATAATATGAAGGCCGAAAAAATTAAGCCATATTCCTTTATTAAGGAGTAATGGATTCTCTCAAGCCAGTTCTCAAGTTAGGCAGCTCGAGGTAGCAACGGCGCCGACTTGAACAGCACACCCAGCACTGACTTTAAACTTGGTTCGGCTAAGATGCCCCGCGTCGCCCTGCCTTCAGATTCAGACTCTAAAACTTTCACATGGTGACTGCTCCTGTACTTATGGCTGGTTGACCTGTCTTGACCCAACAGGCTTATGCAACACGCTGCGCAATCTCAGGAACAGTGTACAGAGAAAAATCCCCCTAAAAGCCTCGCATCCCTCTACCGGGACTCGACCGCCAATGCTCTAAACCCCAAATGCACTAACAAAATGCAGACGTTCGAACAGTACGAGTAGCCCGAAAGAACTACCACTTCAAGGAACTATATGAAGAAACCATAACAAGGAAGCCTGAACGGTACGGCAGGTTTGCTGGGCCCTAAACCCTAAACCGAGCAACAGGTAATCTAGGTTCACCAGAAGTCCTTTGATAATAAGGGTACCCTTTTCCCTACTATTTGGTCCTAGTACGGGAAACAAAGTGCACAAGAGTACTGAGGGGGAACCTAGTAATTATGACATGCCAAATTTCCGCATTGAAAACCCTAAACCCTAAGCCTTTAGAACCTCTAAACCCTATAAATACCTCTAAACCTGTATACCCTAAACCCAAAGGCCATCCACCCCCATCTCGGGCCTGTGCTGCCTCATCGCTGTCTGAAGCTTCAAGAAAGCGCCGCAGCTCGGGATCTAGCGCCTTCTGGCGGTTTTAGGGTTTAGGGGTTAGTGTTTAGGGTTTATAGGGGTTAGGGGTGAGGGTTTAGGGGGAACCCTGAACCCTGAAACCTACACCCGCCACTTCCAATGTTTTCGCTTGTACCCTATATAAAGTAAAGCCTAATCCCTAAACCCCAGACCCCTAAACCCTATGTAAACCCTAAACCCTATACAAACCCTAAACCCTATATAAACCCTAAACCCTATGTAAACCTTAAACCCTACATCATATAAACCCCAAACCCTAAGCTTCGAGGCTTCGAGATGCGGCTTCGGACTTGTCTCACCTTTGGTGTGTCGGTTGGGCTTGGGGTTTAGGGTTTAGGGTTTAGGGGTTTAGGGTTTAGGGTTTAGGGTTTAAAGTTTAAGGGTTTAGGGTTTAGGGTTAAGGGGTTTAGGGTGTAGGGGTTTAGGATTTAGGGTTTTTGGGATCGGGTCACGGAGCTCCTTACCTTCAGGGCTGGTTTAGATAGGGCTTCGGGTTCTAGGGTTTAGGGCTTCGGGTTTTGGGCTCTTCCGAATCAGAGCTTGCACTACTGTACCTCTTGGGACGTGAGTGTCTGCACCTTCGCAACTACACATGCAGCTTTGGCTCTGCCGTGCAGAGCAGGCGCTTTTGCTTTGGGGTTGAGGGTTTGGGGTGCTTTTGGAGTAGGCTTCCGGTCTCCGCACGTCTGAAATCACAAATTGCATTCGCTCGCCAACCGCCGATGCAACCGACTGTTGACACAACTCGAAGCGCTCAAGCGCATTGCAATACTGCACCTTACTTGGAGGGGCAGGGGACTTAGTAAGTCATTCATAAGTAGGGTTATAATTGGGGTAACTCCATTTAGGGTACTTATAACTCTACTTATAACCTACTTACTAAGTCCCCTGCCCTTCCAAGTAGTTTGCGGTAGATAGCCGGCTTGAGGGGGTTTTAGAGCCTTTAGGAACTGTAAGCATATCATGGACAACCAACCTCACAACAAGATCGGGAATCGGGTCGGATCGATCGGAGCGGTGTCGGAATTGAGCCGAAGCCTTTTTGTTTTTGAAGTCAAGCGCTTACGCGCTCCACCAACAGGCAGGGCAGCGGCAGGGCAGGACAAAAAAGAATTAGTGGCTGCCACTTATTCGCTTTTGCTGTGGGCAGGGCAGGGCAAAACAGCAACAAATTCGTTATTGTGTTTGGGCCGGGCAGGGCCAGGGTCGGGCCAGGGCAGGGCAGGCAGGCAAGGGCGGCAGGGCAAAGTGGCTGCCATTTGCTTTTGGGCAGGGCGGGAGGGCAGGGCAAAACAAAACAGAACAGGGCAGGCAAACGGCATGGATGCAGAAACGAATTAGTGGCTGCCACTAACTCGTTTTTGCCTGTGGGCAGGGCAAGCAAAAACGAGCTCGTCTTTCCTGTGGGCAGGGCATGGCAGGGCAGGGCACCAGGGCAAAATCGAATTAGTGGCTGCCACTAACTCGTTTTTGCTTGTGGGCACGGCAGGCACCAGATTAGTGGCTGCCACTAACTTGTTTTTGCGCTTGGGCATGGAGGGCACGGGGGGGAGGTCAGGGCAAAAACGAAGTAGTGGCTGCCACTAACTCGCTTTTGCATTTTGGCAGGGCAGAGCAGGGCAAGGCAGGGCGGGAGGCCGCGTTAAAACGAATTAGTGGCTGCCACTAACTCGTTTTTGTGCTTTGCCCAGGAAAGCATTGCATTTCGTCAGTACAGAGTC